TGAGGCCAGTGCCTCCCGGCCTTTGGTAAGTCACACTCATATCAAAGTATTTCTCGGGTGGTATGTGATGTTGATAAGTCTTTTCAGGTACATTATCGGCGTAGCCGTGCGTCTAGCTGTGGACTTGGGCCTGCACTACGAGGACGGCAGCGACGTAGAAACAGCTATGCTTGACCCCTCCGGTAAGGTAAAGGACGAGAACGGCGACATGGGCGAGGCTGGAAACGCCCAGTCGCGCGAAAGGGGAAGACGGCTGTATATCCGGGATATGAGGCGGAGGTTATGGTGGTGCACATACTCCCTGGATCGCCTGGTGAGCACTTGCGTCGGGCGACCTTTCGGCATAAGCGACCAGGTCATCACAACCGAGTTCCCCTCGCTATTGGATGACCAGTACATTGCGCCGACCGGGCTCTTGGGGATGCCCGCAAGTTTGTCTGAGCCGAGCTATAAGCATGTAGCGTATCACTACTTCAAGCTGCGGCTGCTGCAATCCGAGATTCTGCAGGTGCTGCAATATAACCAGACACAGGTCGTGCGGGCTTCTGGTCAGAACCTGACCAACTCGGATATTCACACCCGCATACCGTCTCCGTTCCTTGTCAGGTTCGACTCGTTCCGCTCGTGGCGTATCGACATCGATCGCAGGTTATACCAGTGGAAGAATTCGGCGCCGACGCGGGAGGAGACGGGCGTCGCGTTCTCGACAGAGTTCTTGGAGCTCAACTACTGGCAGGCCATCATCATGCTCTACCGCCAGAGCCTGAGCGTGCCCGCTTTGTTCGAGGGCGAGTACAACCCATCTAACGAGGTGAACAGTCCGACGGCGTTCCAGGCGGAGCTGCGGGAGGACGAGGACAGGATCTACCTCAAGGTGGCCGAGGCTGGGCAGAAAATACTGCGCATCTACCGCCAGCTCCATCTGAGTGGGCTGGTCAGCTACACCTATCTTTCGACACACCATCTGTTCATGGCCGGCATTTCATACCTCTACGCCATTTGGCACTCGTCCATCGTCAGAAGCCGACTCGTAAGTGACTCCCCCATCTTTGCGAACCGAACGTGGACAGCTCTGACGCAATGCGCAACAGACCATGGACGAAGTGGACTTTACAATCTTGGCGGCCAAGTCAGTCTTCACCGACTTGATCGACAAGTGCCCTCCTGCCGAGACTTGCCGCGATGCCTTTGACCGGACAGCAAGGGCCACCATCAAGATGGCCAACTCGACTGGCGGCTTCAACCAGGTGCCACAGCGTAAGATGCGCGAGAGCAGGTTCGAATGGAGCTCCGCCCCGAGTGACGGGGCATCGATCCCGGGCGCTAGCAACCCCCGGCGCCGCCAGCAACACCAAGGCCAACAGAACAATTACCAAATGGACCTGACACTATCCGATACTCTCTCATCACCCAGCCTCTCTGTTGCCGGAGACCTGCCTCCGCGGAGCTCACCGCGCGCCGCCGACTTCAACATGATGGCACAGGGAAGCCCCTCGGAGATCGACCCCGCCTTCGTCGCGTCGCCGCCGGTCCCTCGCCACCTAGCAGCCGAGCGATCCAGCAGAGGCGGCTCGTTTCTGGCCCAGCAGCAGCAGGGAGGGTCATATAACGCGGGCGAGTACGCAGACGTCCAAACCATGGATTTCTTCCAGAGCCTGCAGGGCAACCCGAATGGAGAGCTCGGCGGGTCCGGTGACGTGACGACACCGCAGCTTGACCTGGGGTTCGGTATCAACTGGGATAATATGCACCACGATTTCAGCGACGGCCAGCAGATGAACATATTTGACGGGTTTTTCTTTGGCAGCCAGCAACAGCAGCAGCAGCAGCAGCAGCAGCAGCAGCAGCAGCAGCCTCAACAACAGCCGCCGGATCAGCAGCAAGCTCCCACCGGGAGCGGGAACGCGAATTGAAGACGGGGGATTGCGAGCCTAGCCTGTCCAACGACTTTTGAAGTACCCCGGGCACTGCTTTCATGCGGGCGTTGCGGATGACGTATATGCGAGCGGATCTACTCCGATTCGTGGGAGACGTCCATATATACGATTTCTTGTCTCTTTTCTTTTCTTGAGCCATACATACTAAGAGATACGAATGACAGAGGCAACGATCCGCCCGGGAGGGCGCGGTTGCGTGAACGAGATCAGCTCGGAAACACGGCCATAGAGCCCATGGACTTGAGTGGTGTGAGAGGAGGACGAGGGCTGGGTGGACCAGTCCATACAAACCAAAACTGGGGATGGAGGGCCAGACCGGGACGCGAAAAGGGGCCAGTGTTCGAGGCATTCTGTATTGGTATACCCAAAAGAGCGGGGGCGAAAGTGAAGTGTGAGGGCCGAGGGGATGAGGATGAGGAGGCTTGATGTTGGCATGGCGGGAAAACCAGGCGCGCTGTTAGTTGATTACGCGGGTCACGATGATCCAGCGCTCACATACTCACAACTGGGCGAAGCCGGTCAACTGCATCATTCGGTGCGAGCAACTTAATCAGCCTTGAGAAGAACGGTCAAGCCCGTCAACGTTCCTTCCAACCGTATTATTTCTGCCATCCGTGCAGGTTGTAGAAAAGCTATGCTCATGTCTCTTGCCGTGTAGTCATCGCGAATACAGCCCTCCTCCTGATACTCATCGAATAATCATACACTGAACAAACATATCTCTCTTAGCCGTCCCTCGCCCCCCCCCGAGCCAAGCTTCCAAGATCATCAGCATCCATTGATACAATCATCTCTGCCAGAGTCCATCAAGGGCTTGTTAGTCTCTCTTCACCTCCTGGCTGCTGCCCGTGCCGTTGGTGCTGTTGTTCACGGCAAATTGCTGGAAGAGGAAGGTGAGAGGGTACCCGAAGAAGGCACCAACCACGCACAGGGCTGTCGCGAACAGGGTCCAGACATGCCATGCCCAGTAGCCAAAGAAGGGAACGAGGAACTTGAGCCACTCGCCAACCTGGTAGTGGTCCTCCTGGCTCACGATAAACTGGCGCTGGCGGTTGCCGACCGTGTTGGAGTCGCCGTGGCCGCGGGGCAGCAGGTTGCCATTGGCATCGACGGTGCGGGTCTCGAGGCGAAGGACAACAACGAAGTCGACTGGCGCGTTGTAGAAGGGCACGAACCAGAGGCGGAAGTTTTGGCGCATCTTTACGTAGAGGATATTGGTCTTTTGGTCTTGGACTGTGGAAAGGTCAGTATTGCGCAAGGGGCTTGAACTCGTGAGATGAGCATTCCATCTGCTACGTACCACAAGACTCGATTTCCATGTCAATCTTGGGGCTCAAAATACGGTACCAGCGGTAGACCATGAGGATCAACCAGCGCGAGTTGATGGTGAAGAGGAAGGGGATATTGATGTTGCCGAAGGACGGAACGTGGCAGAAGGGGTGGGTGAAAGCGGCATCCTCGGCAAAGTTGGAGTAGAGAGCATTAAGCTGCTTCTCCGGGGAGCCCTGGACCAGATCCCGGATGACGGTCTTGATCTCCTTCACTGTGGTGGAAATGTTAGTGTAACGAAGCGAGCTCAGAAAGTACAAGAGGTTAAGTGATCGCGATGCATTGCACTCGGCGATAGGTCAGAGCCGCCCATGGGGTTTGGGGCTATGTGCAGCCGCATATCTTGGCTGAAGGGATCTGCAACTGGGGCCACATGCAGGCAGTGCGTAGGAGTTGTTCTGCTCAAGGGCAGACGACATGCGTACCTGGATGATCCATCTTGCGCCGTTTCAACTAGGAGTCTGTCGTGTAGTTAACAGTGAAGGGCGGTCGATGATGTCAAACTGCCGACAAGCGCGTCCGTCTGTTGATATCAATCAAGTCAAAGAAAAGAGCCTGGCGAAATATCCGCAGTGTTGTTTGTAGATTCGGCGTAGCACTGCTGAGCAAAAGACGATTGTAGGTCGGAAGTTGAATAGCCAGAGAGAAGGAGGGAGGAAAGCCAAACGTTAAGAAGGAGGAGGTCCCAGACCGGCTTACAGCTCTGATGAATTCGCGGGGGTGCGAGGAGCTATGGCGTCTCACAACAGCTTCCGAGGCTACTTGAGTGTCGGAGGCGGAAAGGAAAGGAATTGGGGAAAGCACCTCTCAACAATACGGATGGGTCATGTGCCTGGGAGTGAGAACCTTGAGTCCTTAACCCGAATTCCTTGTGAAGGAAAGCTGCGAGTTGCCCTTCCCTAGGAGGTCGAAGCTCGTAGGTGATGTCATTCTGAAACTATTCTGGAGCCTGACGTGCGTTCATTTGTCCCCTCTAAAACAGCGTCTGGGGAAAGCATGTGAAATGCGACTCATGACCTGTCATTGGCCAATCCCACCGGGCCCCACCTGCAAGTTGCTGTTTGGTTTTTAAACCTGACAGGGAAGCTCTTCACCTGCTTGGTGGCTTGTAATTCATTGTGGGAAATAAGCAGGCAAGCGCAGCTTGGTATTAAAAGGCTACCGCATCCAATTCCACTGCAAAAGGCTCCCGAGTATCTACTACAACACCAACTAAACAAAAGTAGGAAATCTGACTTGCGTTCTTCACCTCTGCCTCTCAAATGCAATGTACCCCTCACAACTTCACTGGACGCTCGATCGCTGCCTTCCCCAATCTTCTGGTCCAGCCGTGTCGAGAGGCGTCAGCAAAGCCAACCAAGCGGCAACCCTTTCGTGTACACCAGCTACCGAGGTTGCACGTCAGGAGCCGCCGTTGCCAACCATGATCAAGGGGTCTCTGGATCAGCCGTATTCGGGAAACACCCAAGACCTGCATTTCGGGATAAGGGAATGTCGAGCTTCGTATTGAAACCGAACACGTCCTCCCGCCATCCCTCTCGTAATTTACACGAACAGTACAAGGAACGACCCTCCAATCTTCCATCCCATCTCTCCTTCTCCCATCTCCCTTCGACGCGCAACCACCCGTGATTCGTTAGATCCGACATTCGTACAGCGTTTGCTCATCGCTTTTTTCCAGAGGCATCACCCTTGCGGCTCTTCACCAGGGCGCATAAACGTTTGCGATGAGCCTGATACATTACAATATGGCCTCGGCTGTAAAGCGGTCTCTTGAAAGGAAAATGATAATAAAAACAAGAAAAAAATCAGACCCAGGTATACTCGCGCCAACTTCAGTAATCCCGACTCCGCCGACGGCTCTCGGCTCGGTGACTGTGCCTCCGCGAGCTACTGTGCCGCCGCCGCCTCCTCTCCGGTGTGTGCTCCTCAATCACAACCACCTCATCTTCCTCATCATCAGTCATGACCCTTGGGGGCGGCCGGCTGGCTCTGCGTTCGTGCATCACCGGCGGCGCAGCTTCGACGATGGTCGGGCCCGGTGGCCTGCTGATGCTGTCTCTCTCCCTGACCCTCACCTCCTCGGTCGCGATTACTCTTGCGCGAGGGCTGCGATGTCTGTGGTGGCGATGGCGGCTTTTGGAGCGCCGCACAGAGACGACGGATGCTGTACCGGTGTACACCGACGAGGATGAGTTGTCGACCGGCCGGCCGAAATTAAGGCACGTGTACACCATCCACAGAATGAGCAGGAAGCCGGCGACAGCACCGAGGGTGATGCCGACTATCGCGCCAGAGCTGAGGTTAGAGTAACCACCGTAGGTGGCCGGGACCACGACCACGCCGTCGGCGGTTTGACGATGGAAGACAGGCATCCTGTGCCCAGTCGTGCTGCGCTTCGGGAATGACGCAGGCAGGCTACACTATGGTGTGGCGGCGCGTCGCAAGGCAGGCGCTTGCGGAGGAGGCGCGATAACGGCTTCGGAGGCAGAACGGTAAGGCTGTCTGTCTCGCACAGACTGTCGCAAAGGTCGCTGCACAGCACTGCGCGGGCAGGCGGCTGTAGGGTAGGTCGTGATGCACGCGAAGACGTTGAACGAAAGCACAGGCTGGCGGGCGCGGCCGCGCGCCACGGTATTCTAGTTAGATCCCGTTGGCCGCGACGTTGCAGTTTTGCAAAGCCTGAGACAGAAACCGAGGGGGCGTCGAGATGTTGATGCCGCCGGTGTCAATCAATCCCGTAGATGATAGTGCAAATGCTCGGACCAAAAACAGCATGCGTGCTGGCAGGGTTAACGATCGATACGATGGAGGGGCCCAATATGGGATGAAGGCAAGAGTCAACTGTTCGGCTGCGCGAAAGGCTGGAGAAGAGACGGATGGAAGGAAATGGATGGATGACAACGGGGAGGACGGGATGAGTGAGATTACCTAGGAAAGCGGGATAGTGACTTGTAATTGGAGCGCTGCGCTATTGGTTGCATCTGCAAAACACCACCAAAAACTCACACTTGCATTTGCACTTCCCTGTTACCCATCATCGCGACAGGCACACGGGGCCCTGAGAGGCACCCCCCCGCGCCCGGTCGGTCCACTGCAACCCGGGCCGATGCAAGGGGAGGGGGGGTCGCCGTCGCTGCGCGGCAACCAGTCAATCTCTCCCCACTTGCCTTGTCTTCGGCAATCTCGGTGGGAAAAACTGTTTCGTTCGCCTTCTTTGGAAAACAGCGCTTCCCTTACCAACCCCCGCCGCACACAGGGTTTTCCCATGAGCAATCCGCGTCTGCCAGGTACATCGCCATTAGCGCTTCAATTGACGTCTGGGACGAGCTGGTCACAAAAGCAACCCCAACTGCCGCACCTCTTTTTATTGCTACTCAATCCCGGAATGTCCATAGTATCGCAGAAGAACTCCTAGATATGTGCAACGAACACTTTACTAAGAACATGCATAATCAGTAGGACAAATGTCCGTGAAACCTGGATTTACAGCATTTCCGTCCTTGTATAAGAACAGTACGATTCACCCGATCCCTAGGCGGGCACCGTGAGGACGAAGAGCTCGCCAGTAGAATCGCTGACCATGAATAGCCTGCCCTCTTTGTCCCAAGCGAGTCCAACAGGTCTGAAGCAGCTCCCAGGGCAGACAGCGTTCTCGCTGTTCCACGCAACCCTGATCTCGGCAGATTTGCTGGTTGACGCAGCAGTGGGCTGTCCGTCGACACCAAATTCTACCTTGCTTAGACGGTAGCCATCAGGGGGCTGTCGGTTCCTGCAAGCATCGTCAGCTTTCGCCTGGACACGACCACGTACGGCTCCAAGACTTACCAGCTACCGTGGAAGGAGATGTAGGCAGATCTTCCGTCGGGGTGGAACTTGATGTCCAGAGGCGCCATGTGGGCAGTGAAGGTGAGACGCGGTGCAATCGGAACCGTCTGGCAGTACTGGTCTGTAATGTTGCCTGATGGGCTTCCCTGAATCACTTGGCTCCCCACCTGGACATCTGGCACGCCGGTAACGGTGCTGGTCTCCCAGACAGCAAAGCAATGGGGGTAACCATAGTTGGCCCCCTTCAAGGGGTTGAGCGCAGCCCTATAGCTGCCGTGGTAGTTCAGTTCCTCGCCAGGGTTTTCGTTGTGGACATCCACGCCGCTGCGCTCCATGTCATCCAGGGAGTTTTCGACCGACCACTAATACAATGTCAGCTGGCAGGCATCTTCCGCTGGCCGTATCAAACACATACAATGCCGCCGTCCTTGGGGTTCTCCCCAACGCCGACACTGTTACGCAGTCCCCAGCCAAAGACTTCGCCGGAGGTGTAGGGCACGGGGCCGTCTGTGAGCTTGGTCAAGTCAAAGGCGCGGATTTGGCTGCGGCCAGACGAGGCCTCGGCCGTTGGAAGGTCGAGATTCGGGGCAGATCCACGAGAAACGAGCAGCACATTCGGCTTGTCCTTGGGGATCAACAGAGTGCGGGTTTGATGGTTTCCGGTCTGTGCCATGTCGTTGATGATAGAGCGGGCTTGTCCGACAGTGCCAGCAGCGGCGTCGTAGGGATAGGCCAATACATCCGTGGGGGTTGACGCGTAGATAATCTTGCCGTCGGCAGAGAGTGCAATCCCGTGAGTGAGCTGGACGAGTGTTAGTGAACCGCTGCTAAACAGGCATCCAGATGAAGAAACTAATTAGTTGCCTACGTTTCCATTGGGAATGAGTTGCTTCTGGGAAGCCACACAGACATTCACGCCGCCGTTGTCTGTGAGCTTGACATATCGAATACCACTGCCACCTTGTTCGACGATGAGCAGGTTGCCTAGTCTATCAAACTCAAGGCTGCGAGGTTCACTGAGCTGGTTCAGGATGAGTTTCGCAGAGTAGCCGGGAGCGAGCTGGGGTTGCGAGACGGGCGTTAGGTCGGCGCATTGAGCTGCAACTGCTGGCAATAGAGCTACGCCCAAGGCCGCAACCACTGCTACGAATGATTTGACGGATGCCATATGATTATCTTTACTTAGACAGTGGAGTTGCTGCCGAATGGTGCGTAGCCGTTCTCGTGGGACGCTGAGATGGGCTGGAAGACAATCGACTAGCCTGTGGCCTTCAGAGATAGCACGTATGTAGAGCGAGGGATTGATACCTAATGCTCATGTAAGAAAGAGCCAGTGTTAACAGAGAAATTGGGAAGGAGACGCGGCGTGCTTCCTGCTTTATCACATGGCGGCCAAAGACAAGAACGGCCTTCAGGTGCGCTCGATATGGCTCGACAGGGGCGGCAAATCTTCGTCCGCCCTTACCTGCCGCAATGGAGATCAGATGCCAACATTTGCAAGCTTCTTGACGCTCCCCTGGCAGACCGAAAGCGGGGATGGTGGTTCATCGATCTTGGCCATCATTCCTCCTCCTCCTTCTCCTTCTCCTCCCTGTAACTTAATCCTGCTTCCAGCAGCTCGCAGCTAGGGACCGTAGCAGAACCTATATGGGGTATGACGACGTTTACTATCGTATTGAACGCCCTTCATTCAAGTCAAACCATTCAGCCACATAGAAACATGTTTCGCTTCTCGTGTAATGCAACCGACCGAAAGACGCTGTGGCCTAAGTAGGTACGCAAGCCTGGGAAACTTGTTTGCATTGGTTATCTGGTTTTTTTACTGCTAGACCACTTCTGCATCGCCGAATCCAATCACGTCGTATGCGATGCAACGAACTGCCGGCGGACAACTTCCCATCATGGCAGCTCCCAAGACGGAACGGAACAGGGATACATAAAGGAAGGTGCATCCACCCAAAACCAACTCCAAGACCTGTACAACGGTCATTTTGACCCATGGTCAAATGACGAAAGGATCCAGAACAAGGCAAGGTTTCTAAAGGGCCATATTGATGAATCGTCTGTGGCAGTGAATGCCGATCACCTTGGCAAAAGTCTACATGCTGGGGTAGCTTGGGAATGAAGAAGGCAGTTGTGCTCGAGTGATGGGCTCGGGTCAGTGACGCGGCGTGAACATGTACGTTCCTCCGCGATTGAGATTCTTCCCCAGGATAAATAATAGCCGTCACATTAAGGTTGCCGCCTGCGAAGGGTGGAGAGCTCTGTACTGTACAACCGGGAGACAACAGATGTGTTGATCACTGGACGTGGTGGTTCGGTGGTTCGGTGCGGGGGTTCTCAATTAACCAATTTCTTTAAATGATACGAGCCGGCGGGGATCTGAAGGGGAGGAAGGTTAGTGTTCTTGGCGACGGTGTTGCGCATTTTGCCGATTGGATGGAGATATTGTTGCGCAACTGATTAAGCAATGGTGAACGGCTCGAGATAGCGCGGGGTAAGAGCGGAACGACTGGAGGCGAGCAGAAAGCATCCGGTGCCTGTGTGTGCCGACTTGTTTGGGTATGGTTGATTCTCTCGCGCGCATGGCAAGCGGTGAGCTAGCTCATCTCGGGGTCCGAATCACGGCAGACTTTCATTATCGGCCCTCTCCTGCCAAATAGCGAATGGACATGATGAATTCGCAAAGCAGTACAGAGCCGATCCAGTGCCTTTGGTTTCGCCGGATCGTCTTCGTCTCCCGAGTTCGAGTGGACCGGAGTGAGGCAATCCGCCTTCAGACGGCACCTCGGCGCGATAGAAAAGTCCACCATAGCCCCCCTTCCCCACCCCCGAAACGGCACGGCCCAGCGGAGGTCACCGCTCGGCCCTGGGAAGTGAGTGTTCGTCTCAACGTCGTCCCCAACATGCCAGATCTGCTCTTCGGAAAGACTCGCTTAAGCAGAGTAGGTCTTCCAGCGACTCAACAAGTGCCGGCCGCTTGACCCATTGCAGGCTGTCCCGTGCCATTTCCAACGCCGCTGCCTCCCCGCGGCGACGACATCTCACACCGACTGACCGACCTTCCGCCCCAGCCGAGCCGGGATCTACATGCCAGTGCGAATCCCTTTCCGTAGCCGTGTGACAAGGTGACACCACTGCGGCGTGTAGCATGACGTTTGCTCACAGATGTACAAAGGCAATGTCTTACATGCACGACTTGCGTAGAAACTCAACCTAGCCAAAACTAGGCAGCCCTTCTCGAATGAACACCAGAGGGCCGCCCATCAGATCGGTGAAGATTTCGTCCCTGGACGTAGAGTCAGACCAACCTGGTACCTCATAACACCGCTCCATAGATGACTGAACCGCTAGGCAGCATCCACGCAAAAGTCACCTGACAACGCGGTGACATCGCGTCATTCGGATCCGCGGGCGTCGCCGTGGCTTGCCCTAAACCTCATCATTCGGATTCGCGGGCGTCGCCGTGGCTTGCCCTAAACCTCACAGGCGGGTACTTGCAAAGGGACGCCGTGCAGCCCGCCCCCGTCGCAGCCAACCAGTCTTTGTCGGTGGCTTGCACAAAAGAGCCAAAGTGTTCCTCGAGTGGCCTCCGCAGGGCCAGGAAGTTCAAACTGGCCATTATTCGCGCTGGATCGGCTACCCAGTACAATTGACCGGAATGCCCCTCGCGTATCCACCCGTTCCTTCTCAACGAAACATGAGGTTTATTAATCATTGAAGGGCGCAATGCGGCTGCATGGTGGACTATCTCAGCTCTCGGGCTCCGTTATATAAAGTGCTGTTCATCGACCAGGAACCTTCACGTTTAAGTCTCTACCTCTACTACACCCTCCATCCCATTGAACAAGCCATATTACCCCGCCACAAACACATACTTGCCATGGCCACTTCCGAAGAGCAAGAACCCAAGCGGACTTACCGCGGCAATTGCCACTGCGCCGCCTTCATCTACGAGGTCGAGACTACCGAGATCAAGAGCCTGAGCGAGTGCAATTGCAGCATCTGTGTCAAGAAGGGGGCTCTCTGGATCATGCCGCCCAGCAACAACTTCCGTTTCGTCAAGGGCGCCGAGAGCGAGCTTTCCAGCTATAAATTCGGGTCCGGTCAGATGATCCACAAGGTGACGCCTCCCGCAACAACCCCCCATGTGTTGAACCGTGAGGCTCACTTTCGTACTTGCAGTTTTGCGGAAACTGTGGTACCGCCATTATGGTGGACTTCCCCAACGGGCCACCGTCCATGAAGATAGCTTTAAATGTAAGGCGGGCAGACGACTCCATTCCATGGCGGACCTTTCAGGGTTGACAAGATTGCAGGCGCGCTCGATCCAAGAGCTTGACATCGTCGGACTAGAGAAGTTATCGTACGATCCTCAATAACCAACCCGGATCTTTCACCCTGCTGACGTCTCGAGCAGTGTCAATGGCGCAAGTTGGGGATCCAAGTACGAGGTCCCAGCCCATAAAGGTCCGAATCCGACAGCCGAGGTCGAGGGGGGCAAGCTCTACACCGGAAGCTGCCACTGCGGTGCGGTCACGGTGGCGCTCAAGAGCAAGCCCATCGACGAGACTTATGAGGACACAATTATCGAGTGCAATTGTAGCATCTGCTTGAGAGTAAGCTGCCATCCTGATCGCGCCCACGCGCACGCAAGTGACGCTAACCTTAATCGCAGAATGCGTACATCTGGCTTAAACCCGGCGCTGACCAGGTCGTGCTGTCGGGAGATGACAGCAATATCGGCCGCTATACCTTTTCCCACCGCATTCTTGCAAAGACCTTCTGCAAGACCTGCGGCGTCCCAGTCACCAACCAGTACAACCCGCTGACGGAGGAGGAACGGCATGCGTTGACCAAGGACGCACGTTATTGGCACGACTGGTCCAAGGACAAGCATCCCGTAAATGCTCGAGTACTAAATGGAGTGGATCTGAAAAGCCTCAAGGTTCGTCATGTAGACGGCAAGGCCGAGATTCTGCCGGGCTATGTGAACCCATGAACGGTTCAAGAGATATTGGTAGTGAATGAGGAGTAGCGTGCATGCCGTTGGGTCCGTTCCGCTAGGTGCAACAGTTATCAAGCTTTCGGTTTTCGATTCGCATGGGTCCAGATAGGATTGCCGTCATCGTCGAACCGACCCCACAGGAAGAACGAGCAGCTGTCCTTGCCGGGCACATTGCCTCTGTGGCACATCCAGAAGTACTTCCCATGGTTCTCCTTCTTCCGCTGCACGACCCTTAATACGCACGGAATGCCGCAGTCGCATTTTGGGGTGTGGCGCGGATGCATCTCGGCCCTGTAGTCGCGGTAGGTGATGTTGATACGCTTGTTACCGGCGACGGGGTGCGGGTCGATCGACTGTGCTGGCGCGATGCTGTGCTTCCACTCTTCCTGCATCTCGGCGTGCATGACAAGCAGCGAGTTGTGCGGTAGATGGATTGAAATCTGACCCTCGGCGTCGGCGTCCTCGGTCGAGCTGCTACCGCCGCCACCGCCGTCTCCATCCTTGGGAACGATCCGTCGCACACGGAACTCTCGTGCGACGCCCAGAGATATAGACCCAATGACGGCGCGGGGACCGAGGTAGGTCAGCTGATCGCTGTGCCACCCGACGTTCTCATGCGGTCCGTCGTAGCAATTGACGAAGGCCGAGTTGGGGGCCCACGGCTTGGGAGATTGAAACCGTAGTTTCTTCCCTCCAGGGTAGCGAGTCCTGGTCCTCGTCTGTATCTCCCGGTTCACAGCCTCGGCGACTCTGGGCTTGACCTTGACGAGCTGCGGCGTGATGCGGCGGACGTCGCTGAGCTTAGCACCGTTGTAGAGATAGTCGGTCTTTTGCGTCTGGATCTCGTCGTAGCTCTCCACATAGAAGCCCGAAGTGTGCGGGCTGGCCACGACGTTGTCAAACAGTTTGAACGTCACATTCTTCTCGAAGGACTCGGCCTCCGTCATGAGCTCGCGCAGTAGGTCGTCCGCTTCCTCCGGCGGGAGGAAGCCGTGGATCACTGTACAGGGCGTATGCTCGGCGATGTCTACTGGGTCGTACAAGTGAAGAGTGGCCCCCTTCCTGGACATGAGTTTCTTTTTGCCCGGCAAGCCCGACCCCGCGTCGCCGTCTCTAGAATTCATGGCGAAATGTCGCAGGGAGCTTTGAGCGCCAGTGACTCCACTGGTCTTCTTCGGGAGGCTTGGTGTCTGCAGAGCTTGGAGCGACTCTGCAACCGAGCCGTTATACGCCAGAAGGACGTCCAACAGCACTTCTTGGTCAATGTTTGGGTGAAGCGATGAGAGAATTGCCAGCTTCACCTCTGTGGGCTCGTCGTCGTCGTCCGCCTGTTTTTCCATAGCCGGACTCAGCTTACGCTTTTTCCTGACGAGGAAGGACTCCATGACGTTGTTGAGAAACACAGAATTGTCGACATATGGCGATTTAAACTACATCAGGGTCGTCAAAAGAGTGCACCAAGAAAGAGTCTCCAATCTCGACAGCAAACCCGTCACTCCACGGACAAACGTCATCTTCTCCAAATGTTTTCCCAAGGGCGTCGCAAGGAGGCGCGTGTGTGGCGCCTGTTCACGTGCTCGGTCTCCTAGGATGACCCCTCAAACCGTAGGCCCCGATAATCGCATCTCCCAGCACCTACTGTATGTATTGCCCCGCCATACACTGTCGACCGGTCTGCCGAGGTACCCCGGATCGGCGTTACATCACCGCCCCGGGCAGAGCTATCCCGCCCGCGTTCATATGTTTTTCTATGCCGTCTGTGTGTCTGGTCAGCATGCTGCACAAACCCCTCCCATTCTGAGCAAACAAAACACTACATCGCATCCTGCCCGCCATGGCCCCGATGCTCGAGTTCCGCACTCAGGGCTTCAACCCGTATGCCGTCAAGTACTCGCCCTACTACGACTCGCGCATCGCCGTTGCGTCATCGGCCAACTTTGGCATCGTCGGCAATGGCCGCGTGTTTTGCCTCGCCTTGACAGCACGGGGCGTCGAGATCGAGACGACGTGAGTTCCCCTTCTTTGCCCTTTCCCTCGGTCCATGAACGGGTACTGAATTCCACTCGACCGGCCCGCCAGGTTCGACACGAACGACTCCCAATATGACCTCGCCTGGTCCGAGATCAACGAGAACCAGCTCGTCGTCGCCTGCGGTGATGGCTCCATCAAACTCTTCGACCTCGGCGTCAAGGACTTCCCCGTCATGAACTTCCACGAGCACAAGCGAGAGACCTTTTCCGTCAACTGGAGCCCCATCACGAAGGATACCTTCGTCTCCAGCTCGTGGGACGGCACGATTAAAGTGGCATGTCCACCACTCAAAAGGCACCATCCGTGCTATTGCATGCTAACTCCCGTCTCAGTGGTCTCCGACCCGCGAACACTCCCTCCGTACCCTCCCCGTCGGGAACTGCACCTACTCGGCTTCCTTCCAGCCCTCGAACCCGCACATCATCTCCGCCGTCTCGTCAGACTCTCAGATCCGCATCTTCGACCTCCGCACGCCCGCCTCCTCGCGCTACCACCTAACCTCCATGATCCCTGTCCACGCCGCAGGGCCTTCCTTCCCCTCCGCCGCGCCCGCCGAGGTCCTCACTCACGATTGGAACAAATACCGCGACACCGTCATCGCGACGGGCGGCGTCGACCGTGCCGTGCGCACGTTCGACATCAGGAACCCGACGGCAGGGCCCCTGGCCGTCATGCAGGGGCACGAGTACGCCGTTCGCCGGCTCGCGTGGAGCCCGCACGCCAGTGACTTGCTGTTGACGGCGAGTTATGACATGACGGTCAGGTTGTGGGATGACCGGTCAAATGCGCCTCCGACAGGGCCGCCGGGCGGGGCTCAGATTGGCGCGCAGGTCGGGATTATGAACAGACACACCGAATTCGTCGTCGGCGTGGACTGGTGTTTGTTCGGCGTTGGCGGGTGGGTTGCGACCGTCGGCTGGGACGAGAGGGTTCTTCTCTGGGACGCGAATGCGCTCCTGGCCGGCCGATAAGAAAGTGGCGAGCAGTTGCTTGGGTTCGTGCTTTCTGGCGCTGAAGATTCTCATCCCCAAGGGAGGCGCATTTTCTTCTTCTGGCTTCCTTGTCAGGGCGTTTGGGGGTTCTAGGGAGGGGAAGGCGTGTATGGCCGCTTAAAAAAGTGATCGGCTTGAATAAGCGCTGCAAGCGGCATCCATCGACTGGCGTTGTACGGAGCGGTACTGATGTTATACTCGAGGGAAGCTTTTCTTGGACCAACACAGGGAAAAGGACCATCGTTACCATGGCAGGGTATGGCGATACCGTAATCACACATACCGAGAGGGCACACGCACAGAGAAAGTGAGAGAGAGATGTCACATATAAAAGCAGAGGGCCAAGAGTTCTTTTGAAGAAGAGATTCGGGGGGTCCATTTATGACCCGGATTTTGTTACATGGCTAACTGATTTCGTGCTCGTCTTTTCTTTTCCCCTTTGGTATACAGTGGCTTAAGCACATTTGGGTTCAGCCCGTTCTGGTAATAGTGGCAGTGACACACACAACTCTAAACCCCCGTGTCGATAAGCAAAGCCGTTCTTCCGTGCTCCGTACAAAAAGGTATGATACAAAAGGAGGGAGGGGATGGTGTACCTGGAAGGGGTAGTGAAGGTATGACGTGTCTAATTCCGCTCCGAAGTCGTCAAAACGTAGTGCCAGACTTCTTCCACTTCATCGACGGCCTTCTCTTTCTTTTCCCCCTCGTCATACTCGTGCTCAACGCCTAGAAAGAAGCCGTTTCGCGTCTGTTGAAATTGCGGTCAGAACGTCCGTTCCTGCGGGAGCCGCCGCGGGAATGGCGATCGGAGCTCTCGAGCCCCATCCTTTCAAAGGGGTCCCTGCGGGAGCGAACGCCACCACGGTCGGAGAAGCCACCACGGTCGGAGAAGCCACCACGGTCGGAGAAGCCACCACGGTCGGAGAAGCCACCACGGTTGGAGAAGCCATCACGGTCGGAGAAAGCATCCCGAGAATCGCGATCGTCGAAGCGGCCGCGGCCCACTCCGCCTCTGCCAAAGAAGGGCTCTTGTTCGGCGATGTTGAGGCCCCTAACGTTGCGCAACCCGCTCTTCTGGACGACAGAGGCGCTAATCGCTGGCGTGTTATCCATCCCCATGGCGTGGACGAACCACTCTCTCAGCTCGTCGGCCTTCTGCTGGATATCACCAGCGCGCTGTCCGAAAAGCGAAAGGTAGGCTGAGCTTAGAGTCTGCTCGCGAAGCTGGGAGGTGGCCTCTGTTACCTTTGTCGTCAGCTCCGACGGTAGCTCTTGGCTGGTGAAATCGAAGTGAGCGGCTTCAAACTCCGTGATGGGCTTGATGGGAAGACCCGCGAGCTCACTGCGGGCAAGGTCGGTCTCACACTCGGGAATGATGAGCCATCCCTCGCCCTCCTTGTCTGCGCGACCTGTACGGCCGAGCCTGTGGATGTACTGCTCACGAACCGACGGGCAGCCGACCTGGATGACGTGGGTGACATTGGGGAAATCGAGACCTCTAGCGGTGACATCAGTGGAGAACAGAATGCCGGACTTGGTATCACGGAATCTGTTGGACGCGTTGGTGCGCTGAGCTTGGGTGAGCTTGGCGTGGATTCTCCAGCTCATAATTCTGTCACGGTTGAACCTCATTCTCTGATCAACATCGGCAACGAGATCGACAAAGCCGGACGTGGGGAGGAACACAAGCGCCTTGAAAGGCATCAGCTCCGGGTTGTTGCGACGCTTCTCGATTTCCTTTTCCATCAGCTCATAGAGGGTCGGAACAACGTTGGCCCAGCCTTTGCATTTGACAACATGTTGCGGCACCTTCTCGTGAGTGAGGACGTCGTCGGTGGAGACAGTTTGGATGAAGTCAAAGTTGTCGGCGCGGACCCATTGCCGGGCTAGGGCAATGACGTTCTTGGGGATGGTGGCAGAGAAGAGCAAGGTCTGGCGCTGCGAAGTGCGAGGGTCGGGAAGCTCATTAACAATCTCCTGCAGCTCCCTCTCGAAGCCGACATCGAGCATGCGGTCGGCTTCATCAAGAACGATAGCGGCCAGATTCGGGGCGCTGATACCACTGTGGCGGTCCGAGAGGAGGTCGTTCAAACGCCCAGGCGTACCAACGAGAAGATGGCATCCTTCTCTCTGCGTCCTCCTGAGCATGTCGTTCTTTCTTGTTCCACCGACGGCGCACTGGACAACCAGACCCGTGTTGGCGCACAGCTTCTGGGCCTCGACGGCAATCTGCTCGGCGAGCTCACGGGTGGGAGAGATGATGATTCCTCGAATGTCAGTGGAGTCGGCGGAGAAACGTGCCCCGCGGGTGGCAAGCGAGGGGTCCACCGCGAGCATTCTCTGCAGAACGGGGATGAGAAACGCCAGGGTCTTTCCGGTACCGGTCTTCGCCTGGGCGACCCTGAGAGACCGTGAGTGACTGGACGGGAGGAGAGCCTAGTGTTGGGTGCAACTTACAGATCCATGCCCTTGAGAGCCGGTTCAATCGTTTTGCTCTGCACATCCGACATGGTCTCATACTTCATGCCGTCGATAATGGTGCTGACCAACCTGTCGTGCACGCCCAACTTGCGAAGATCCGCAAACTTTGTTATGGGACCAGAGGGCTGTTGAGTCTTGGCGGCTGGCTCAGCAGCTTCTGCGACAGCAGCCTCGCTGGAGTAGCGTCTGAATGCATTGATGCTGAGGGGAGCGCGAAGTGTACTTTGTGAAGACTGCGCGATGGACTTGAGAGTAACGGGCCTCGTTGTTCGGAGGGAAGGAGTCGCGAAGCTTGCGCCGCCGATGCGGGCGCATCTTCTGAGGGATTGTCGGAACATTTGGTTTGTGATTAAAGACAGTATTAACTGAAGAGAAAAACAATGATACAATACAACTCGTTTGATCGGGAGTAGGGAGCAGAATGATGAAGGGAGCGACGGGAGTGGATGGGTGAGATGTCAAAAGGACGGAGTGTTTGTTGTAACTTTTTTCTCGCTATCCAAATAACAGGAGGCGAAGCGATAACAATTTTTTCCTGGCCTTATCGGCTCATTCGCTCACGTTAAGGTGGGTCATCCCTTACAGGGGACGCCGTGTGGCTCCGACTTTTGTTCCGGTCCCACAGATTTAGCACTTGGAAGGGACGGCTGGAACACCAGAACACCCTCTTTCCTCGAATCGAACCAGCAGGACCTGTCTGCTTGACAACCTACCTACCTACCTACCCAGGGTACACCTACATACAAATACCACTACACCGTACGGTAATGGCCAATCGTTGTTTATATCTTCGAAACTCCAGGTAGCTCTAGTGTACGGCGCTGAGCAGCGTGGATCCTGCTAATCAATACCCGTACCTTCCTGTATCACATCCATATTTGTGGTGTGACCGGAGTTTGGCTCGCCGTTACGCTCGATTCGCCAGGACTCAGCTCATATGCAAACCGACTGATTGGTGTTTCACACGATGAGGTTTGCAAACGCAGATGAAGGTTCTATGGGAATTCATTTCTATCATACGTATCGTTCATTCCTACCGTGATTGCTCAACTAACATTTCGATCATCCTGATCGTTGTAGATTCACACACACCTTGTGAAATCACCCTGCCGCAATGAGAGGTAAATCTGACCCGGAGAGACCCGCCTGGCCGTTTTGTCTCGCCCCAGAAATCCGATGGAAATAAACGGGAATCTTCGACAGATTTCAACATGCCCCCATCCCCTTCCCCCAATGGTCAGATTTGGTTGAAAACCCGTTATGCGTCCGTTCACATCCCAGTAGCCAGCCTCCTGTCCAACCTGACATGGGAAACAAGAATATACTCCAAAGTCTAAACACAAAACCCAAGGAACTTCCTTTCTACCGTTTAGATATCATCCTGGCTGTGGTTCCCCCCCTCTCATTGTCGTTTGGGCGCTACGAGTGACAGACCCTCGCCGACGCCATCGGACAAGCCGCCTGTGAAGCCCTCGACTGTCCAGGCAATTGCTTCTGTGAGAGCCTGCCCGAGCCTGCCGTCGCCGACGTTGCACAAGGCGCCGGTTATGCGCATGCCCTTGCTGCCGATGGCGTTGGCGAGACCCATACCCGCGCCCACCAGATTCTCCGATATCCGGTACTCCCGCTCCGTGCGGGCTGCTAGCCGCAGCAGGAGGATGAGGTATGGAAGCGCCAGATGAATAATGAGGAAGATGTTGACGACGGCCGTCTGCACGCCCCTGTGGAGGATCGAGCGCCCGTTATTTGCGCCCCGCGATGGCGAATACGCGCGGCTGTTGGGAGGGGTAGAGGGGATGAAGTTAGACGGTGTCGACGTGCGGAGTCGATGGAGCTCGTGTTCGTTCAGGTCGCTTGGGAGCGCCTTGAGGATGTACTCGACACCGTCGAGGAATGCTTTCCGTTCAAAGTCCACTGCCGGCCGCCGCGAGGGCTGTCTTAGCTCATCCTGAGCGACGGCAATCAAAGCAAGGCCTGCAAGATGGTAATGTCAGCTGCGGGGCCTCTCGAACGCGGTTTCGTCTTGATGAACCCTACCTTGTTGAGCAAACCGCCAATCCACGTTCGAGCACTGACTCGCTGCCTCCTGTTGCTGTAGGCGGTATTGTTCCGCCTGTCGCCGGTCCTGCTCGTGCTTGTCGGCTGCAGACCGCATCTCGTACGTCCGCGAGGACTGGTGGTGCTCCGTGGCCACCAGACTCATGTGCTCCTCGGTGCTCTCCGAGATGATGCGTGCCTGGGTGATGTTGGGGTGCATGCCGTCGAGCCCCGACAGCGAGCGGGTGTGCGACTGCCTGCTCGAGGAGAGGGTCTGCATGCTGGCGCTCTTGCGGATGGACCGCAGCGGCGGGAGCCTGGACTGAAGGGACGTGGGCAGCATCGAGAAGACAGTCGAGGACATTCTATTCTGCGGCAGGGTGATTTCCTCAAAAATAGGACCCCAGGGTCGCAGGGGGGGCATTCTGTTTTTATTGTCGGGAGAGGCGCGAGGCACGTCCGTCCGCAATGGTGGTGGCTTTCCGGTGGGAGACCACAACAACCCAGGGGTGTTAGGGAATTCGGTGAAATGGGCGTGGCGGTCTGTTCTCACTCCCTGGTGATCTGGTGAGGAGGCTCCTAGGCTTGGGACCGGGAGCGTTATCGCCAGCGTAGGAATGCTATGGTTCGACGGCGATCGATTCTAGCCCGGCGCCTGTAGCCTACGGGTCGGGGAATGTGGGCGAAAAGCGTGTTTGACAAGGTTCAAATAAAGTCTCCTCTGTGGAAACCAACGTTTGAATGCGATCACGCCTACGAGGGACCGTCTCCAAGGTGAGTGTGGTACTGGAATGCCTCGATTCAAGATGGCAGCCGAAAGAGACGACGACAAGCACGGTGGGATAGCGGGAGAGCAGGAGTGTGATGCAGGTCAGAGTCCGTGAGGTGAAGCTCTATGAGGGGGTTGGAAGAACATAAAGTCGTAAAGCAAGACAAAGAAACCAAACAAGTGAGAGGGAGAGAGGGAGAGGGGAAAAGAGAGGAAGAAAAAAGACTCGGGGAGAGAGGCTAGGTAAAGGTGGTGTAAGGCGACCAGCACAATAAACCGGAAGAGGTGGAAGTGGAGCTGGAGTGCGCAAAGGAAAGGTCAGGAAGTGTGTGGTAGTTGATAAGTCTCGCCGGGCGGGTTGTGGTTTCTCCAAGGATTCCTTATTTTTTTGTTGTTGCATATATTTTGCGGGCTGTACTTTGTCCATCGGTAGCGGCCGAGTTCTGTGTTCTGCCTCGTCCGATACAAGAGGGTAAACAGCTTCCCCGTCAGAGCAGGAAAGTTTACCTTGTGTTTGCCAGTCAATACCTCTCGAAGCACGGGTATTCGAGTCCTCGAGACCCTTTGTAACGTTTGTTACTGCGTCCTAAGCAGAGTTACCGCGAAACGCTCATCAACAAGTGCACAGTTAAGCACGCTGAGTGCTTGAAACGCCGCCCCGCCGTCTACCAAGTACTACCTGCACCCGTGTCCACGAGCCTTTTCTTCTGTCCCTCAGTGTTCGCCTTGCTTTTCGGGTGAGTACCGGAACGCACTGGGAACGAAAAGAGATACGTTCTCCAAAGCATGTGAAAGACAAGAAATGTTGGGTCGGAGCGGGGCTTATCGGTTCTCTAATCCGATACATCCATGCCAATGCTCATGCTACCCACCCACCCACGGTATCCTACACTACCTATAGGTTAGGTATTGGTACACTACAGGAGGCAATGAAAGCACATGGCCTACGGCCTATTGCGCCATTACCTCTGCATGAGAAAAGGTGCCCTCCCTTTCCCGGTCCATCTTACAAAGTACCTTAACTACAGTCCATCCATACATCGTACAATACAGTCCCACGGGGCATGTGCACAAGTAGTGTACACCGTAGGACGGATGCTAAACGGTCAGTGTTGCAGGGGGGGCCGTCTTCTGCCATTGAAGCTGCAGATTGGCAGCTGCGACGCCCACACGCAGTGCTCGTTACGTGACTTCATGGGAGGTCATGCATTGCTTGGGGATTTCCGATTCGATTGTTGAGGCCATACAGGTTCCCGGCATGGGATCAGCAGCAAATGACGGGCATGCAGTGACAGGTTGCGGCGTCCCAGTGTTGTACATACGCAGTAGGTACTACATCGCACCAAAGGTACCTTGGTATAGTACCGCAGGCGGCGCTAGAAGCGCAGCCCAGCGAGTGAGATCCAGCCGCCAGCCGCATCTTGGAAATCCTCCAACCACTCCCTGAGTCCCCTCCCGGGCACCTCCCACACCATCTAGGTGGTAAATACTACACCAGAGTCCCCTCGTACCCCACGAACCAGCCAGAGGCGAGATCCCTCGGGTCGAACAAACCCTCGCCTCAACCTCTCTAGCCTGCTGTCTGTTCTCTATGCCTATCCTGGCACTATCGCACTATCACTTGACGAACTTGGTTCTGGCGCTTCCTTGTGGCGTCGCTGCCGCTTGGCTTTGCCACTTGCACACCGTTCTCCTTCGCCCTTCTCGTCTTCGTTCACGCCCCAGTAAACCTCGGATTCCTTTCCTGGCATGCCGCGGATGCAGGGTCTTTCTCTTAGATCTGAAAGGCGGGAGGTAGAGAGGGGGGGATATCTAGGGGACCACCCAGACGACCCCGAGAATCGCCGACAGCCTGCCGCTATGCACCAAACACCAGGAATGGGAAAAAGAGGACAGCTAACGCCAAAGCGATGTCGGTAGCCTAGGGAGACCCTAACGTTTCGCCCCAGACCCTTCTTCCTCGATCAACCCGCCGCTTTGGGAGAAGCAAGACGAGGTACATGCGGCCCAGGCCCTGGCAAGGCCGGGCTCCGAATGTGATTCCTTTGACCTGAACGCTGAACGCTCTGTTATAAAAATGTCTCTCCTTTTCCTTCCTTTGTGCCGCCGGAACCGAACAAAACCGGCAAGGCTCTCTGGCTCTCCTGTTCATTTTCGTTGAATGGCGGGGTTGGTCCAAGCCCCCCTCCATAGGATAAGTTCACTTTGCACGCCTAAGCTGAAGAGAAAGCCCACGTGTCTAGCTGTCGTGCATCGAGGTCCAAGGGGTCGACGACAAAAACACTAGCATCGAGCCCCCCCCCCCCCCAAACCACCTCGACGCCGACGGCCCACCCTTGACAACGGAAAAAAAATGTCTCAGGTAAAAATATATATATATATATATATATTAAAATTAAAATTAAAATTGTATGCGCTGTACAACGCCGGCCGGCTGGATGCACTCGAAGCCGCCGCCTGGAAAAGTCAAGCCGCAGTGGATGGCCGTTTCCCCCGTCCTATGAAGCAAGCTCACCTAGAGCAAAGCCTCAACTCGGCGGCGGGCAGAAACTGCATACACCATAGTGATTATTAAAGACAAGGAGGAAGATTGACCAAGATGTGCCCATGTGGGTGGTTTTTAACATGGCAGGCCAACGCCCATCGCCGCATCGACTGTGCAACGACTTTGTTGGATAAGATCGCTTTGTCTTGTCGTTGTCCGGGTCACGTGAGACAAGATATCTACCAGGTTGGTCCTGATTCCACTTCGACTGGGCCCTCGGCTGAGCCGGGCATGTGGTCATGGCTTTGGACAGCATGCCGTGTTTGTGAGGCACCAGATGCCTGTCAAAGCCATCGCGACTAAAATGATGGAGGACGAAGTGAATGGATACGGGGCGAACGCGATAACACGACCGGCCGTTCATTACGGCTTCCTCATTGCGGTCAAGCGGGCGGCCAGCACCCCTACCCCCCGCTCCAACTTCTGCCACACAGAGAAGGGGTCTCCCTTTAGACTGGCAGCGCAATAGGATGTCGCGTCAGATGCAGGCGCCTTGTCGGCATGTGCTTATCGGGGTTTCTTGTCGATCGCCTCTGTAATTCCTTGATACGACTGGCTGCCCCTAAGGGATCACGGTACATTGCGTAGGACTTGACTCAAGATCAAACGCCGGGGTCGTGTTCGAACCTTGCTGGTGACAGTATCTTCGCGTATTGGATTAAATCCCCAGCTACCACCACATCTTAGACTCTCGCTGTATGCGTGTGTGCGCGTGTGCAAATTCCCAAATGTACAAACCCGCTACTGTCCCTACACTACGCTCGTGAAAATAAAACACTCTTGTTCAAGGCACTCTCAGAAACCGCCATCCGGAGCCCCCCTCAGCTCGCTGCCTTCTCCGCGGCGATCTTGGCCTCCATCTTCCGCCTCGCCGCAAGGATCATCTCGTCCCTCCGCTTCTGGAGCAGCGACTGCCTCTCGTCGCGGTTCGAGCTCCACCCCCTGCTAGCCTTCTCATTCTCCGCCTCGGCCTGTTCACGCTGTTGTGCCGAGATCTTGTCCTGCAGCCTGTACCGTGTAATCAGGTCCGGCTGCGTCGGCTTCTCGGCCGCCTTGGCCGGTGTCGAGGAGCTCGCCGTCGCGTTATTAGCTCCTGGCGGGGGAGGAGGCTGGAATGTGATGGGAGGCTGTGGGTCATGTTACAGTCAGCGAGGCTGCGCTCTGCAAGATGGCATCAGGCGCCGCGATAGGTAGCTCTGGCGGATACCAAGTAACCATTACCAGTGCCGCTATTGCGGCAGTTTCCCATGCGCGGGGAGCTGAACAAGCGAGGCAAGTACTAACCGTCTCCATTCGTCCCGCAAGAATCCTCTCAGACGTCGCCTGGATGTTGCCCCCATTTCTCTGCAGGTCCCAGAGGATGGTCCGTCGTTCGACCTGCGGGAACATTTGCTGTATCCTCTCGACCGCCGCCTCTCGCATGCGCAGCACCGACTGGGCGCTCTGTCGAGGCGCTGGCGGCGGGGCTGGCGAGAAGAAGAGGAATCGAATCACGAACGCCGTCACCAGTAGAATCACCACCAGATACGGCAGCGAGATCTGCTCGTTCGCCATGGGTACCGTGTGTTGGTGTGCACGTGTGTATGCGTGTGTGGTCGGGGTTGCGTTCCAGTCAGATCGGAGGCTCGTTCGGGTCGTTCGTTAAGGACCCGGCCAAGGTTGCAAACTTTCGCTTGAGTGAGATGTGTTCAAGTCTTTCGACCGAGAGAGATTGATCGGTGCACGCTTCGCAGGGAATGAGGTACTGACGTGGAGAGGCGAGAGATCGTGTCGCTGCTGGGCGTGGGATCGGGACGTGGTCGAATTGATACGTGGAGTCCCGCTGGTAGCTTTTATGGAGTTGATGAGTTCATCGTCCTTCGTTCACCAAGCAGGGATTAGGAGCTTATGTGGCGCAAAGCCGGAGTTTTCCGCGACAGGAAGGGGCGCACGGGGCCGTCATTGGCGACCCACTCCCCGGCCCGAAAACACCACAGCTCGGGATTCACAACAAACGTTGGAGGTGACCAACTACGTACTATCCCACAATACCTGTTTGCAAAACGGAGCACACGAAAATCGGGTTTTTTTTTTCTCTTCGAATCATCGGCATCGTCCTTTTTATTTCCCTTCGTCGACGGCCGTAGGTTATCCCCATTAATCAGTGATTCATTCATACACACAAAGCGGTGTTAGGCAGCTTGTGCCATATGCTTAGTCCAGCTTCAATCCGGAAGCCTGTAAAACGTTGCTGCATAAACATGAATTCAACGCCTGTTTGGCGAAATGCCCAGTGCCCAGGTATGAAGCCGTTCCAAGCCCTCGTCAACACGACAAGAAACCCCGCCGTAACCGTAATTGAACTATGCAGCAGGTTGTACCAGGTTCGTCTCAAGATCCCCATAGTGCAGCGTGAGCTCCCTCTGTATCAAAGGTTAGCTGCCGGTACAAATTGACAGATGATTAAGATTAGCTGAGACATACCCGTTCCTTACGCCAGTTGGTGGTGTCCCAGACGATGTAGTAGCCGCGCTCGTGATGAGGGCCAAGACTGGTGGGCATCATAAGCTCATCCTTAGTCAGCCAGATATGCAACTTCTTGTGCCACCGCCAGTTTCGGTTGTGTCTGTATCCTAGTCAGCTAAAGTAGATGAGAAAGAGACCAAGACACCCACAGCTCGACCGCAGCCAAGTGCTGCTTGATGTCCTGCGTGCAGCTGTAGAAGATCCAGAAGAGGGTCTCTTCGTTAAAAGATGGGATCTTTGTATCGATAGGCTGGACGTTGGTCACTTTGTAACACTCAGGTAGACGGACGTTGGGAATGGCGGGACGCGGTGGCGTGTCGTCAAAGAGAGAGTAAATCTGCGTAGAGATGAGACTGTAGCGATTAGCGGATGGTCCGCCCCACGAGCCTCAATTTCCTTACTCTGAAGAATTGACATTAAGACCAAACTCGTTGGGATCCATTCCCTGCATGAGCGCTGCGTAGCTGGGGTAGTTGTTCATGAGAACGCGCAGACCTTTCATGCCGAACTTGTCGATTGGAGCCATTCCCGCCAGGGGGTCCTGGACCTCGAGAGACTGGCCGTCCTTCTCATCCTTCGTCTTACCGGTAACCGAGTCGTTACCAATAGCTCCTAGGGGGTTCCGGCTTTCTGCGGCTTGAGATGAGCTGCTGTCGCCAGATGCCTCTGTGTGGAGAGCACCACTCTTGTCAACAGATGAGTCTTGCGTTCTTGGTTGGTCTTGAGTCTCGTCAGTGGGAAGAAGTGTGTAACGCGGGGAGGGTGGCATACCCTGCGCGCTGGCGATCGACGGTGAGCGGCCATCTGGTCTACTGTTCGCTGAGAGCGCATTAAGCAGGCCGTTACCTGCGCCTGCGCTTCGGGGAGGAGGTATCGCTGCGGACGAGCCGGTCGCCTGGTTACCGAAGCCCAGAGAAGGCATCAAGTTGCCACCACGCTCGCCACCAATCTCACCGTTCGCGTTTCGGTTCAGAGGCGGGAAATCATCTACCGGATTGGACTGTGACTGGGGAGTCGGGGCCCCGCTGGTCTGGTTACCGAAGCGGAAGGCACCTTGGCGCGCTGACGAAGGGGTGAACAACTCATCCTGCGCGCTCTGTGCTGAGAGTGGTGTTGACTGCTGGTTGCGTGGCACAGGCCCACCACCCAGGTTTCGCGATGCTGTTGATGACCACATGTTTGACTGGCCGCTGGTGTTCATCTGGGCGTTGTTGGAGAGGGAGGGAAATTCGCTACTTCAAAAGTCAGTAACTGCCGTCGTTAAATTGCTGAGAGACTTGAGATGAAGTTGCGCCAAAGAGGAAGATGGGGTCAAGGTCACAGTCAGAATTAAATCCCAGAAAAGAATTACTTCTTGAGAACCTCAGCGTAACCCTTCTTAGGCTGTTGGCCTGGGGGAGAAGGAGGGTCCATCTTCTCCTTTGCGGCGGTTTTCTTTCGAACCAGGCGCGACTTTTTGCCCATGGTTGTGGAGAACAGAAAGTCAAGGCGAAGTAGGGGAAAGGAGAGTAGAAGAACCAAAGTGCGGTTGGGTGTGAAGGTCGGATTGTAGCAGCTGGTGTTGTCGTTGCGTGCGGAAGGTGATAGTCGGGGCAGAAGTGAGGTAGGGCAGGGGATGGCCGCGCGAGAAGGGAGAAGGAGGAAAGAACGTACGAAAGGTCAAGCGGTGTTGCCGGTTGCGACCCGCTTAGGCTCTGGGCAAAGCTCACATTTCCTCCAAGTTGACGGGCTTGATTTTGCAGACCAGCACCTCCCATGGGCACCCCTCCTCCAAATGCCCAGCCTGACCCGTTACTGCCTGTGTATTCCAAACACTCTACGTTAACGTACTGCTTCTTCCTCTTCTTGTCGGTCGCATGTGGCCGCAAAGAACACAGACAAAGGTTTTGTGACTGTACCTATCTTGCCATTTGGTAACCTGTTTGTTACTGTCCTCCCAGGCTGTTGCTGCTGCTGCTGCTGCTGCTGGCCACCAAAACCTGTCGGTATGCCACGCAGTGATTGAGGAGCTACTCCTACTGATTGCGCCCATTGTCAGCTTGGGGAACTGGTAATGAGACTTTCTGAGAGTTCTAGGGTTGTTCCCTAAGGATCAAGCTTCAAACGAGGCCCCTGTTTGTCCATCGAGAATCCATATCTACGTCGGGCTCGGCCGGCGCCAAGCGTCAAGGCTCAACCTCTATGTCGGTTGCTGAGGATGGCGAGGGGGGTCTACTGAGAGCATCGCCGGTGGCGTCACGTGTCGCATGCATCGTTACAGTATCCAAAGAGGATTTTCGATGGTACAGAATCGTATTGGCCAGCATTGAGAGTCGCGACGAGATCCAGGTGGCCTTGATGGACATGCAAACGGCGGGGTACCCCGAGGCTGAAAGGAGACAACAGAGGATCAAGCCTACCTGGTCGGTTCATGGTGAAGGATCTTCGCGGTAAATGATCGCAATGAAGGGTCGCGTCGTATAGGTAGACGTCGAGAGGGGTTCGGGGTTCAATTCGGATCGCCGATGGGTCGAGTTCGCTCGAAGGATCGTTGTGGCTCGAAGCTTGCACGCAAAGAAGCTCTACCGGGGATTGTTTGTACTGCACACTTCAGTGAGAGGCCGAAAGCCCAGCCAACACTGACGAGCGGAAGACCGGTCAAAGATGGATCCGATGGCCTGTGCGCCTTGAGCCCCTCCAAAAACCCCTGCATCAGTGCGAACCTGCGCTACTGCGGTACGTGTTCCTGGGGTCTTTTTCTAACATCATGTTGTTCCCAATACATGGGATGACAGTTTTTACAACGACCCGCTGCTGCTGATGCTTTTGAGGGCCCTTGGGGGCTTTCGAGGGTCGCAACAGGAATCATGGCTCCCGGGTCTGCGTTGATCTTCTGGCCTTCGAATTGTCAAGGCCGTCTCTGGTATGGGCTATTGACGGGGTGCCGAGCACCTACACATTTCACTTCCTCTACCAGTTGCTCATTTCCTACAATGCGTTTGTGCCAACGCAACCAGGCTGCATGGTCTTCTTGTTGGATAGACCATCTGCTCATACTTTTTTGGTGCGCGTGGCTTCCCACCACGTCCGGCATTCACGCCGCTTTACAGCGATTGTGTCCAAGCTCTCTGGGCTGACTATCTACGTTGGAGCAACGAACATCACCAGCCTGGGCAGAGTCCACCCCGCTATGTCGAATCATGAGGTGTACGATGCATGTGTTGATTGCTATGTGCTCAAGATGAGGAGGTCCGCGAAGCTCTTTTCAAAGTCAACGCCCTTCAGGTGTCTTCCAATGAGGATAATTTTGCCCTCGTGAGCTTGCGCCGCCTCGCGCGATTGATCCGGCGAGTCGAGTATCTCGAATATCTCCCGAACGCCCTGGATAAGCTTGACATCGCCGTTGTCAAAGATGAGTCGGCCTTTTGACCGGTGGACCTCAAGCACTGTTGCCTCATCCCCAGGAAGTCGGCGATCCCAGAGTATCTTGCGCAGCCATTTATCGACATTGTCCAACTGTGAGGGCGACAGTTTTGGTACAGGAATCGAAACAGTGGAGATGGTCTATGAGATTAGCAACATTCATCATAAAACCCTTGGCAACGTTCACTCACGGGATCTAAGTGGCTGTGCCCTTTTTGGCTGATGTCAAGCTCCGTAATCTGGTCGTATGCATGCAAATCCAGTAGGAAGCCCTCGAGCTGAGGCACCTCGCTCTGTTTGGTGATGTGGATCTTTGCTATGCCATTGATGGACTCTATCCTCGACCTGACTTGGTTCAACTCTTCCTCAGAAACGAGGTCCGACTTGTTAATGACAACGACATCGGCGTGCGAGATCTGGACGTGGGCGGTCGTCATAAGCGGGCCATGGCCGTGGCTGTCGTTCTCCTTGTGGTCCTCGTCAATTTCGATCTTGCCCGCGGGGTCATCGAGACTGCGGAGGATGTTCTTCGCATCGACCAGCGTTACAATGCCGTCTAAGTAGATGGTACTTCCCAGGCCGTCGTCGACCCAGAACAGGGGGGCGAGGTTACCAGGGTCGGCCAAGCCTGTGGTTTCCAACAGAATGTAGTCAAATGCGCCCTTCTTTTCCATGAGCGATTCGATGGCATTGACGCCGGTGTCTCTGACCTGTGTTAGTCTTGTTCACACCAGATGTACGGTCCCTTACTTAACAGAGCAGCAGATGCACCCGTTGCCAACTTCCAGCCACTCCTCCACTTGCTCGTCACCCTTGTTTACAGTGAGAGACTTCTCGATATCGAGTGCTTGAATGTGTAAGCATCTCTAACCACCCTGATTGATGAGCACATCCTTACAGTCGCCAAACTCTACAAACAACGTTAGCGCAATTTGATTTTATTTGTTGACCGTCTGATAACTGACCATTCATGATGACAGCAATTTTCTTTCCATGCTGAGCCGTCAAAATGTAATTGAGCAAAGTCGTCTTCCCAGCACCAAGATAGCCGGTCACGATAGTTATGGGGACCTTGATCTGTCTTTCCGAAGGAGGCAGCTCTTCCTGCAGCTCGGTGCCCGTCTCTACTAGATCGGGGGGGGCATCATCGTCGAAATCCATGGTGGGATGGGGGGAGCTCTGTGCCTGAGCTCAGACCAGATCTGTGAAGGCAAGAGATGTACTGGATTGAATCCAAGGCAGACTCTTCTTCTGAGGACAGTTTGCGGATGCGGCAAGAACCTTTGGGCAGACCAAGAACCATACAATAAAACACGCTTTTTGTATGACTTGTAGAGCGAGGAAGTCTGCAGACTGAGCAGTGGAACAGATGATCGGTACGTACCGGGTTGCGTTTTCCATTTGACGTCGTCTGGTCCCACTTCACTGTCGGCGGCAGCTTCATCACTGAGAATGAGGACCCCGGGAAACTCTGCCTGACTAAGCCGACTAGGGGTGGTTGAGCATGGAAGCCAGCGCAACAAATGACACCAAGCAGAGAAGCTCTGGCCCCCAAAGACCCGATGTGGGTGACTTGGAGCTCTGCTTAGCCGCCCGCCTTGACTTTTTGGCACTTGGCTCAAAGACAACCACGTAACCTGCCCACCACCCTCTGCAACGCCTCTGCCCGCGAACTTTGATGGCGAAGAGGTTTTACCACCGAAAAGGACATACTCTCACCATTACACACCGCTGCCCTATATAGACATCCTTTATTCTCCGTTCTTCACTCTCTATTCCTCTCCTTCACAATGTCAATGGCGCCGAGCTCGCCCCGGCTACCCAGTCCACCGCCGCCTGCCGAGATCCAAATCGGTCCTCCATCCCCCTCAATGGGTGTACAGTCGAATCGTCAGGCTTTGCCTATGGAGCAGTCCCTGATCGAGTCGAATTCGAGGCGCCGCATACACCCGGGTACTAAAGCTGCCGACATGGCTGCTGGTCCGCCGCTGATTCCCCTTAATGAGGTGCGTACATACCACTGCGAAAGCACGCGACCTCCCTCCCTCCTCCTAGTGCGGCCTTCGCGCTGACGTTGTTCTTTTCATATAGCTCGATTCGGCCTTTCAGCTTCAGGAGCACCTTGCCGCCCTCCATTACTACCATACCAACAGTAACAGTACCCCGATAACCCGTACGACGGCGATCCAGCTCGCGACTCCCCCGCCTGGCATTGACCGCACGTTATGGCTATACGAATTGTGCCGCTTCCTCATCTCGCAGTGCAATACTCTCATCGTTGGCTTCCTCTTCGACTCCCCGCCCTGCAGCGCCGCGACATGTCCCGAGATGCGCGCCTCCGAGTGGCAATTCCTTTGCGCCGTCCACGAGCAGCCCAAGAGCTGCTGCGCCATCGACTACTGCTGCCACACGCTTGACTGGGCCGCGAATATTGTCACCGATCCCAAAATCTTCCCTTCGCGATTCGTCGTCCTCTCCGACGTTCACAATAAGAGCGTGGCCGTCAAGAACCTCGTCAATGTCTTCCGCCGCCTGCACCGCATCTTCGCTCACGCATGGTTCCAACACCGTGCCGTATTCTGGACTATCGAGGGCCAGACCGGCCTCTACGTCTTCTTCAAGACCGTCTGCGACATGTACGACCTCCTCCCCGCGGAGAACTATAAGCTCCCGCCCGAGGCCGAGGGTCTTGAGACCGCGACGGCCGTGCCCGACGCAAATGGCGGTGATAAGAAGCAGCTACCAATGTCGATCATCAAGTCTTCGCATCATGGAGAAGGTGGGGTTCAAGAAGAGGACAACTTCCAGCCTGTGGGCCGTACTGCCACGAGACGTCACGTCAGAGCTAGCCCGTCTGTCGGGAGTGCGGTGACGACCGTCGTCGAGGCTGAGGAGGAGGAGAGCGACATGACGAGCAAGCTGCGCGCGATGCGCATCTCGGCCCCGGATACGGTCGAGGAGGAGCCCGAAATGGCGGACGTGCCCGTAATTGTTGAGAAGGAAGTCATGGATGATGCCTCACCCACGGAAGAGAATGAGCCTACTGTGTCCGCACCTCAAGAGGTTGTACCCGAGAAGCCCGAAACAGAGTCTGGCGGTACGGAAAAGCCTGCCGAGCCAACCGAAGATGAGCCGAGCAGGGCGCCAACGGAATTTGACGATTCAGAGGAGCCCTCTGCGTCGGCACGACTTGATAAGGAGCCTTCGGCGACGGAGAATGAAGCAGTAGAAGCTGGGGACGAAGTTGGGAAACTAGATAGCAAGGCTGCCGACGACGCCTCCGCCGAGACCAAGGAAGAGTCTGTCGAAAATGACGACGTCAGCACCAAGGATTTCGCTCAGGACACAGCTGAGTCCGCGACAAAGATAGATGCCACAAAAGATGATAACAAGCCCGAAGAACCCAAGAAGGGCAGCGATGGGCCCAAGGCGGAGTCCGCAGAGGAGGTCAAGGAGACGTGAGAGAGGAAAGAAGATTAACGACTTTGGTAATTATGATGAGTTTTGGAAGTACCGGCTTGTTCTTGTGGAAGGGGGGATTCAGCCAGCCGGGCACCGCTTTGTTCTCATTACATGCGTGTGTTCTCCACAAAGTCCTTGTGGCGGGGGTGCTTCACTTTTTTTATTCTGTTAATTGTAATGAGACGAGGTCCACGTATGTATAATATTTGCTTTTGTAATCTTGTGATGTGTTTGGCGCATCACTGGAAGTATGTATCAACAAGAAGAACCAGGAGAAGAATAGTGATAATAGAAGAAGAAGAAGAACAAGAAGAAGAAGAAGAAGAAAGAGAAGAAACAGAATAAAAAGAAAAAGAAAAAGAAGACGACAACAACAGCAACGTCTATGTCTAACGGGCGCAGAAGTTTTGGTCGGTGATCATGATGTGAATAAGATGTCCAAGAAAAAGAACCAAAACAAAGAAACTTAGCACAAGAGCAATACGATGATGCTAAGGACGGGATGGAGGGGGCTGGCAAACGCTCAAATGCGTGGCCTGTTTAGTTCTGTCTGTATAGGGGAAGACAGAGGAAAGTGATCGAGATGACAGGCAGCCTGCTAACGAGGGGGGGGGGACGGGGCCGGATGGAACTGAACCGGCCTTGCTTTGCGTATAGTCCATCGGTCGCTTCGCTTATTGCCCAATGTGCTCAAAACAGGCTTGTTTTCTTCCTGTACTGTGCCGCCCCCCCCTCGCAGAGGTTGTCTTGGAGGATAGCCCTGATGCTGATGCAAAATCCCCATGATAATGTCCAGACCTGTGTGTGTATTGTGGCCTGATTCTCTCATTTATTTTCGTGCCAAGGAAACTTGATTTGGCTTTCCTCCCGTGGGCTCCATTTCCCAGGTCTTTCTCCCAATCTCGTCCGTGTTTACAGACCAGCGGGGCCAACAGCACGTGCCCTACTCAGCCTGAGCCGCGTTCTCCTCTGCCATTTGCATCTTGGCAAAGATGTGACGGACTTCTCGTAGGTTCTCTGCCTGGGCAGAGACCGCGTTGGCGTTACGTTCGTCGGCGAAGGCCCGGACGTCCTGTAGGATCCGGCTGTAACCCTCATCGTTGGGCAGCCACCAACGTGCACAAGACGGCTCAGAAAACATCTCGGCCATCTTGGTACGGAGTGTAAGCGGGTGTATATACCTAGAATGCGCGAGTCGAGTCAGCTCCTATTACGTATGTCGTGCACCACGCAGATGCCGGACTGTTCCAAACATCCACTTACCCCATAGTTTCTAACAACGCGAATTTCCGTCTAACCCAGTTGTGATGCTTGGTGTCCTGTGGCAGGAACAGTGCCGAAATCGCAACGCAGGCCTGGATCATGATCAGGCTGCCCTTTGGACTTGACGGCCACTCTTCCACAGCTTCGAAGATCTGGCAGATGGCGAACGCATGGCCTCTCAACTCGCCATATAGCCGTCCTCTATCTGTTGTTGATGACTGGCATTTGTGCATCATCATCGTGGAATTGAATTCGCCGATGAGCAATGTCGTAGGAAAAGCTGGGAAGTCGTATAAAACCCCCGGGGCAAAGGGGTCTACAATGTCGTTGTCATTCAGGGCTCGTGCGTGGCTGAAGTCCGTGACGAAGTGGGAAGGGTCAGTGAGTGCATGGTCCCAGCCGTCTTTCCAGTCTTGAAGCGAATTCTGGATTCGTTCGTGTTCGATTGCGAAGTCTTCTGGCGAGATCTGGCCCCTGCTGCCTCGCGCAAACAGAGTCGACATTTCTCTCGAAATCACCCTTAGACGGCCCGCCTCCGCCTCATACCTCCACTCTCGACTACCTGCCTCGTCCAAGATAGCCTGCTGGTCGCAGTATTCGACAAAGGTCGTGAACCATTCTGGAGCTAGCATTGTAGGAAACCCGCCCATCAAGGCGATAAAGATGTCGAAACGTCCGTACCAAGACAAAACCATTCTTCCAAGAGCACTCTGAGGAGCCGTCTCCGGGGTGAACAGGTGAGTCAGCATCTCGAATGCGGCCTTTTGATGCCCCATGAGGTTGATCCAGTCACCCAAGTACTCCTATTGATGAAATCAGCAAGCGTGGCTCTACGACCAGGGGCCAAATATTGCTCGTACCTCGACCGTGGCGAGCTGCAGTACCGTCAGAAGCATGCCGACACTGTGCTTCTCCTTTCTCTTGAGCGAGTTCAGCAAGAGGATAACACTCTTGTTGTAATACTTCAAAAACTCCTCCATCTTGCCGTTGGGATCCTGCAAAGTGCGTTGATACGCGGCAAACCCGACGATTGCATATAGCAAAGCGTCGTTCTGCAGAGCAAAGTTTGGCAGAATGACACGAAAAAAGTCATGGGCGTCGGTAATCATGCAGTAGTGATAATGCGTGACGTGCTCGCAAAAGTATTCCAGATGCTGACGCAAGTCGGCCGGTAGATGTGACCAGTCGGTGTGACTACTCAGGGAAAGAATAGCGAGGTCTGGCATCGCATACGCCGTAGTTGCTTGACTACTCGTGGACGCAGAAGGCGAGACGCTTTTGGGTCCTTCATACGATGGCGTCTCAGAGCCATGACGCGTGTTCGTCGCGCGCTGTAGAATGGACGGCGAAGCTGTGCTGTTTTTATTAGGCCCGGAATGCTGCTGCTCATAAGATGCCTCATCCCCTTCGTCCTCGTCTGGGATGGTGTCTAACCCGGGAGGCTCGGCGTCCTCTTCTATATCCTCCACATCGTTGGAAGAATCCGGGCTGGCCTCTTGTGTAGTCGATCCGTCTTTGGGGGTCGTGGACTGGGATGCCGAGCCCTTAGGTGCTGAAGCTTCCGGGTAAATGCATTCGCGACTGCCTTTCCGGCATCCTGTGATTAGATTAGCTGATATGCCCTTTCAATTCCGTCACCGATTCACATACTATCACAGATTGGACGTGTTTCATCACACTGCCGGACGGGTCAGAAGAAGTTTGCTTCACGTAGGGCTCACAATCTCACCTTGACTCGTCTACTCCTGCACATGTAGCAGCCAGACCTTGTGCGGCGGTGCTTGACGTGATCCAGGCCCTGGGCCGATTTCCTTCGATTTCTTGATGATTTGGGGGCAGTGAGTCCTACAGAGTCGGGGAAGCCAGTGAAATATCCTAGATTGGTATAGGATCCAGGCATGGCACCCCCCATCATGGCCATCTGGGCACCCGGAAACTGAGGTGGATGTAACTCGTGAGGACTCATGCTTTGGCTGGCAGTCACCCCCGTCATGGAGGTGAGAAAATGATGGTAGTAGTCCCCCATCTTGATCGCTAAGGGTGGCCCGTGAGGTAGTTTCTAGATAAGTGGCAAGAGAGCCAAGGCCTTCGCAAGGAAGATCCGTCAGAGTAGAGTAGTAGGGGCGCGCACGAGCCCGACTAGGCAGTCCAGATCAGAACTTGTGTCGGCGCGTCGGTACCCTTTGGTCCAGGGCATGGGTACTACCAGTTGAAAACAGCGGCGTCAGTTCGATAGGTTTGCAGGGGATTGTGCGGAGAAGAAGAGCTGCTGCTAGCTCCGGATTGCGTAGCACTATGTAGGGGAGGCCAACCGGTTCTTATTTTGGAGAACCAAAAGAGTGAGCTGTGGCGCCCTGAAGAGGGTCTAGGTCATCTAGAGCCACAACTATTCCTTCGACGGCTCCTACAGCGGGTGGTGATGACAGTAGTGGGGCCCTAGGACGGCGTCAATGTGACTGGATAACGAACTGCCCGGGGAGCGGGTAACACAGCCCACGCTTTGGCGATCCACTGGCGGGATTCGCGTAATGACGGGGCTCCTGGCAGGTACTACGCCAGGAAGGGAAGTCGAGACTGGTAAGGATATGAGGTGATGGTGCCTAGCCTCTGTGTCCAAGACAATCCCGGCTTACCTCGAACGCCTTTGAAGGCTAGTAAGGGCAAGATAGCGAGTTCCGGTTGGCTAGAGTCAGGCGAAAGCCAAGGGGACTCGATCGGAGGAGCAAGAACTGATATAAGAATCTGTCCCAAGCCCGAACAAGTAATGCTCCTCGCACGTCGTGATCAAAGGATGAAAACTGAAGCCGTGCGTCAACCTGCCGTGGTTCCACTCACTTGGATCTGATACGGGGCTCAGATGGAGAGACAGGGTTGCTGAGTACGTTCAGGTAGATAGGTAGGGCCAGTTCGAAAGACTCAACGCCGGTAGGTGAGTCTGGGCATGAGATGAAACTGCTCAGGCGTATAGGTATATCGTCCGCGTTACAAAAAGTTGGCGGAACGCGGTATCTAGAAGGAACCTCGCCCTTGGCGGCAACGTTGTGGTGCCGGTGGATGAGGGTGCAACAGACGGCTATTAAGTTGCCCGAGGTAGGTCACTTGTCGAGAGTGTGATATGCCAAAGCAGACGAACGATCCTCCACGGTGATGCTAACCAAGAAAATAGGTTGGGATGGAAATCGCAGTGCTGAAAAGTGATGGAGAGAGGCTGGTGGCGCGGGGTGAAGGGGTGGTTATTGTGGTTCTTTTCTTTTTCGGGGTTTTTTCCCCTTCTTCTTTTCTTTTGATTGGTGCAGTTACCCTTCCGATTTCAAGGCTCTGCTGGTGGTCCCTAGCCTCCGGGAATGCGGTTTGGTTTGCAAAGTGTCGATTAAGGTTCCGGGATGGCGTGTGAGAGCTTTTGGGGGGGGGGGGGGGGGCGGTTGAGGCGTGGTAGACACTTGGGAGAAGGCCGATACAAGGCGCGATATGGAGTTCAGATACGCCTGTGCCGATTGATGAAGAGGGTAACGGCTGGCTGTCCCAAGCCTAAACGGCTTCAATAACCAGCACGCGCTTGGTTTGGTTTGGCTGTCTGCTCAAAGTCTTAGCATGCGAAGACGAAGTGTCGATCGTCAGGTCAGAGACGGTTGAAGGCAGGCTCGACTCACTCCCCAAGTCCAGGCCGCCGGTCTCTCCACAGGCGCGTGAACGTGATTCAGCAGTGGACGTTGGACGTCAAAAGTCTGGTGAAAGAAGGAGAAGCACAGATAAGCACCGGCAAGCTGTGTGAGACATGGGTCTTCCGTCCAAGGTGATGTAACAAGCCAAAGCAAGTGGCTAGGCTACTGCTGGTGGGGGGCAAAGCTGTGACTGGGCTTGCCGGCGTTGGCAGGAAAATCGACACTCGAGACCCTGTGGACGATGGCTGGTAGGAATTTGATCAACGCTAGTCAAGCCGAAAACGATGAGAAGGTTCCCGTTGTTGATCAGATGGCCTGGTCTGGGGGGGGCACAGCGACAGAAAAGCGGTAGCAGTTGAGCATACGACGGTTGTTCGCGCTGGTGTTGGTATGGAAAAGTGAAAGACGACGTTCTCACTAGCTGGTTCCTAGGACAGCTTTAACTCGTGTACATGGCCGACAGCCAGGCTCATTCTGGGAAACCCACTTCCTTAGCAAGTCGGTTGGCGCAGATTACCGGCAGCACACGCAAACGCGCTGAACGGCGCCAGTCGTTGTCTGGCAGGTTGGGGGCCCGTAAGGCGCGCGTTCTTTCCATGCGATTTTAGCGCGGAACTTGTTCAAGCCCAGGCGTCCAGTCGCACTTCTAGGCCTATTAGCTTAGATGCAGAGGTCACTCCTAGTCAATGTGGAACTGGTCCTGTCTAAGGCTGTGGAGATTGACGAGTAGAAGCTTCCGAAAACTGGTTGACCGCCGTTCGGAGCGAGTTTGTATGACCCGGGTAACCGCCACTGTAACGCGGGAAGCAGAATATGTGGGAATATTTATTTCCTGATAGTCATATTTGCAGCTTTGTGGAGAGGGCGGAGGCGAAAGCGGCTTGCGGTTTAGAGTACATAGCAAGGTGGTATGCAGAGCGAGGAAGGGGGCAAGCCAGAGGCTTTCAGTGTTCCCAGGCTGTCGGGGCGTGGGGCCGCGAGCTTGGTGAAAGAGCATGGACGCACGCCGACGAGGCCTCCCCCCTTCACCCACATTAGCCACGCTTCACTCCACCCCTCATTCCACACCCACTTGATCCAGCTCTTGGGTGCTTGAACTAGTTTAGGTGCAATCGTTGAGGTGAATGAGGAAAGGGGTGTCGTTGGAACGGAAGCACAGACATGAGGCCTGGAGGTGTGGCAGAGGTGGGGCCGAGCAGGGGACAACAGACCAGAGGGCGAGTGAGCAGCAGAATTAAACCTAGCTTTCTTGGCCATTGGAGTCCTAATGCTGCTAGCACCCATGCTTTGAAAAAAAAAAAAAAAAATTTAAAGGGAAAAAGGAGGTCAATCCTTTGGATGATGGGACGAGAGAAATGAGCCCAAAGTCGGTGCCGCTGCCGCTGCCGCTGCCGCTGCCGCCGTCGCCGTCATCTGTTGCTGGGTACCACCTAGTGCTAGTGGCCTGTGCTCGGTGACATGTCGCTTGTGGGTGTGGGTGGGAGCCAACGGGAGCCTGCGGGATCGAGGTGCACACTAGGAGATTCGGTCGTTGCCGTTGCGGTCGCCCATTGAGCATATGGGAGCCTAGGCTCTAAGAGGTGAGCTAGAAGGCGATCGGGATACCTTGGCGTACCTACCGTAGACACTCGCGAGATTGATAAAACGCTAATCGGCAAGGGGCATAGCAGCCGCTTTGACGGCCGCTGTAAGGGGTATAGTCTGCTGGCAGAAGCAGGGATCTAGATGGGCTGAATAGGTTGGATGGACTGGCTGGCTGGCTGGCAAGAAGGTAGGTGGGGTCAAGTAGTTGACCGCTTTCTAATAAGAGCTTAGCGCAGTAGATGTACGCTAGCTGAATTTAGCTAGCCTACTACCTCTTACAGTTAGCCTTCTAATTAGCGCTTTATCAATCTCGCGAGTGTCTACGGTACTGTGTTGGTCGCACATGGCAGAGAGCTCCTAGGACCAAACTTTCTTTCCTGTGGCTGGGGCATCCCCTTTCTTGTGACAAAGGGTCGCCCACGCTGTGGCTACTGGTCAACTCGGTATCTGTACTTGGATCCAGACCAGTTCCGCCAAATGTGTTACCATGGACGGTCGTTCGGTGCCGCTGCAACAAGGGGGGGGGGGGGGGAAGGTGTGCAGGAGTCCACGATCCAGGCTTACATTCGGCCTAGTGCAAATGAGGGGAGCACGGAAGACATTGTTACCGGTTCGGACCAATTAATCTCTCCATGGTGGGCCTCGAGCGGAGCGGGTACTGATCATCAAGCCAAACCTGCAAGCAGAGCAACATCGTCCCATGCCAGGGTGAGCGGGCAGAAGGCAAAATCGGCCTCTTGCTCCGTGTTACGTAGACTACGCCTCGCAGATAGCGTATATAGTGTGTATATATACATACAAATACATTAAGCAACAACGATGACGATAGTAATAACAACAATATAATATCAGGGGCACGAGGCGGACGTTATTTGCAAGGAACTCCATTATATAGGGCTCGCTGAAAGCGGAAGACAATCCTGCATTAGCAGATATGCAGTCAGAGCAGTCGTGCACGTCAGAGAAGAGTGTCTGGACTCGGGTGGTAGACCTAAGATACATGGTAATGTCGCAGTGTAGTGGATTGATCTAGATGGGGGTGGATGCATGCATACATTTAAATGTGTGAAGGTAGTGTGATATGAGTAGGCATGATTGTTGAGATGCGTAGGTAGGTACAGGTACGTAACTAGTAGATACTACGAATCTTTATCGCGGCCACTTGGTGCTTGGACAGGAGAGACAGAGACGGAGACAGAGAGACAGAAGACAAAGACAGAGACAGAAGAGACGGGTAAACGTCTACCTACGCAGTCCGTCCATTCCTCGCGTTGGATGAAGCGTCACTTGCGGGAGAGTCACGTGAGAGAGGCCCGCTACACACCACCCATCACACATCACGAAGCACTACCCGCCTAATCTCGAGAAATAAAAATAAAAAAGTAGGGTATTGGCACTATCATGCGTATATGCTACGTATCCATACAGAATTCGTTCCCTGCTAAGTAAGTGGGTATGCAAGGAGGCGTTGATCAAGCCTCGAAATAGCAGGAGTCGAAAGGTAGGCTGGACGGGCCGGGTCCACCTTCCTACGGTTCGGTCCCCACGGTGCCGTCGGAGCCTTTTTGCAAACAAGGCGGCAGCCACGGCCCACACAATTATTCCTCTTTCCCTGTCTATGAGGATAGAATGCCTGCCTGCCTGCCTGCCTGCCTACCTACCTAGATGTGTACCTGTACATTTACTGATTGTTTGGACACGGCTGCTTTTCCATAGGTACGTGCTTGCTTTACTACAGTACCTGCGGACATACGCCATCCGCTACGACACAATCAGCGGGGTGAAAGGTGGGTAGTAGTCTGAGAAGCGCTCCACAAGGACAGGGTTTTGTTAGTTCTACAGGCACATACTTGTATGTAAACTATTTTAGCGTATGTAAGGTATCGGACCCAAGTTTGTGTCAGTTGTACCTTCCTCAATCATCTCTCTTCCTTTGCTCATGTGGAATTGGCACAGCCACTGGCATCAAACAACCCCCGGCTGGAAGGTAGACAGCACACTGCCCTGCATATAGGTAGGTCATTTACCATGCAGTACTCCGTACGTGTAAACATATTGGTTAGGTGCCTGCGGAGACACCAACGGCATAGCTACCTAGCCACCTACTCACCTACCTACATAACGGTACCTACGGCAATGAAGCCGTGCTGGTTGTAACTGCCTGCGCACATGTCGTATGTCGTGGAAGACGTATCCCTAACATCTTTAACATCTTCAGCACAGGACGCATAAGGTACAACGTCCAACCTTGCACAATAGCTTCAGCCCCCTCATTCATCTGCTATGGGACGCCCATCGTTGCAAGGAGCTTACCTAGTGTAGGCGAAGAGCCCAGTATCCATCTCCGATACAGAGTACCTAGGTAGGTAGGTACGTTACATAGTATGAAGTAGGTACGGATACTACGTAGGTAGGTACCTAGTTGAAGTTCCTCTCTCTTTTCCCTCCGCGCGTGCGCGCCTCTGCTTCCGGCTATAGTAGTAACTCCCTGACACTACAATGTACGGATATGCAGCTCAGGTATCCGTAGGTACTTCCGCGACATGGGCCGGGATATGCCTCTTTGTGGACCAAGGAGCGAATTTAACCTCCAATGACCCGATCCAATGGTTTCTCGCAGGCCAGACCGATCGAGCCCCCCCCCCCTGACCTCAGTTTTTTTTCTCTCTATTCTTCTTCTTGGCCTTTTCGCCATCCTCTTGTTCCCGGCGCCTGCAGCCTACTCTGCGCATATGGAATCGTCTGTTTCCATCTGATGGAACCCCGTGCAGCGTGTCAACGACACCAGCACAATAACGTCATAACCAACAGACGGAAAGCGCGGTACCTTCCGACAGGTCGACTCAACTCGACGGGAGGTAAGAGACGTCGGAAATTCAGCCTTACTGCATGATGCCCCAGACTCCTACCTCGCACCATCTCCTTTCACTATGTGTCTCCTCATCGTCGAGGCTCAAACGGAAGGTCTACGCCCTGTGCGCTCGTACATGGCCGACAACGGTGAACGTCTTGGTTCTCGATGACGGGTTGGTACGCTAGCTAGTTCGACAGAGCCGAGATAGACTTTGCTGCGCCCTGCACTCTTCTCCGGGCTCGATTGTCTCAGCTTACTGCATACCGGCACCCAGTGTACCTTTCTGTCTTTCTTTTCTCCTGGTCTCACCGCCTCCTAGCTGTCATCAGCGACCCGGCTTCTAGGACGCACAATCCCGTCGATTGTCTTCTTCCGGGTTATGACTAGGGCTCGGAATATAGGCATCCCATAGTTCGGGCGCGGTGCGCGCAACGCTCCATCTCGCACACACCAGGCCGTCTTGCCCGCATCCTAGACCCCGGATCCACAGCACTTGCACCGCACTAGGCTTTACCCACACAAGGCAAGTTGTGGGCTTGTGGTACATTCTACTTTGGGACAGTCCTCCAAGACATCATGCAGTTGGCTTTCATGCTGATAAGCGGAGTCCTGTAGTAAGAGACTGCGCATCGAGTTGAGCCGTTGAAGTCACCATCTATGATGAAGACACTTTGGTGGCAAGGCATGCCCCGAGACAAGGGGCCAGGTGGCGGGTGGCCTTGAACCTTGGTCATGACGTCTAGTCAGGATCATGTGGTTTGCTTTGCATTTTGCAGATTTGATCGTTAGCCTGTAGGCCACAGGACCTTGAACGTCACCATATTCGGGATTCCATCGAGACGTCCCAAGAGCCTGCTACCTATGATGTTCCGGATACCGATTCAGAGCCGCACACAGTGGCGTCCTTTCGCCAAGCACCTTGTGTCTGTCGCTGCCGCAACCTGGTCTCCTTTCAGCTGATCGACACTCCCTGTTGAGGGCGGGAAGCATTCATGAATTATCCGGGAAGGAGGATGCGCGCTGCAGACCAAGACAGTACTCCGGGAGGACGCAGCGAAGCCTCGAGCCAGCCAGTAACACTCAGAACCCGGGCAGCTGCGGCCCCCAATCGCCCACTTTGGTCCCTCAGTCATACCAATTCGGCCCTACCATGACCAGGGGGCTTTTTACAGTGCGACTGGACACCCAGACCTTGAACAGCAACGAAAAGAGGCTGTTGTCGACAAGGTGCTTCCTGCGGTTCCTCGGTGGGGAATCACACAGGCAATTACTAGATGAATCCGCCAAAACCAAACGTTTCCAAACTTTGTATACCATGTTATGGTATAGATGCCTCCAATTACAGGATAGCCGACGGCCCCATGGCCTGGTTGCGGCGCGTTGGGTTCTCTTCGCCACAGCCGTTTAGCAGTAACGGACGGGCGGCACCTCCTCATTGGCAACGTCTGGCTCGTTGGGGCTACCGGTAATTAAATTCATCGGATGAACAGGCCGCGAGAGGCTGCCAATCCCGAACAACGCTGCTTTTGTATTTTGTTTCTCTTCCTTTGACGGTAGAGCGGAATGGCCTGCCTAATGCAGACAATAACATGGCTTGCTAATGGACGTTCCATGGTTGACAAATACGCCAGGCGCCTATCCAAGCAGCCATGGCCACCTTGGAACAAAACGGCCAGCCGAAATAGGAACCCAGTTTGATGCTGATTCAGGAAAGCCTGCCGTTAGCGGCCCAAATTATAAAGAAATGACGGAATAGGGTCCAATGGCTGGCGGACTTCTTCCTTGTTAACCGCAAGGGTGACGATAGCGAATTTCGGCCAGCCGGCACATCCTTTGGGGCCTGAGATTGTGTATCTCGTTACGCCTTCAGACTACAGAGCCGCGGGCAACCAGCTCGCTCAGTCTTCGTGTCTGAAGCACTAAAAGTATGCAACCTCGACCTGGTAACATGGCATGCGTATCAAACGCTCAGTGGCTTGCGGGGGGTGTTTTGTCAACAGTATAGCGTGGAAACCGACGTGGCTAGGACGCTTGGCACCGGGTCAAAGATTGGCTAGACAGGGCCTAGAGGGAGCGCGGAGACGCACCTCTGACCCTAGTTGGCGCCGCGGCCTCGTGTCGTCTCTTGCTCTTTTCGATCCCTTCCGCAACGGGACACAAACGACTCAGCTTTGGCTTCAAGGCGACACGAGGTATTCGTAACCTCTGCCTCAGTTGAGTATGAACAAAACACAAAAAAAGGCCTTGGGTCTCCGCTGTGGCTGACCAAGTGGAGTGGGCGTGTCTTTACCAGTCCAATGTCCATGGGTTCGCAAAGTAAATACGTCAAACGGGTTGAAGTAAAGACTTGCTGCCATACAGGAAACCCCTGTTTATTCGACGATCTCCTCCTGAACACGGCTAACTATGAGACGAGAAAACCCCTCTTCTCTCCCGGTATGATTGCAACCGGGGGCCATGAACCAACCTCGGTGGCTGACGGCTGACTGCTGACGGCTGGCGCAACTAATCAACAAACGCCTGGATACAATATGGCTTCCGTCAACTCAACAGAAAGGCCACCTCGTCAAAAGAAAACCGTTGGTCGTGCCTCGAGACATCAAACCGATGTTCAAAGAGAAGCCTCCATCACTACAATACAATACCCGATGGTACCGTACATACTGCGTTGTGTAATAACAGTGCCGGCTCGTCATATCCAGCGTTTCTCGGGCAAGCTTTCGCCTACCATTCGTTTCTTTTCTTTCTTAGAAAAAGAAGAAAAATCACCAAGACGAATCACTCGGATTTGACCAAGGACACAGGCACCAATCCTTCTTCAGAGAAGTCTAATGAGGGGCCGCTGAGTATATTCCAGGGGGCCAGCCTCGGTGGGCTGAAGTTTGTGATCTGTCACTTGGCTTTGGTGGTATTGGGGTCTCAAAGTCTGAACTCAGGTGTCATTGCTTACACCAAGGCCTGTGGCCGAGGTCTATGCGGTCAAAGTCACAGTTGCAGTCGTAGTGGCAACTTGGTCATCGTGCCGCATCCTACGGGATGGGCATCCGATGTGCGGGTTTTTGGTATGGTTGCATGTTGATATGTGGCGGCATAAGATGTCACCCCTTGACGCAGTGTTTCTTGTCGACGCCTTCTTATGCTTCCTTTCCACTACTGCTGTGTGTCTCGAACGCTTCCTCCTGTACTAGGGTTACAATACATCCCACACCTTGGGTCATATATGGTCTGGGGTAATGGAAAAAGGTCTGCGGAAACAGCAGGGGCCCCTTATAGAGGCTGGTTCAAACGCTACTGTCAATAAGTCGGATGGTGAGATCTCATATTGACACAACATGCAAGCTCGTTACATCCATCAACTCGTTTAGGTTCCGGGCATCCCTCCGCCTCCGCCGTTTAAGATCGGCCGGCCGCATCAGAAGACTGCCAAGGCCGGCTTCCGAGGCAGTAGACTGGATTACTAACGGTTGTATGGCACTTAAGGACAAACTCACCTGTGAAAACGCAGTGCTTGAGAGCTCGAGAGTTCAATCGAGAACGTGGTCAACCCGGTCCGTGGCTTGGCAGATCCCAAGGGACTGGACGGAGCCCCGAATTCCATTAGTACGACCCCGGGGGGGACTGACACGCCTTAGAATCGTCTGATCCGACGAGAAATGCTACTCTGTGACCCCGAGCGTCCAATCGCAACAGGACATCGGCGAAATCATGAAGCCTCCCTACTGTTGCGGGGCTACCGGTTTTAGATCCCTTACGGGGAAGCTCATGCAGGATACTCCCCGCGAAAATACTCCACGAGAACGGACTGTGTTCGTATGACCGCCTACTTGCGACACGGCGATCAGAACGAGTTGGCATCCTTTCAACCCAGCTGCGCACGTCCGCTGGCGCGACGGCACGGCCTGGCCACTCCCAACGGGCGCGAGGCTATCGAGGTAGGGGTGGGCTGCCCCTTCTCAGATTCGCAAGGCACCTTGCGATTGGGTTGTGGCTTGCCCCTGCTATGCGGGCTAGGACGACGAGAAACGTGGAAGAATGGATGAATAACTCTACTATGGTAGTTGCTTCCATTCGCTGGTTGAACACAAAGTTTGCCGGACAAGCTTGGCAGTCTGCCGCACCATGTTCCAGAACGGGCGCATATACGGCGTTCTCGGTCTTGACGGACATCAAAAAGTCCACTCACTCTTCTTGGCCAGTGGACATCCGCAACTGACAACCCTTATTCAATGCCAAAAAGGAGGGGGTGTGAGAGACTGGTCAGCCATTGCAGGCACAAGCCAGCCGGGGGGGGGAGGCAAGAAGCGATTCGCCAGTAAGGATATTTCGCTGTATATCATCCCATGTAGGTTATGCAGAAGGGCACAAGGTCAGAGCCGACGGGAAGGTAAATACGCAAAGAGGAGAGCCTTTGAGCCGATAAAGAGAGGGGTCGACCATCTCTGACCGTCGATGAGTAACTCCCCGGGCTTGGGGATGGTGCCGGCGTGCCGCCAAGCCTTGTTGTCGTTCCATTCTCCGTTCGCAAAGAATAACGCTGCGATTCCCCTCTTGGGTTCGGATCGTGCAAACCATCAGCGCTCCTCCACATCCGAGTTGATCAAGGATTCGACGAGCTTTAGTCCAAGGCTCCTCAACGGTCACGTTTCGTTTCAGCACCGATCAGTCAGCTGCTATTAGTGCCGGGGGACAGCTGATGACCAATGAACAGAGATCACGTGATACATCACGTGTACTCTGTACCGTGCACGCGCCCAGACTCTAGGGGTCCAGGGCCTTAAGGGATGAAGGGAAAGTTTCAGTCGTGGCGTCAACGGCCACATTGCTTGAGTGAGTGAGTCGTTGATGCTCGAATCGTACCATGAGCGGAAGTTGTGAAGCGTCACCGGTAACATACAATACTGCGTGCGTTAAAGTCGTTCGTTGAAAACGACCCCCCCTGGGGACCGCATCTTATACCAAGATCCCACTACTTGTTTTGTCTTACAAACAAGGGAGCGCGCGACATCACGCGAAGAGCCGCAGAGAAGGCAAGAAGAAACTCACATGACACTGATACGCCGCAATCGATAATAATTTCGAGCCACTGGACAAGCTTCTCCCCCTCATAAGCGCGCGACACATGGGACAGGAGAAAGTCGTTTGAGAAAGTTGTAATGGAGGCAAACCTGTCAGCGTCTGCCTTGGGCGAGCCGGCCCGCCTGGGCTTCGGCTTCTTCCTCCTGCCCTTCGCCACCTTCATCTGCTTCCTGGCCCCGGTTCTCTATCTGTTCCCCCCAATTCCGGCCACGATCAGCGACGCACTGCTGGCAACGCACAAGAACATCGGCCTGGCCCCGTCCAAGAGCAACCTTCGGGACCAGCAGCAGCAGAAGGAGAAGGAGAGGACCGGGGCCGGCGCCGCGAGGGTCAAGGCGCTCTGCATGTACCCCATCAAGTCGTGCCGCGGCATCGAGGTCGCGCGGAGCAAGCTCCTCCCCACGGGTCTCGAATTCGACAGGCTGTACACCCTGGCGCAGCTCAAGTCCCCGTTCCCCGTGTCCGTCGACGGCGCCGCCGGGGATGGCCGGGACACGCACGCGTGGGAGTTCATCACGCAGCGGCAGTTCCCCCAGCTGGCGACGATCAAGGTGGACGTCTTCGTCCCGGACGCGACCAAGAGCACCGTGTTCCTCGAGAAGAGCGGCGACCCGTGGATCGTGCTGCGCTTCCCCTGGCGCGAGTCCGGGTGGCGCGGGACCATGCAGTGGGTCGCCGCCAAGATCCGGAACGGGTGGCGCGGGGAGCCCGAGATGGAGGTGCTGCTGCCGGTCGAGTTCCCCACCGAGAAGGAGATCGAGGAGCGCGGGTACACGCGCGAGGACGTCAGGGTGTGGAAGGAGATGGTCCCCGCGCTGAACATGGGCAAGGAGATCCCCCAGGAGCTGAGCCGGTATCTGGGCGTGAGCAACAAGCTGACGCTGTTCCGCGTCGACCCGGGGAAGCTGAGGGAGGTGCACCGGTGTGCGCCGGCCAAGGAGGAGGCGGGGTACCAGCCCGTCGTCGGGTTCCAGGACGCGGTGAGTCCCCCTCCCCAGTTGACGTGTCTGTGCCAGCAACGCGAAGCCTTTCCGAAGAGTGGGAGCGAGAGGGGAGAGAGGGAGCCGAGCTGACGACGGAGCTGGATGAACAGTATCCCCTGCACCTCATGAACATGAGCAGTCTCCACGACTTCGACGCGCAGGTGCCCAAGGACAAGGACCTCTTGCACCTCGACGTCAGGAGGTTTCGGTCCAACATTATCGGTGAGCCAGTCCTCCATTCTACGTCCCCTCTTCCCGAAAAGGGGGACGACTCCTTTGGGATTCTTCGGCCTGGCTAACGAGGCTGGACAGTCTCCGGTGCCCCGGCATACGACGAAGAGTCGTGGAAGTCGGTCAAGTTCACCCAGGGCGCGTCCAAAGTCGGCACGCCTTCAAAGTTCCAGGTCTCGTGCCGCACAGTTCGGTAAGCCCCCTGTTCTTTCAAATCCGTCAGGCGTTTGTAGAGAGTGGGGGAGGTTGTCTTCTTCCTCTTCTTCTTCTTGCCCGTGGAAGGACCGACCGCCTTTTGTCCTAGTAATATCAAGCTGACGCCCCCCGACAGTTGCAAAATGCCCAACGTCGACCAGGTCACCGGCGTCCGCCACGGCGTGGAGCCGGATAGGTCCCTCCGCAAGCTCCGCGACGTCGACGAGGGCGCCCCGCGCATGGGGTGCCTGGGCATGCAGATGGTCCCCCTTTTCGAGGGCACCGACCGCGTCGAGTACATGCAGGCCTGGCTCGAGGTTGGTATGGCCGTCGATGTGTTGGAGCGCGGGGAGCACGTCTACATCAAGCAGTGAACTCGATAGTGACTGGCTCGTGGGTTGGGCAGATCACTTTGATGGTCCTGGTGTATGGGGAACGGTTACAGGTTTAGAATGTATAGACTGAGGTGGGAAGCATACCCAACATCAGGAGAACGGATGATGCAGTTGCGGGTATAGGATACGGGGCAAAAAAAGATCAAATCATCATTATCACACTTGAGCCTCCATTAAATATCATGCCTTTACTCCCAAAGTTCCGGTTCCTTCACTGGAGAACCCATCCGAACCCGTCGCAGAAACAAAACGACCATAAACAGTTCGTTTCAGTGGTATCCAACACAAACGACCCTCGTCGGATGCCTCCCGCCTTTCCATGTACAGCCTAAGAAAAAGACGCTTAATGATAAGCAGAAAAGGAAGAATCCCATTATCGTCATCATCATGTCGTATTCCGGAATGACGCCTCGGTTTCACGAGACCAAGACACCACCGCTATATCAAGCCCGCAAACCAAACATGTTTACTTCAGATCAGCGGGTGTTAACGCTTGAACCATACTGGTTCCCTCGCTGAAGCGTGTCCGGAAGATACGGTTGGCGTTCTGGAACATGCCATCTTTCAGGGACACAACGATGAACTGCGAGCCCTTGAAGCGCGTCTTGATCAGGCGACCAATGTTTTGCGTGTGTGACAAGTCCAAGGCGGCGTCGACCTCGTCGAGAATGTACATCGGCGCTGGCTTGAACTGCAGGAGAGCCATGATGAGGGAGAGTGCGATGAGGGATCTGGGCCACTTGTGTTAGTTATCCAATCCGACATTTGAAGGGGTGTAGTAGTTCCTTACCTCTGCCCACCAGAGAGCTCAGTCAAACTTTGCTTCCAAACCTTGCCCAGTGAGACCTTGACTTCAAGACCTTCGCTAATAGTCTTGCCTTCGGGAGGATCAAGCTTGGCGAAACTGCCGGGCAAAAGCTCGTTGAAGATCTGGCCAAAGTCGCCGTTGACCTTCTCCCACGTCTCTTGTAAGGCCTTCTTCTTGTAGTCATCCAAGCTTATGATGGTCTCTTCGATCTTACGCTTGTCGCGGATGACTGTCTTCATCATGTGCTTGAGCGACACCTCCTTCTTCTCGACGCTCTCAATCATGTTCATGACCTTGGGGTTGATCTTTTTCTTCATGCCCTGGAAGCGGTCCGTCAAGTTGCGGAGCGTCGACTTGCACTCGCCAATGTTCTGGCCCTTGAAGTCGTACGGCGTGCCTGTACGGCCAAAGTTCTCCTTCTCGTCGGCAATCCAATCGTGCTCCTTCTCCATATGGGCCACTGTCTGGACAGCCGACTGCTGTTCCTTGTGGAACCGCTCAACTTGGTGACCGAGTTTCTGCATTTCGAGGCTCTCCTCGGCGATGCGAGCATTCTTAGATCGAGTGGCTTCCTCAAGTGCGTGGAGTTCGTCGTCGAACCCATGCAGCTTGGCGCGTTCGTCGTCTAGCTCGGCCTGGACACCATCGAGCGTGTCTTGGAGACTGCTCTGCTGCTTGACAAGGTCTTCGATGTCCTGCTGCTGAGCCTTGATGGCCACCTCGACTTCTTGCAACTGCTCGCGGGCCGCAGACAGGTCGGCTGCGACTTGTTCCGAGTCAAGCTGTGCGCCTTGCACCTCCTTTTGCAGAACCTTGACCGAGGCAGAGTTCTTTGTGAGGCCGGCTCGCAGCTTGTCCAAGGATTTCTGAAGCTCGACAAGCTTTGCGTCCTTGTTATTGTCGAAGTCCTTCATGTCTTTCTCAATCCGTTTTACGTCAGCTGTGGCTTCCGCGTGCCTCTTTTTTGCTGCCGCCGTGTCGGTCTTGAGCTGGGCAATAGTCTCCTTCATGTTTTCCACCTCTTGAATGATGGACGACGACGAGTTGCCGCTGATTTGCTCCTGGGCAAGCTTGATCTCGTGGCTCTTCAGGTCGAGCTCCTGCTTGATCTTGCGTGCGTGGTCGAGCTTAGACTTTTCACTCGCGATGGTGAGCTGAAGTTGGTGCAGAGAAGCCTCAGCCTCCTTGAGTTGGCGTGTGATGTCATTGAGCTTCTGCAGGGTGACAAGCACGCCACTGGAGTTAGGAGAGCTTCCACCAGACAGAGTACCAGAAGGGTCATAAGCATCGCCTTCCAGGGTGATACTCCTCATCCTCACGTTGGGGTCAAAGGTGACTTTCTTCGCCGTGTCCGCATCGGCGCAGATGAGAGTGTTGCCAAAGACGTACTCCATGGCTGCAGATACCTCATGGTCGTAACCAACGAGGGACAGTGCCAGGTTGACCTTGCCCGGGGCGATTCTCTGCGCTGTGGCGATGGTCTGAGCCGAGGCCTTGAAAGCTGCGATCTTGTTCAAGGGAATAATGGTGACACGCTTGCGGAGCCTCCCCCCCTGAAGCAGCTGGGTGCCAGTGACTTCGGTATCAACCACAACGTTGTAGAGACGGCCACCGGCGCAGATCTCGAGGGCGGTGCCCGCTTGAGTGTTCTCCTTGTCCAAAGTGAACAGCTGAGCAACCAAACCTTTGACCTTGGACCGATCAAAATTGGGGGTCGGGTCCGCGTAGTTAAAGTCAATGTTGGCAACCTTGCGCTTAAGCCCATCCGCCTCCTGGCGAAGGCCTCGGATTTGCTGCTGCAAAGACGATTGCTTCTGGTACAGCTGCTCTTCCTGACCGGGCTCAAAGCCCAGTCTACCCAGCTCTTTCTCGAGCTTCTGGGCTTGCGACTTTAGGCCTTCAAGCTCCTTCAGAAGACCGGCATTTTGTTCTTTCGCCTTCTTGGCACGCGGCTCTTCTTCCTTGATGCGCTTCTCGAGATGGGCAATCTTCATCTTCGCCTGCTCCTGCTCGGTGACGGCAGCTGTCGCACGGTTCCTGGCGTCTTGAAGTTGGCCTTGGTAACCGCTCTCTTGGCCGTCCTTGGAAGCGACACCCGTCTGCAGTGTTTGCAAAAGTTCCTCCTTGGATTCGGCTTCTTGACTTTGCTTCTCCAGATCGTCCTTGGCAGCGTCGAACCTAGCTTTTATTTCTTCAAAAGCTTGTGTCTTTTCTTGCAGTGTCGCCTCCAATTCGGATACGTTCTTCTCCACGGTTGTCTTCTTTTCTTTTTCTTCGGCCATGCTTGACTTCTTCAAATCCATGACGGTAGCGAGTCTGACAAGCTCGTTGGAATGCTTCTTCACTGCGTCCTCAAGAGCTTGCGCCTTTCCGCCCTTCTTCAACTCCTTGTCGCGTTGTGCGCGGACTCGTTTGACGTCCTCCTCGAGATGGGAAATTTCGCTCTTCAACCGTGCCGCAGACTCCTCGAGATCTTTGCGCCGTTGCTTCTTGCCCTCCAGGTCTGCCGCAGACTGCTCCAGTTTCTCTTGGCAGCGCACATAATCGTGCGCCACCACGACCCTTGTGAGGCGCTCGAGGTCGTTTTGTGTTTGTTGGAAGTCGAGGAAAGCGCGCTTCTCTGTCCGGAGCTTCTCGAGCTTGGGCTCGATCTCGTCCCGAAGCAGTTCTGTGATCTCCTGGAGTTTCATCTCCTTCTTGGCCATCGTCTTCAACGCCTTGTCTCTCCTATCCTCGAACATGCGTGTTCCTGCAGCTTCCTCGATCATGGCCAGAATCTCGACAGGCTTCATGTTCAGGACTTTCGTGATTCGACCTTGCATGATGAGGAAGTTGGGGTTGTTGATGTTGAGCTGGACGGACTGGAAGAGGTTTTGTACCGTTTGTTGCTGCGCACGGTGTCCATTGATGAGGTACTTGGACGTACCGCCGAGGACGATTTGTCGAGTCACACTTATGGTCGCATACTCTTCGAAGCCGATGGGCGACTTCTTCTTGTCTCTGTTGTCAAAAACAATCGTAACGCTTGCCTTCGTGACACCGGCCTGGCCGCGCTTGTAGATGAGGTCCTGTTGGGAGTAGCATCAGCTTCAAAGTCCACCACAACAGCATCAGCCAAAGGTTCAGCCCACGAGGCTTGCATACCTGGAGATTTTGCGCTCGAACTGTTGTCATGTTGGTGATGCCCAAAACAAAGCAGATGGCGTCCAGAATGTTGGACTTTCCGGAACCGTTGAGACCAGTGATCGAGTTGAAACTTTCGTCCCTGTATTGTGTGAGCTGCCACCCCCCTCTCGGCCGAAGTGATGTTTGTTTACCATCCCGAAATCACCGTTCGCACGGCATACGACTTGAAGCCCTGCAATCAGTTAGCAAAAGAAAATTTGCAGAAAAATCGGATCGCATACGTCTATAATGACTTCTATGACCCTCATGCTGCAGTAGTTAGTGGTTGACGATGGTGTTGCTGAGGACTGTTGTGGGTGTCAAGGACTTTTTGTTTACTTTCGGTCGATCGCGTTTCCACTTCATCACCCCCCCTTCTTGGCTCCTGAGGTAGGTAGGGGGTCTCCCGCCTTCCCGACCCGATAACGCCCTTATCGGTGGCAATCAATAGCGATTTGACCACGGGCGCGACTGTCATTGCCCCAGCTAGGGCAGCCCCATAAGAGCCTCCGATGCGCTAAGCCCAATGCGGACTCGACCAAAACAATCGGTTCGCAACGCAATTCAAACCCAAGCCCGTCAACATCACCACACATCCATACAGCGTGTGCTTCCCACTTTTTACTAACCTCCTCTTCTTCTCAAGCAATCACCCTACCACATCTTCGACCATCCTTTCGACCTCGATGACCAGCTAGTATTTGCCTTCACCCTCAAAGCGACTCTTTTGCGCGCGTCGCGACTTACCCCTCAGGATGGCGGCGATGCGAAGAACGCGTGTGCCTCCCGGCTCCGCGTCGTGGATTAACGAAGAAAGGACAACGGCTCTGAGCATAGTCCAGGCCGAGGCCGAGGAATTCTCATTCGCTGCACGGAACGAATTCGACTGGCTTAATGAGCACATGGCTGGGATCTTCAACGAGAACGAGATGCATGTCCATCCTTACCACCAGCTCTGAGTCGATGGCTAACCGAGTGAACAGCAACGTTGCCGAGATTTTCAAGACTCCTGGAAAACTTCGCAGCAAGACGCCGCGAACAGCCCGAAAGGTCGACAACGGCGAGGCTCGTGTCGTAAGACGCCCAAACCCATTGCACACTGGTCTTTCACTAACAGTGTATAGCCATTGTCAGATGTGTTCTCTTCAACGCCGAATGGCGCGACGAATGCCTTCACACAACAGCTTGCTCGTATTACTCCCAAGGTCAACCCTGCACAATCGACATCGTCTCCTTTGATCAACAGAAATATCTCGCCGCACAAAGCTGCCCCCTCGCCCAGACCGGTTTCGAAGCAGCCTGTTGCCCTAGCTGATTCCGGATACTACGGTAGCCAGGATGTCGACAACGTAGACGATGTCAACGACGACGATATGGACGTGGACCTCATCGAGGAGGAGACGGAAATCGGAGAGCCACGGTCCAGCCCCCCTAAGACAGGACGTACCGGTCACGTCGCATTCGACGAAACAGCTGAGCAAAACGGGCCTCAGAGCGCGACCGCGACAACGGCTATGCGATCACCTGAAGTCACCTTCCAGACTGCTAAAGAAGAGCAGACGACGAGAGTGATGAGAGACGCAACTGAAGAGGCTCCAACACCGGTCCCAGAAGCCTCATCAGCACCTCACAGCTCGCCGGAGCGTGCGGAAACTCCCCCGTCCCCAGTTACATCTCCTGAAACTCGTTTTGCGAAGATCGCGTCCCCTGCAAAGAATTCGCCTGCAAAGCGATCTCCGGCCAAACAGGCGTCTCCGTCGCCTTCCTCGCTCACGGGTTCTCGGTCGCCCGCGCCCGAACCCACATCCGGTGCTGATTCGCAAGATGACGATGTGGATGTCCACATGGATGACGATACACGATCCGATGAGTCTAGTCCGATCCGACCAGTTAGGAAGAGCAGTCTCAACTTCGCTTCACTTCCCGCCAGAGAGCCCCTGAGGAATAAGAGCATCGGGGCTCGCGTTTCCAGAACCAGTCACTTGGACAATAACCGTCAGAGTTACTACAGCAGACATACTGAAGGCAAGAGCTTGGGAAACAATGTCGAGGTACTAGGAGCTTCAGATGACGAGGAAGGCAACGACGACGAAATGAATGTCGACGACTCAACCGAGGCGACAAAGCACGGCGACAGCTATGCCTCAAACCACAACAAAACATACACTCAAAGACTACAGGATCAGATCAACCTGCTCGGCAAGTCCCAGCCAAACGCAAGCAGACCCTCGAAATCGGTCCCAAGCTCTGCGGTTGCCCAGCAGCTTACCCAGGCCAGTGCGCCTCAACCTGTAATGGAGTCAAAGAAAGCATCGCCAATGAAAAAGTCAGCCGCGCCGCCAACCCCTGGAGCATTCCCTGAAGACGAGGAGGACGAGGACGAGGAAGAGGACGACTGGATTGCCCCACCCGTTCCTGCAAAGGACGCGCCGAAGTCTAGCCCACGACCGCATTTGCTTAAGAGTCATACTGCAGACGTCATGGAAGGGATCAACGGCTCTGACACCGTCAGCGCCCTTGATTTTGGTTCGCCTAAACAGCGAAAATCGCCAGGTCGGTCGGGCTCACCGAAGCGTGCCCCTGTGATTCCTGAGCGCACTACCAGTGTCTTTGGTCACGGGAAATCTGCTTCTGTATCCATCTTGCCAGATCTATCGCAGGATGTTATGGCTGAAGACTTGTCTCCTGCCAAGAAACACGTCTCTGTTTCCAACCCGCTCTCAGCAGTGCTAGAAGACGGACACCCGGAGACTCCTCAATCGCCTACGCGAGGCTTCCGTGACAGCCCGCTGAAACAAGTGAAGAACAAGCTGTCTTCTATTCTGAAGAGTTCCAAGGGCCTTCTTGCCAGCAGCGCGGCAATCAGCGCCGAGGGCAAATCGTCAATCATTTCACCTTCCAGTGCTCGATTTGGCCATCACTCTGGCCCATCTACAGAGTCCATCGCACCCCAGCCAGCCCCGGCTGAGCCGTTGTACCCCGATCTTTCTAAGCGCCTTGCAGCTGATGCACAAACACTTAGTAGTGCGGGAAGCCCTGAAAAACCTGTCGCAAGACGAACAAGGGCTTCTGTCGAGAAGGAAAAGGAGGACAAGCGCAAGGAAAAAGAAGCCAAATTGATGGCCGACCAGATGAGCAAGCTAGACAAGGCCCGCGCAGAGGAACGTGAAAAGGCTCGAACTTTCAGCAAAGAGCAAGAGAGGATTGCTGCCATGGAGAAGATGATTGCAGCACAAAAGGAGATGGAGCCCGAAATGGAGCAGGGCAAGGAGGCGGAGAGGCCCGCTCGGACACCGGCGCCAAAGGAGGCGCTTAAGCCCACTAGAACCAGCCCGCGCAAGGCCAAGAACCAGGGCGAGGTCGACGCTTCAGCGCCGCAGGCTTCCCAGTCAGAGAAGCCGGACGTGGAAATGACGGAAGCGCCGACTCCGATGCCGCCGCCGTCGGCCCCTCGCTCTGTTGGCCCGAGCCAGACGACAAGACCCAGAGAGCTCCGCCGCCCGATGAAACCCACAAAGGAGGCACCTAGCAAGGTCAAGCAAGCGCCTACCGTCATTCGCGTTAACACCGGCTCGCAACACTCGCAGTACCACCCCTCAACCAGTACTCTGTCCTCCGGCCTCCAAGACACACTGGGCTCGTCGGTCAAGTCCAAGACCAGCCAGCCAGGCTCGCATAGCAAACAGTCCCTGGCCAGCTTGAAGAGCTCTGTTTCCTCCACCGGCCGCCCCAAAGCGCTTGAACTCGCCGCTAAGCGGAAGGAACAAGAGGAGCGCGAAGCGCAAAGAAAGAAGGACGCCAAAGTCGAACTTGAACGCAAGCGTGCTGCTATTCAGGAGGAGGAGCGCAAGCAGGAAGTGCAGAGGCGACAAGAAGCGGAGAGGCAGAGAGAGAGGGAAAGGGAGCAAGCTGAGGCGAAGAAGAACGCACAAAGGCAGGCCGCTATCGAGCGTGCCAAGCAGACGCGAGCACCGCCCCCTGCTGTGCGATCCCAGCCGAATGGTCCTCCCGACTACACTGCGGGCCAACGCGGCGATACCCAGCCTCCTCGTCCCCCTTCTCGTATGAACTCTGCTGCCCATCGTTCTCAAGAGGACCGACCGGTCAACGCCATTCTCTCGAATGCCTCCAAGTCTGGCTCCAAGAGGCCCCTTCCGCAGGACGGCAGGGAGGAAACGGGCTCGCGCAACCCTGCTCCCCGCAACGTTCCGTCCTACCAGTCCAATGATTCCAAACGTCGTCGCACGAGCGACGACTTTGCTGATGAGCTTGATATGGATATTCAGCCTCCCAACATCAAGGGACCTCCTGTTCGCCCGCCATCAGTTGGCTTCAAGAAGGTACGTCGCGTAGTGGATGGGCCACTTGTTGCATTCACTAACACGAAGCATCAGGACATGCCCACTAAGTCAATGTTCGGCTACACCAACGCACCACCGAGTGCATCCAGGGACTTGTTCAAGTCTACCGTTACCGCTCAACATCACAGCACAACCAAGTCGACCAAACAAGTGGATATGAACCAGTTTGCCCAAGGGCACATCCCATTTGCCCCCAACCCTAACCCCGCTGGCCCCGCGCACAAGACACCGGCACGACCCATGGGTACTGCGAGCACCAAGTCCACTGCCAAAGCCACAAGATCGTCGCCTCGTTTCCAGGACGGTGAGAAGATCGAACTGCCCGAAATTGACACGGACGAAGACGAGGACGATGGGGACGCTCACATCGGCGTGGCGCCCTGGGCCGATTCTCCCCAGTTGAGAAGTGCGCTCGTGCGACAGGAGACTTTGAATCCCGAATCGATTTTCGGACCCCCGCGTGCCCTCCACATGGAGGAGGTGTTTAGCAACAAGGAGAGGTGGCACAAGTTCCGCGCGCGGACGTCGAGCGCCAACTGGAGTGGATCTGATCGTCTGACAGAAGACGAGATCAGAAAGGATCTTGCAGCTCGCGATAAGCTGCGCAGAGAAGGTGGCTGGTCTTACGAGATGAGCAAGGACTTGATTTGAGAATCGCCTTAGGTCCGGCGTTGTTACTTTTCTGCGGTTGGTTGACAGCTGTGTCGGATACACATGCGAACGTGCTCATGAGGATATCAGTAGATAAGGTTGAAGGGCCACTAAGGAGGTTTAAGGAAAGCCTCGCAGACACTTGTAGAGAGCCCACACTGGAGTGAAGGAGTTGTTTTTTTCTATTACGGGCGTTAGGCAGCATAAAGGCATAAGTCATGGCCGCAATAATTTTGAGCAGGATAGCAAAAACGCATGGATTCTTGAGCAGCATGATACTCCATACTTTGCCCACCTCGTGAGCTTCAAGCTGATATCAGCACCCTGGAGAGCCCTCTTCTGGTGCTTGTGGTTGACGAGACTTGTGGGGAAGTGAAGTGTGCCCCTACCGAGGCCGGGATCGTGTCTAAGGTGGAGAGTGTATTACGCTCGTCGGCAAGGCAACCAGATTGCGCGCTTGGGCCATGCCAACCAAGGGGGGAGGGTATGGCGCGCTCAACTTCAGTTAACGCGTTGGACCCCTGCAACTCTAAAATTCCAAAGTGACCTACTCGAGCTACCAGACTGACTACTCACCTGTCTTGCCTGAGAAGTACAAGCGACAGCATACTTGTCTTCTCCCGGAAGCCACTGGCTTCGGACTCCCTTTCCCGCAGTTGGCTTCGAAGATGGGCGCTGACGGCAGTACCGAAAGCCGCAAGCGCACTCGAGCTACACCCGTAGCTCAAGAACCCGCGATTCCATGGTCGTTCAAAAGGCGAAGGCTGGACGCCAATGGCAATCCTCTCGCATCGTCCCCGACGACACCCAAAACCACACCCGGAGCTGCCTCATCGACCGTCAAGAAGACTGCGCGCAAGATAGGGTCGTCTCCCGCCTCGGCTTATGACGTACCGGACTCCCCTGAAGACAACCCGCCACAACGGATCCGAAATGTCAGGAGCATCGACCGACCGACTGGCAAAGTCCCAATCCCGCCCCGTCGTAAAAAAGAAGATGATATTTACGAGATACCTGGCTCCGATGATGAGTTGCACCCGAGTCCGAAGGAGGCGAATTCGCTCAAGACGAGTCCTACCAAGAGGAAGAGCGTTGGTGCGGTCAATAGCAGGGCGAGCGAGGCTGATACAGGCAGCATGGTCAAACAGCGCACGTCTCGAAAGCAGGGAACAAAGATGACGGTCGACCGTAACAGAGAGGTTGCCACGATAGAGGAGTCCTCGCAGGTGCGGTCAAGTGGAAGACGTAGGATCCCAACCGCGAAAGTACTCGAAGTGCAGGAAGAGAAACTGGCAAGTCGTTCAGCCACACCAACGTCCCGCGCAAAGTCGTCTACAGCAGCACAGGATGCCCTGGAATCGAAAAAGGCCACCACGAAAACGGATCGTATCATCTCTATGCCCCTGAAAGGCATCTTGACCCCGTCCAAGCGGGACGGTACGCCAAGGAGAAGCAAGAGCGTCGCCTTTGACTCGTCCGATGCTCGGGATACAGAGGAAGTCTTCTTCGAAGATCTTCCAATTAAGTCTGCGACCAAATCTGGTAGAGGTGGGAAGTCACCGCAGAAGCTTGCGAGTACGAAAACAACAGCGACAAAACCCTTCAAGCCACGAAAAGCGCTTGCAAAGATGATGGAGGAAGGGCCGACGGCGGAGGAAACCGAGTCACAAGAAGAGGAACATGCGGCTGCGGAGAAGTCAGACGAAGACGATGACGAGGACGTCTGCTTGATATGCTCAAAACCGGACTCCAAGGCTGGAAACCGGATTATGTTCTGCGATGGCTGCGATAAGGCCTACCACCAAAAGTGCTACAAAGTTCCTAAAGTTCCCCGTGGTGAGTGGTACTGCAACGAGTGCGTTGACCAAAAACAATCGCGAGCGGCGGCTGCGGACGAGGCGGTCAAGATACCCAACTTCCAGCAGCACTTGAGCAAACTGAGAAGGGTGCTACTGGATCGTTGTACTGGGCGCAGACGAATCAAGCTGGTTGACCAGGACGATGCCATGGAGAAAGCACATCAACTAGTCGAGCAGACGGTATTATCGGGAGAAGGGAACTCGATGCTCATCATTGGCGCCAGGGGCTGTGGCAAGACTACAGTATGTTGCAAGACCGCCAGGAACGAGACTGAGGCTAACGCGTAACAGCTTGTTGAGAGTATCATCGACGACATGTCTCTTCAACACAAGAGCGAGTTTCATGTGGTGAGGTTGAACGGATTCATACATACAGACGACAAGCTGGCCCTCAAGGAGATCTGGCGGCAGTTGGGCAAGGAGATGGATGCCGAGGACGAGGCCAATGCCCGGGTGAGTGTCTCCCAGGGACCTGTTGATGCGGGCAACGCTAACCACCACCGCTCGCAGTCAAATTACGCCGACACCATGGCCTCGCTGCTCGCACTTCTCTCACACCCTTCAGAAATGGCCCAGGCGGAAGAGGGCGTGACGTCGCAGGCTGTCGTCTTTGTCATTGACGAGTTTGACATGTTTGCTGCGCATCCCCGCCAGACCCTGCTCTATAACTTGTTCGACATTGCGCAGGCGCGGAAGGCCCCCATCGTAGTGCTGGGCTGCACGACCCGCATGGATGTAGCGGAGATGCTTGAGAAGCGTGTCAAGAGTCGATTTAGCCACCGCTACGTTTACCTGTCGCTCCCGAAGAGCTTGCCGGCGTACTGGAAAGTGTGCAGGCAAGGCCTGGTCGTGGACGATGAGGATATGGAGGCCGAGGGCATCGACGTGAGTGTTGCTGGGCACGAAGCTTTCCATGCCAACTGGAAGGCAATGATCGAGGTAGGTGCCCGACGATCTTTGGACAGACCCTCGACTGACTCGGCTGCAGAGCCTATACAAGGAGAAGCCGTTCCAGAATCTCCTACAGTATCACTACGCAACTTCAAAATCTGCCTCGGACTTCCTGGCAGAATGCATTATTCCGCTATCATCCATGTCCGCGGATTCCTTGGAACTTGTCATCCCGCCGCAGACCGGCCCCGTCATCTCCCTCACGCCGCCAAACTCCAAGCTGCACATCCTGCCGTCGCTCTCGGAGCTGGACTTGGGTCTGCTCATCGCGGCGGCGCGGCTCGACATCGTGGCGCACACGGACACGGTCAATTTCGCGATGGCGTACGACGAGTACGGGTCGCTGATGGGCCGGCAGCGTGTGCAGTCTGCAAGCTCGGGCATGCTGGCGCTAGGCGGCGGTGTGCGGGTTTGGGGCCGTGGAGTCGCGGGGCTGGCGTGGGAGCGTCTCGTGGCGTTGGGGCTGCTGGTACCGGCTGGGCTTGGCACAGGCCGGGCGTCAGGGTACGGCGGGCTAGAGGGCAAGATGTGGAAGGTCGACATGGCGCTCGAGGAGATACCTGCCGGGGTGAAACTGAACAATGTGCTGGCGAGGTGGTGTAAGGAGATTTGAAGCAGCATGGCATCGGATTATGCCGCGCTTCGACAAAGCTGTAGACGCCACACACAGACGAAAATAGACTCTGGGATTGTGAACAGGCCCAGATATGACTTGATGCCATTGGTAGGGCAGCCATCACTCCCCCACCGTGTCATGTATCAGCTACAAGAGGCTACTACTACTACTACTACTACTACTACTACTACTACTACTACTACTACTACTACTACTACTACTACTACTACTACTACTACTACTACTACTACATGTGGGGACTTATTGTCGCGGGCTTACATGCGATAATGAATAGGGGGGGGGGGGGGGGGGGTAGAGCACTCTTGGTGACCTAAATACTAACTATTCGAGTCTTGTACCACAAAAAAAAGTCTTGTGTCTTGTATGTGAGTCTTGTGGGGCGTGGCTGGCAAAACGATGGAGAAGCGAGCGACGGGGCGCCGCTGATGAGGCGCGACGCGGCTTCGTTGCCATCGCCCAATGCGGAAGTCGTGCACCTTGGTATATAGGTACCTACCCATGCAGGCTGCTCAGGCTGCTTACTCTCTCTCTCGACTTAGACGTTGACCGATTTCTGAGAGAGAAAAAACAAAAAAAGCCTGGTTTTAGTGCCGAAGCCAGTTCGGGTCCCAACAGAGTCCTCCAAGATGTAATTGTCAGCACTCTATGCAGAGGAACCCTGGAAATCGATGTCATGTCACAACACTTCTTCAGGCTGCTCGGCACCCTCCCGGCAGATATACACACACGTACAGGTTGGGCTGCGATCCTTTCGGCTGGAACTCGGTGACCGATGCCCAGGAAGATTTCCGATGGAGCGCCCAAAGGAAGGGGGGGAATGCATTCTGGTCTTGAAACCGTTGATCTTCTAAATTCTCTCTATTTCCCTCTCTTCTGGCCCGCTCGCATGGACTGGGGACGGGGGGCCAGGTGAGAGGTCCGAGGGTTGGCGGCCGCCGACATAGGAGAGAACACGAGCCTTGACGGTGTGCGGATTATCGTGGCGGCCGCTCGCAAGCAAGTCGTCCTCGTGGGGGGGCACATGCTTCAAAGGCCCTGCCGGCGCGCAGACCCGGGTCAACATGGCGGTGGTTATGGATCGGAGGGGGGTCCGGGTGGGGATGAGGGCCGACACACCGCATCATTGGGACACTGTCAGCAATTACTGAGGTACGTATCCAAGGTGGGCCCTCTTAAGGTCGCACAGAGTCGGATAACCACAATATGGGTAGTTCAGCATCATGCCCAAACTCTGGATGCTTACGCAGCTCGACAGATGAGAGATCGAGAGGCGTCGGGGACAAGCAAGCGTGTTCGGATCTCCGGCCTATCCGGTACCCCGGACATGACAAATATACCGGCATAGGAACAACCGCGGGGGGCAGCAGCAGCAGCAGAGCAGACCCTGCAGTTCGGGAACTTTAGTTTGATCGCGGGGGTGTGGGCGTGGGCGATCGACCCAATGGCGAACGAGTCCCAGCATCGGGTACAGTCAAGGGAGGTCCCCTCCCCATCAGTTCGGCGGCGGCCGCCACGTTGCAGCCTTGATTCCGCACAAACGAGGATCCTGGCCTTGTAAGGGTATACACCTCAGTGGCGTGATCAAGGCAAGGTACAACCGGTACCATCACTGACTGACTGACTGACTGACCTGGGCTGGCCCATCGTGGCTTTCCTGTCTCGTCTGTTTTTACCTTCATCTGCTTGCCTCGTGAGTATGGATGGGAGGATGGGATGGCACCGAGTTGCCTAACCCTGCACTGAAAACTAAAACATGTCTGGCCGAGTTCGGGACCTAGCTCAAGTCAACAGCCAATGAAAACAGCCCTGGGCTGGGCTGGCTTGCATCTTGGTCGCAACATCCGAGCCGACATGCGACGACAAGTACGGCCGCCGACGCAGCGACTGCCAGTAGCAGCAGCAGCAGCAGCAGCAGCAGCAACAGTTTTGTGCAATGCAATGGCGGCGGCCGCCGCTCGTGTTTCTCGGGACCAGTTCCCATGCTAAACTAACCTAGCTTTTCCATTTTCTTACTCTCTTTCTCGCTCATACGTAGTAACTATGAGGGTACCACTGCTAGGATACGGGTACTACTACTACTAGGCGGCTTCCCGCTCCTCCCTCCCGCTGTCTCTCGGCCGTCCTTCCTCCTTTAATCCCGTCGCGATTAAACAGGAAAAATCCATTGCGTCACCTTCCACCCGGCTTGTTCCTCCTCCCAGCGGGCTTATCCGACCTAACCGTGCTCGCTGCATGCTCTCACTACCAGCGCGCTACGCCCTGCTGCCTGTATCTCACCCGTGCCTACGGAAGGAAGCATTTGCGCCTTCGTCTTCCTGCCCTCCGTCTTCGTCTGTATGCTGCATGTCCAGTCGGTATAGCCAGCCGAAAACACAGCAAGACACCACCATCATCGACTCTTGATTGCTCGCACAGCCTGCGCCTTTTTCCTTTTGCCTTGTTCTTTCTTTCCCCCTCCCTTCTCTTCCCGAACCCCCTCTTATCTTATTTTTTCCCAGTTACGTGTAGCAGATCTCTTCGATGATCGACACCACGTTGTAACAATCACAAACCCCCTTCCTAAGGACTCTCTTTCCGAGCCCCCCCCCGGTTTATCATCCCATATCTGTTCGGAGTCTCGTCCCGTCCCAACTTTAAATCAGAGCGCCGACTGTCCTCTCGACGACTTAAACCTTGACAACCTTAAACCCACCTCACAGCTACGCACGCAACCAACCAGTCGCTCCTAGCCCGCGTCTCGCACATCGCATGGTTCACAACTACCCACACCCCTCCCCCATCACGCATCGGCCATGTCGAAACGCTCAACCTTCACCACTATCACCCCCCTTCCAGCCGGTGTCACCCGTGAGGCCGTCCTCAGCTTCCTCCACAACCACCTCGAGATGATTGACCTGAACCCCCTCATCAGGGAGCGCCACGTCATACCCGCCCCCGCACACGCACCACCCGAGGAGCACGCCTGCGTCTGGTACTCTCTCACAGATGAGATATCCTATCTACCCGGCGGCATGGTCACCGGCAACGTCACCTACACATGCTGCTTCCACAACCTGCCCACCGGCCTGCAGACCCACTGCTATGCCCCGCTGGGCCTCGAGATCCGCGACAAGTGGACCGTCGCCGGTTGCCTTCCCGGCGAGCCCATCGAGCCCGTCGAGCTTGGCCTTGGCGCCCCTCAGACCGGCCTATACATCCGCGAGGACGTCGACATGCGCTGCAACGTCTTCACTAGCTCCTTCGTCAAGAAGACGCTCAAGAAGAGCCACGGCCAGCTGGTCGACCGTATCACGTCCAAGGTCCGCCAGGCGTCCGCCGCCCCCGCGCAACAGCCGCATAGCAGCCAGTATCCCCCCTCTCGCCCCGATTCTGCGAACAGCGCATCAGATACGTCGCCCCGCCAGTCCTGTACCGACTCCTTGGCCAGCCAAAAGACCTTCCTGCCGTACAGGTCCTCGCATTCCCAGTCTGCGCCCGGCGCAGCCGGTGACGACGACACGAGCGCCGCCTACCCTGAACCCTTACGGATCCGCCACGCCTCCGCAAACTCGGCTTCATCTCGAGGGCCCCCACGGCCAGAGTCTAGATCGCAGAGTGGTGGTAGCAACAACGGCAACAGTGGCGGGACTCGGCAGGGGCCGTTTGTCGCCGAGCTGGATTGAGCCGGGCTCTCCCTCTGCCTCTCTCTCTCTCTCTCTCTCTCTTTTTCCGTCCCTGCGTAAAATATGTATTCCATGGCGCTCGGTGCCTGGGCCTGGTGCCAATGTGTTATGGTCAGAAGGGGGAGGGGGGGGATGAAATGGAAAAAATGTAGATACCCCAGATCTTGCAATACAATCAAGCGTTTTTCACGATAATGGCCTTTTGAGACGGCGGTTTTCCTTCCTCATCTGTCACACATCCGGCAACACGCAGGCGGGACACGTATGTATGCGCCTCTGCGGCGCAGCCTTTCCACTTTCCAGAAGCGGCAGGTAACCTTTGCGTGCCGGCGGTGGGTGCCCCCCCCCCCTCCGGGCGAGGCACGCAGACGACGTGAGGCGAAACATGTAGGATCGATTCCACCCGGGAGGCGCGGCTTGTGAATAGGTTATCGACCTTGTGGCGGCGGCCCCCCCTTTCCCGCCCCCCCCATTGTCTCGGAGTTGGTACCCCAGCCCCCTCGGCCCTCGGCCCGACGCATATCGCCCTAGGAAAGGGGACCTTGCAGTCGTTGCTGAGATACCGGTGTTAGAGATCCAGACCTAGAGCTCGACGTGGCGTCGGCTTGTAACACTCCGGCAGCCTTAGCCTTGGCACACTACGAAAGAGGGGGGGGGGGGGGGGCTAGGGACGGATGGCACTTTGGCGGAGTGAAGGGAGGGGGGACTCGGAAGCTTTTTTTTCGTGTGACACACACACGCACACACCCACCAAACGGGATAAGTCTATTAGAAGCTAGAAGAAGACGAAGGAGGATACAGGTGGTGATATGGCAATAGGAGCCATCCTGGATCGGAATAATGAAAGTGTGAAGAGCGACGACGGTACTGAAGGGATAGTGATATTGCAAGAGGATAACAATGTTTGTGATGATAACGATACCTGGTTTCTCTCCCCCCTCCGTTGTTTCTTTCCCCCCCCCCCCCCACCACCACGAAACACAAGCAGAAAACAGAAAAAGAAGGAACGAGAAAAAAGGGTGGTAACCACCCAGATAAATCAAGTGCGGCAAGGCAAGGTTTCTTGACAAAAGAGATTTCATCCCCTCATCCACTGTGAGCGGAATCGCCCTTCCCCCAGTCTTTCACCCGGGTTCCAGCGAAAACCGCGATAGTTCTCTGGCACTCTGTTGCTCTCTCTCTCTCGCTCTCTCTCATCCCGTCCCGTCTCGTCCCTCGCGATCTCTCCTCCCTTCCACTCCTCTCTCTCTATCGGACAGACGTCGTCGATGGTCTCGCCTCTGGGCGTGTGGGGCGTTAGGCATAAACAGGGCATTAAAAATGACGGTGATGGTCATGTGCGCAGGGAAACCGTCATAAAAAGAACTACTGAAAAACTGAAGCAGAACAAAAATTACACAAATGTTGATGCTGCGGTAAGTTCATGACCCCTTCCCGAAGCTTTGTCGTTCTCAGTAAACCCCCCTCACCCATGGGAAGGGGAGGTCGTTGGCACAGGCAACCCCGAGACCGAGGGATACCGGACCCGCGCATAGGAAGAGATGACGATTGAAGAAGCGAGAGAAGAGAGACGGGGGGCCTGGGGATAGGAAAGGCGGAGCTAAAGGATGCAGAAGGCGCAGCAGACAGGTCTGGCTTCACTTCACCCTCGCTCTCCCTCCCCCGGATTCCCCGGCCCCCTCTTCCTTCCTCGCTTCTCTGTGAGTCTCTCCCCGTCAACACGGAAGACCGGAGGCCAAGGCCAGGACGGAGATACCGGCCGACTCCATCCGAGTCGGAGGGGAGGGAGGGCTTTTCACTGGTCTGAACGAAAGCTCCGGGCGTTCATATTGAAAAAGAGGGGCTCGCTTTACAGGGCGAAGGCGGCAACGACGCCAGCGACCAGTGCGATGACGGAGGCGACGCGCTTCTCGGCGCCAGCGGTGACGACGACGGCCACGTTGCCGCCGGGGTTCTGGCCGGAAGCCGTGGGCGTGGCACCCGGGGCTACGGGGACTCCAGGACCGGCGGTCTGGGCGGGTGGTTTGGGCATGGCGTAGCTTGTGTACATTTGGCCGCCTGTGTATTGAGTGGTCTATTGAGGTCGGGCACGTTAGTAGGGTTGCTTCTTCGCGTGTGTCCATCTTCCTCTTGCGTCTCCATCGGTAGGGTCTTACAGCCCCGTCATCAACGACGGGGCCCGGATAGCATCACGGGGGGAACATCTGAGAGGATGAGACGGGCGGAAGGGAGAGGCTCACATAGGTCTGCGTGCAGGGGCAGTCCGAGATGATGAGGGTGGTCGGCTTGTCGATGGTGTAGGTGACGTCGTTGAAGCACAACGTCGTCGGCTCCGGGCAGTACGTCGACACGCTGTCCCACACCGTGGTGACGGTGTAGATGCCCGTTCCGTTGTAGCCCGGGGGGTAGACGCCAGAGGAGGGTAGGACAGCGACCGGGGCGGTGCCGGTGCCTGCGGCGGCGGCAGCTGCGGCGGTGGCGACGAGGCCCATGGTTGCGAGGACGGAACGTGTCTGCATGGTGCGCAATGTATTTTCTGTTGCTTTGTTTTTTATGCCTGCCAGGTTGTCAACGAATGGCCGGATGATCGATTCTGTGTCGAGATGAGATTTTTGAGCGGGAGTCACGAGGGTGTCGGGAGTTGTCCGGGTGAGCCGAGGGTTATGTTTTCCTTTTCCGAGATTCGAGAGTCGAGAGTAACCAGTGATAGTAGTAGTAGTAGGTTAAATATATTTCGACCAAAGGAAACGGGTGTTGCGCTCTGCGATGTTCGGTTTACGAATGTCGTGGTTTATAAGTGAGTGACTCTGGTGAGATGCAAAAAAGCAAAACGAGGGGGAGAGACCCTTTCCAAACAAACGAAATGGTTTTAGTCCTGTGAGTGTAAGAAGAGGGATGTGTATGTGTGCGTGTGTGTGTGATGAGCGAAAAGGAAAAGGCGACGTCAACGAGAAGGCGATCCGGAGGTCTCTCTTTATGTTCACCTGCCGTCATTACCAGCCCACCTCATATCAACAACTATCGATCCATCGACACCACAGGCACGGATAGATCCCAGGGGCTTGAATGCCAGAGGACGAGATGCGTAGCAGCATAGTACATGCGCAAACAAAGAAAAAGAAAAAAAAGACATTGGAAAGGCCTGTCAGTCTAAGGACATTCTCGGATCAGGATGTTTTCCTTTTGCCCATCAAGACGTCGACATCCAATGATACCCCGGCTTCGCGGCCAGACATGCCAGCGTAGGGCCTTCCGGGCCCGTGTTTGTTGTGAACCGCCGGGGTTGGCCAAGAATGCATCCAGCAGTTGCCGGTAATTGGGTGCATTCCAGGCGGCAGCCACCACAAGCATGTGGCAAGAGCAGTCAAGTAAAACAAGGGTCACCTCGCCGGCTGCTGCCCCTTCCAAAGCTCGAGACTTATTCGCACTTCATCATAATGGCATTCCCGGCACTGGCAAAGGCATGATGCCACTTTCATCTGTTTTCCTCTCATTCAGGGTTTAAGTTAGAAGGTCGAGCGTCTCCCCCTTCCCCACGCTAGGGTTCGGGAGCTCTGATATATGTACAAGTGAGTCAGGCCGCTCCACAACCGCTCTCCTCTCCCTGTTTGTCCTACCCCCATCTTGTCCCTCTCAAAGCTAAGATCAGTCCTTCGTGTCGTGGTGCCTGCTGAGCATCCGCTTCCAGTATGCCGACGGGTAGGATAGCTAGCATTGCCATCCACCTCCTAACTACCAAAAATCTTTCTCAGTTCGCCATTGACTGGTCTCTGGGATCGTGGTCGAGACCTGCGCTGTCATGCCGTTCTTCTATGATCGTCCGCCCCGCCAGCCAGTGATGATTCAGACAAATGTCGGGAATTAAGAAATGAAGAAAAATGAAGAAACATAAATCAAGTCCGCATGTGATGATGGCAATGATGATGGCAATGATGATGATGATGATGATGATGATGATGATGGTTGATGGTGATGATGATGCGATCGTGTTCCGCGGGCTGGGTTTCGCCGCCTCATCGGGTCTCCCTCTAAGAATAATTCATCCCCAACGCCTTCGTTTTCAAAAAAGAAAAAAAAAAGAAAAAAAAAAAAGAGGAGAATCCAGATGGCGACCAGCATCGGCTTGAGCGGGGCCCTCTCCTCTGGTTAGAAAGTAAAAGATCCTCCCTGCCGCCTGGTAATGAATAAGAGACCACCATGTTATGCACAAGATTATGGGTCGAGGGAAGTGCCGTATGCCAACTTGAACTGCGCGGACCTATGCCGAAGAGGTTGTTTTAGGTATGTAATCGTCGTGTCGCGCGGCAAGAATTGGGTACGAGGTCCGCCGTCTCTCATTTTGTTTGTTTCGAACTGCTTCATGCCGACCCTGCTCATTTGGGGTTCGACCGGCTCGTGCTACGCTCTGGGCCGCGGCCGCCGCTCGTAACTGCGTCAAAGTCGTAGTTCTTCAGGGTGTGCTCGTACTTGGGGCTTCTCAGGAATTTGGGGACCGAGTCCTGCAAAAGAATTTGGGTTAGCTCACGGATCCGCAACATTCCAACTGCAACAATCAAAGGGGTAAAACACGTACGCTCGCCATCAGTTTAAAGACTGCGTTTTGTGCGTCCTCGAACAGCGACATGACCTCTTGCAGAGTCTCAATCATGGCCACATCTTGGCCGACGGCCTTGGTCATTCGGGTGGCCAGGTTGTTGCGGAGTTGGTGGTCAATGTTCAACTCGCAGGGAGACCCGGGGGCGAGGAATGCGTTATAAATCCCGTATGCCTGCGCCATGATCTCCTTGATGCCGTCCAGCGAGCTCGCGTTGGGGTTCTTCTGGGCGGCCCTGATCGCCCCCCGGCAACTTCGGACAAAGTCGTCGACGTCCAGGTAGAAGGACAGGTTCTCCTCGCAGTGCGTTTCCCTGAGGTTCTCCCTGAAGAGCAGGCGAAGGGCGGCGTCGGTCAGGATCTTGTCCAACCTCTGGGTGTTGGAGTCCCGCGCGATGGCGCTACGGGATGGTACGACAGCCTCGCTCTCCGACGTCCTTCCTCTTGCCCCGAGACCATTAATCAGATCCTTGCCCTTCGCCGTCAGTTGGTAAATGGCATGCTTGGTGGGTTGGAACATGCTGTTGCTGGGGTACTGTGCCATGTGAGCACGGTCTTGTACCACGGGCTCGATCAAGTCGTACTCCACGAACAGCGCCGCGATGTCGTACGTCTCCCGCCTGTCTACGGTTGTGCAACAGTCCATCAACCAATCAGTGGCGGCCTTGCCTGTGAAGGTATCCTTGTACGTCTTGCCGTTCACCTTGCGCTCGCTAGCCATCTTGACACCGGTGAGACCGTCTTTGTAGTCGCTCAGGGAATCCGAGTCGGCCGAGCTGACGCTCGACTTGACGTTGGGGCCGTGTGTGCCAATGAACCTCCGGAAGATGACTTCAATCGTGCCGCGGTCGGTCATGAGCTTGTCCGTCTGGCTATCCCTCTCTAGTATGACGAGTTGCGACAACGTGGAGCCGACCAGCTCTGCTATCGACTTTTGCTGGATACCATTGCGGGAGCAGAAGCGATCCAGCACGGTAACGCCCTTGGTGGTCAATTGCCATACGGAACCCTTCATGGTGTACACCTGCTGGTACTTTCCGTCGGCGGACTCGATAAACCTTGCCTCGAGAAACTTCTGGCAAATGGAGCGGGCCATGTCCTTGGCCATCGAAAACGTTGTGGTGGTCGTGGTCGTCACTATTCTGGAGGGGTCCTTGGGGTCGGGCATACGGTTGGATTGGGAGAACTTGAGGGAGCCCAAGTTGTTGATCGCATCTTCGGACAGGAATGTGTTTTCCACGCGTGTTAACCGCACACGGTGTGCGGATAGGGGCAGGAGGCTGACGATGAGTGTTGAGAAAAGGTCTTTGAAGTCCTGTTCAGTTATACGGGTTAGCCATCCATCTAGGTGCAGTGCAGAGCAGGGCGCGGAGCTGCGACAGGCCGTGGCTAGGAGGGGTCGGGGCGAGGGGCAGGCACAGGAACCGTCTCGAAAGTAGGTTCGGTTCGGCGAACAGTGTGGACTTGACGGGTTTACTGACCTTGGTGAACGGCCGGTCATCGTCCGTCATGCGGAGAAGCCGCGAGGAAGTTTGATGCATTTTGCTCTCTATGCTCGGCTGTCGGTAGGGGAGAGGTCTATTGGGATCGGTCTCGCTGTAGGGTTGAGAGGGTATATCCTGTACCAGCGATACCTGGCTTGGAAGCTTGCCCTCTAGATGGTTGAGATTGCTGCTCGAAGACGAATAGTTGGAGGGGCTCGTATAGCGCGGGTATTTGTCTGTCGAGCCAAGGCTGGCAGAGTAGTCCGAAGCAGAGTCGGGGGTGAGAGAGGCCCTGCCAAATGCGGAACTGGAGGCGCGCTGTCGGACTGATTGGTCCGAGGAAAACGCAGCAAGTGCGGATTGGGTCTTGTCAATGGCAGCGGCAGCAAAACCGAAAAGACCGCCGGAGCGTTGCAACTTGTGCAAAGAACTGGTTGAGGAGGGCGAGTGGTGATGCGAGCGGTAATAAGGGCGGTTTACCGTGGATGCGGCGTGGTAGGGATCTGTCGGTGATGATGTAGTGCTGTTGGTGTTGCAGGAGGAAGAGGAGGTGGTGGTTGTGGTGGCAGTGGCAGTGCCAGGTTGAGGAGAAGCGCTGCCGGTTGTGTTATTGGTGGTGGTGGTGGTGGTGGCAGCAGCCGTGGATTGCGGGTTGGCACTACTAGATGGGTTGGGGTTGGTGTTGTGTGAGGGAGGATCAGGTTCAGAGCTGGCCTCGGTTGACAGTAGCTCGTGGTCGGAAGGTCGGGATGTCTTGGAGACAGCGGCCATCTAATGAGAAAGGGAGGGTTAGAGGAAGCGCGAACGACAAGGCGGCTTTTTCAGATAAAAAGAGAGAAAAAAGAGAAGAGAAAGCGGGTTTTTGGTGAGGCAGGGTGTGGGCGTGGAGGAGAAGAGAATCAGGGACATGGGCAGCGGATGGCGCGAATGGGGCGAATGGAGCGCGCGAGAGAGAGAGAGAGAGAGAGAGAGAGAGAGAGAGAGAGAGAGAGAGAGAGAGAGGTAGGTAGGTAGGTAGAGTACACAGGTCTCCAGGGGTCGAAGTACACACATGTAGACGGTGGAGCCCTGCAAGCAAGAAAGGGTATCAAGGGGGGCAGAGGAGGGCAGAAGAGGGGAGGGGAGGGGATGAGATGGGCCTAGTCGTACTGGGGAGTGAGACTGGGAACAGGAGGGGAGTAGTAGGTAGGTGCTCCGTACACAGGACTTGGAAGACACGCCTAGGCGGGCGACACAACCCGGCAGTCAGTCAGGGCAAGCATGAGAGCAGGCTCCGGGCTGTCTAGTTGGTTCCTGGAGCCGAGAGTTGTCTGGTGAGGCCGGCACAAGGGGAAGCGGAATTCTGAGCATGAAATGAAGAGAGAACCAAGGAAAAGGAAACGAGACGACGCGATGTACTGGGTAACGTAACGGTGCACAGGCAACGGGAAGGCCCGAGACAGAGGAGAGAAACGAGGCAGAAGATGGTGGAGGGAGGAGAAGGGGACATTGATGATACGATTACGGATATGACCGTCGAGCCGTGAGGGGGCGCTGCGACAGGTGAGAACGGTAAAGAGACGTAATACTGACTTGAAGCGACGGGATATGGTGATGAAGCTTGCGTGTTTGGCCGGTTCCAGGCGTAACGTGACAGCCAAAGCTGTCTCTAGGGGGTGGAGGGAAGGATTACGAATAGGCTTGAAATTGACCGGGGGTGTTTTTTTTCTTCTTTTGTTTCCCCTTCTCCCCTTCTCTCCTTATTTTTTTCTCCTTTGAATTTCTTGATCTTCGTCGTAGTTCACGCTGCGTTTGGTGACATGGAGTGTGAGAGACACACGGACCGACGTACGATGGCGGCAGCTATGTTGGGTGACGAGGGCGAGAACGAGGGCGCGGGCGCATATGTGGTGGACGGGGGGGGGGAGGCGTAAGAAAGCGGCAGCAGACGTCGATGATGGGACGGGAATAAAGGGCGTACGTATGAGAAGGGCAGACAGGCCCGGCGCGCAGGGTTGCGGGTCGAGATAGCAGAAACGAAGGCGCTGCTTCTGGTGCCGGGGATGGGTTTATTTTTACTTTTGTTCCTATCACCTTGCGGTCTGGATCAAGGTCAAGGACGAGGAGTCGAAGCGACGGCGGAGGCTGGGAAGAGCAAAACTTGAGACGGGGGAGAGTCTGGTCTCGAGGCTTGGGGTCTCTCTTTCGAACGTCGTTAGGGTGGACGGCATAGATGAAAGAAAGGAAAAGCCCACGAGGCTAAGACGGCTTCGGAACAGCCTGTTGCGTATTCAAATCATCTGCCCATGCGAGACAGGGGCGGGCGTGTCTACTCTGTTCGATGATTCGATTACAGAGAACCGGCCCGCGGCTCGGGGAAGGGGGCTTTCCCTTCACCCTCTTTTTAAGTCCTTCCTTTCGAACCAGGACAGACGGGATTGGGAGGCTAATGGATCGGTGCGTAGTTGGCTCTAACTCGGAATGGGTTGGGGTACGAGTGGGCAGAATGGCGTGGGAAGAGAGGCTAGGTATCTTGAGAAGCTAGACAAAAAGAAGGCAGAGCGACTGAGCAGAGAAACAAGGAAGGGCACGGCGGGCAGCACAATCTATTTTGGGGCGGAGAGGTAGCCGTAGATGAAAGAGGTGGTTGGAGTGTATGGGGAAGAGAAGGAGACGGAGATGGAGATGTCTCGATGATTTTTCAGCCTCCATCCATCCGTCCAACATCACCTCATCTTTTCCCTCTTCTTTTCCTTCCCTCTCCTTGGAAAATCGGCCGCCGTTGCGACTGCAGTTGTGGTGCTATTGCTGACGGGAGAGGCATGCCGTACCGTGCAACGGTGAGGTACAAGTACCAACTACATGCATGCATGCACTAACCTAATGTACGGATACGTCTACGCAACACATCCGTACAACCGGCTCCGCGAGCCACGAGCCACGAGCCACGAGGTGAATATGCATGGCTCTGTTCGGTTCCGCCTCCCAAGAGACAAGGAAAGGGGGGAGGGGCTGTAGGGTAGATGCTGGCTAGATGCTGCCGATGCGTCCCCTCTTCCGTCGATAGTACACCGTAAGCTACATGCCAATCCTCCCGTATCCCGACAACTAGGCCCTTGATGGGGCGTCTTTTCTTATGCCCTTTTCTCTCCGGTCTTCTTTTCTTATTTTGCTTGTCTTAAATAAACCTCCTGCTGGATGCTAGTATATCTGTACGTGCGCCCTACATAGGCAGTATAAGGGATCTGCCACCTGCCGTTAGACCCCTGATCTGGTCCAGGCCCCGGTGGTGGGGGAAAGAGAGACCCACTCTCTTAGGTACTCCTTCTCCGGTCTACGCTGGGAGAGACCGCCCATTGATTAAGTGCAAAAGCGCATAATGGGGGCCTGCGCTTTTCCCAAGGCTCCACTATCCATCCATCCACCCTTGCAACCCTCCGCTGCGAGGTACAATGACCAAGTACCTACTTACCCCCTCATAGTCTCTCCCCTCTCTTCGAAATCATATTGGTTATCCCACTCGGCCGCCGCATAGATGCCTTACGAGTGAGAATGAGAGTGAGAGTGAGCATAAGCGTGAGAGTGGGGGGGGGGGGGGGGGGGGGGGGGGCGCCATGTCGCTCACGCTCACACACAGGTGTACTGTACAGTAGTAGTAGTCCATCTCACCCTGGTGGTACTGTAGTATACGATATAGCCAGACATGATCAGTGTGTTTTGTCTAATCATCCACGTCGATTTGTTTGGCGCGGCAGAAGAGCCCAGTCTCAGAAGTTCCCACTGGGTGACTTCACTGCGTCACATCTAACCTCGCAGTCCTTTTCGCTCTCGCAGAACGGCCCGATGTACGTACCCATGTACCGGTATCCGTACTCCGTACTTGTGACCTCCACTCCCATCCCCTTCAGGCACTTCGTCACTCTTCATATTTCTGCCATGTGCCTTGCCTGCCACTCACCCCCCTTTGCCTTACTGCGCAACACTGCTTTGCCTGTTGCCATGAGGCATGCCTTCCCTTTCCACGTTGTTCCTTCGCAAGCACACACCTCAATCACATTGCCTTCGACTAGTTAGGTGGTGTAGTGTACTCGAGATACCCTAGCACGCCTTACGCAACATACGGTAGGGATAAGTGCGCGTTGTGGCTTTTATTCTCTCGGCATTGTTAGAGAGCTAGGCACTGTACAACCCTGGCGCGGCAACTGTGTCTAACCCCTCATCCCTTCAGCCCAGAAGGCGGCCGAAGAGGTTAGGGGCTAATTATCCCATCTGCAAAGCCACATTCAACGAGCTTGCTCCTTGCGCATCCTATGAGACGGAGATACAGCGTGTTATCAACGCGCGGAACCCATTTCAGATTTTACTACCAATCTCTCTCTCTCTCTCTCTCTCTCTCTCTCTCTCTCTCTCTCTCTCTCTCTCTCTCTCTCTCTCTCTCTCTCTCTCTCTCTCTCTCTCTCTCTCTCTCCCTCTCCTTTTCTTTTTCTTCTCCAAAGGAAAAGTCTGGACTGTGGGCCATTGAGGGGAAGGGGGATGAATCTTTTTGGGGTAACGGAGTTGGCCTGTCGGGGTCTCCAAGGAGTCGTCGTGAGGCGTCGTGAATTGACGACGTGGTAGGGATTCTTGTCTATTCCCCTCTCCTTCTCTTTCCTCTGCATGCATGCTGTGTAGAAGGATGCGGTGTGGGTAAAAAGGGGGGCCATGCAGGTATATGATATGTGAGAGGTGTTCCTCTCATCCTGCAGCTTTTCATCGCAAGCCGTTACGTACAGTGTGGGCACCATGCGTCGGATGTGCCGACCGTCCCCAGCCTCTGTGCGTCCACTTAGCGATCGACGGGGGACAAGCCGGAGGATATTCCATGCCGTGTCGTGGTGCCCAGACAAGTACGACAACTAGAAAAGAAGAAGAGAAGATAAAACTGAAATCTGCAAGGAATAGGTTTTCAGGAAGGAGCTGTGCATGCATCAATCTGGGGCTCTGACGAGACAGGACATCAACTTGCACACCCAACACACCCAACACACCGGGGGCTATCGACATGCATCAGCAGTTATCAACACGCCAAACAACACTTCGCCGCCATCTCGACGCGAACGGCAATCTTTGGCGGGCAACCGTTTTGATTCCTCTCTCTCTCTCCTTCTCTCTTTTTCCCTCTCGCTTCGTTCCCGCTGCTATGCCCCAAAGGAACGGAAGCAAGTGATGTGTCATCGAGGCAAGAATGATGGTAGGCTTACTCTTGTCTCGGCCAGAAGGGCGGAGAGAAGAGGACAAATCGCACAACGGATGAGGTTCATGTCCACCCTGGTCAATAGGGGGGTCTCGGCCAATTCCAGGATGCCGTTCGATCTGATGGCATGGGCGGCGGAACACCTCACCTGCCTTGTAATTTTCTCCGGTCGCATGTAGTAATGCCTGCACTCCCGTCATGCGCCGAGCCTGCCGACGGGCACGTCGGCTCCAGATGTTTAATGCTGATGCAAACTGCCAGCAGAGGCTCGTCAACTCGTCGTAACTCGCCAGTGACGGCGCGACGAGGGCGCGGCACGCCCAGAGGTCAAGTGATGGGTCGGTATATCTTCAAGTTCTATCAGGCGAGCGGTCGTGCCTCCCCTAGCCCCCACTGACCAATATGGACAATACCAAGCGGCACCTGCCAGTTGCGTTTATTGGTCGTTGGGCGAGGTAATCAATGGCTCGATGGGCACGGCAGGGCGCCGGTTCTCGCCATAGAGGTTTGCTGAAAGCTTAGTACCTTTGGCGCGGTTGGTTGAGGAACGGGTCGCAAGGGTACTCATCTCAACTGCTAGGCACCCCTCCCCCCTCTAGGTAAGGCACCTTCGGGGTCACGACGGCAGAAGGGCCGGGGAATGAAGGAGTGGATGACTGACTGGTGGTGATGGATGGGCGGATAGGGGGCGGCATCAGCATGGTACAGGGACACCGCAGCAGGAGGCATGACGCGGGGAGAGGGTGTGCCGCGTGCGATATATCGGTTTGCCTGGCTAGAGACAGGATAGGCATGGCTCGGGTTGCTCTCGCCATCTGATATCATGTTCCCAAAAGAGCATTCCACTCTGCTGGACTGGAGGAACAGCGTCAAAGCATGGCGGGCAGGCCACCACCGTGCATACGCCCGAAAGCTTGGTCGGCAGCCCACGGTTCTGAGCCATCGGGGAAGGGAAAAGACTGTGGGGTGCTCATGGTGGCGGCATGCTTTGAGGAAAGCGGCGGCGTTTGCACGTTGCTTACGGTGCTAGGTTCGAGGCAGCAAGCATATCGAGCACCGGTACACTAGTGTAGAAGGAGTCAATGGGACGGCACAGCATAGTGAGTATGAAAGAGTCGCAATAATTACCAGGGTGCAGAAAAGGCGGTGATGTGATTTACTCGTTCTTGACGCTCGCTTGGAATCGCAGGGGAGAGGTGTCAGTAGCTGACGGCGATGTCAGGGCTGTCGCAAAGCCACTCTGAAAGGATATCTAAACGCCGGCGTCGATGCTGTGCCATTTGATGCTTTGGTAACGGTGAAGTGGACGTAAGTGGGAATGGACGGAGGGATGCCTGGCAAAGCTCGCGCCGCGTACGTAGCTGATACTTTACGTACAATGTATGTTTCTTGGGGAGATAACGAGAGAGAGGCCTACTGTAGAGCAAGGGTGGCTCCATCTCATGCCTTCCCATGTAGTGGGGTACGGTGTACATATGGCTAGATGGTACCTGGGCGACAAGGAACCAATGATAATAGCGCTGTTGTGGATAGAGTGGGGGCAAGGAAGGTGCGAAGCCAGATAGATGCCTCGGGAAGAGACTAAATAGGTACATAGCGAAAAGGTAGGCAGGCAGGCACAAGCTTGGAGGTTCCGCCTGACAGCGCATAGGCACAAGTACTTGTACACCGCAAGGCGCGGGGGGGAGGGATTCAGAGGTGAAGCAAGAGGGAAGATACCTAGATACCTGCCTGCCTCACCTGTACAGTCCCTAAAGTACCCAAGTAGATAGGTACCTAAGTAGATAGGCACCTAGCGTCATACATAGGTGCTCAGAACAGTACTCTAGTAGCAGTCTTGGCCGGACAATACCTCCCTAGCGTAGCGACAGCCAGAATGAGGTTCCTCGAGTAATTGGGGGCCGGAACTCTCGCATCCCCTCGGCCGGCCGTCACTGGAAGCAAAATCGCAACACCATGCCGCTAGCTAGCTCATGGATTGGTCACGACGGATTTGAGCTGCATCTTGCGTTCTGCGTTCTGCTTGTACTACACTGTACTGCATTGCACTGCGCTGCGGCGCACTGCACGCCTTGGAGCAGGACGGAAACGTGATAATGGAAGGCACCCTTGCAAACGGCCGTTTTGCTGCGGCGGTACCGACTACATACGTACATACAGGTACATCGTACGTACTTGGTGGGAAGTGCACCAAACCAGGTAACTGCTCCCGCTCCTGGCAGTCTCACCACCCACCCAGACCGACAGATCGGCGCGTGGTCTCAGGGATTACTCCCACAGAGCCAAGCTGTTTTGGGCCAACTCCTTCCCTGCAACCACGCAGTGGATTCACAAGTGGGTCTGCGCCCTCTACTGCTCCTGGCGGCGTCACGTTGCTGCCACGCAGCGAGCGGCCACCCCCTGTCAACATCCTGGCAACTCTCTCCCCTCATTTCCCACCCAAATTCTCGTACCTTTTTTTCTCCTTCTTTTTTTCTTTTTCCTGCAGAACATGCCCCACTCTAATAGCACCTATACCGTACAGGAACGTATCCAGAAGCCTCTCTTCTCCCATACCGCTGCTCAACGATGGCTGGCTTCGACAGCCGGACTGACTGGCTTTATCGAATTGAATTGACGCACGCGCGCACAGTATTGATTTAACTCCCGAAGCATCCGTACGTACCCTCGCCTAATCTGCCTGGTGTGCCAGTCGTCTAATATCTGTCTGGCCTTGTAGTGACTGACTGACAGAGACAAGTGGGGTCAGAACTGGGCAGAACTGGTCAATGATCCCGCCCCACCCGTCCACCTTGGACAAGCACTGCGGCGTTCCCCTCCGCCAGCTACTAAAGAAGGACTGAAACGAGACGGACGGCAATCGGAAAGAGCCTGAACACTGAACTTGAACCGCCAGAAAGGGAGGGGAGGAAAGGGGTAAAAAAAAAAAAATTGGAAAAAAGGAAAAAAGACGAGAAGAAAACGCAAAACATCGGAAGAATTCTAATTACATCGGCAATCCATCTCGGCATTTCAACGCGCGGAAGTCCCACACCACTTGACCTTTCATCCCATCGTTTACGTCCACCTAAACCTTCTTGCCGGCCATCAGGTCTGGCAAAGACGGTAGCCGTCACCGGCGCCGCACATGTCCCAGCCTCCGATGAGGAATGATGAAACCGCATTTACTTCGACCTCGGAGTCACCGTGATGACTGAGGAGCTGTCGATGGAGACCTCGTGGCTTGTCATTTCCCAAACCACTTGGTTTTCTTCCTTGGTCCCTGACCGCCGATCATTACCACCTTGGCCATCTGAGCCCCTCTAACTGGCCCGCATGGACGCCGTTGCCAGAACATACGGTACAGTACTATATGTACAGTACACTACATCGCCATACCCACAGACCAATTACCCAACAAAGTATCGCCCGAGCGCTATTACTACTCACCGTCTTCTCTAGGTTGGTACATCGCTCCAGAAACTGCCATCGTTCCAGGCACGGCCCAGTACACTCGGGAGCTGGGAGTCTTCCGTGAGCCTTGACGGCTGGTCTCATCTGGCCTCAAACGAGGCTGGAAGTATCACATTCCACATTCAACTACATACAACAAGCTAGTTTGCAAATCACGCCATCCAAGCGCCTTGTATCTCCGCGGGCCCCGAACGAGGTTGTGCTGCTGCTTAAACCAATGTCTTAGTAACTAGGAAAACTCTACCAGTCCTCCTGGATGCGTTTGGTCTCAAACCCGACTGCTACCGTCTTCGTTTCTTCTAAAGGTGACACCGGAGCGTGTGGAAACGAGGAGACTTGCACTGCCTGTGGTTGGAGCCCGTAGATCATCGTACATGTGCTCCGTATTTACGAGCTTCCAGAAGTTTTCCATGGAAACACAAGCCAAGGGGTCCACGTCCCCAAGGGTTTGATTGCGGCCTCGATCCAGGCGACGTGAGACACAACCAATTTTCAACATCGCTGGCCGATCCAGTGCGACACAGGCCAGACTCCAGGATGTGGATACCGGAAGATGAGAGCCACAAATGGTTTCCCAACTAGTACGGTACGGTAGCCCGTCCCTTCGATACTGGGATTCCCAAGTCTCGTTACTGGCCTACCAGTACAGCCTCGAGTTCAAACGTCCGACGTTTCGCTGACATTCTTCTCGCGCATGTCGACGTATGAGAGATTGCTGTCCACAGCGAGAGCTTAACATATGCTCGGCAGCCCTAGCCCATCCCGAACCTAGCAGTCAGCTAATCACTGGGTAGGATACTACCTAGGTCAGATGAAACTCCGCGCATGCCGAGCCGATTTTTAAGGTTGTGCTTGAAGCACACACGCAAAAAAACACGGCACCACACCTGTAGGCTGTAGATTGCGAGAGAAGATAAGAGAGGGGGGGAAGCCTCGTTGCATGGATTGCCGAGGTTGATCATTGGACCACGGGTTATATGTGACGGCCAAAAGCCTTCAAACCCCCATCTTCGCCAGCGCCTCTGTCGATGTTTTCCTGGATGGCGCGCTCCCATGCCTTGCGTTTCATTTGCTGTAAGCAGTAGCTGCAGCATCATTGCACGCGGCGTTCACTGGCCAGGACCTGCATCATCGCCGTAGCCGATGACACGCACGATACTTATCACAGGGATAGGCAGCGCAAGGCCTTTCACGCACAGTAGGAGGCTTTCCATAGTGCTCCCTTGTACCTAAATCTCTGGGAAAAGACGCGGCAGTCAGTGGCTCTCAGTCCGGCGTGCTGTCTATGGCACTTGGCACAGTGCCAGCATGGGCATCTCTCGGAATCGACTCACAGCATGCCGACGCAGCGAAGTTGTTCGCAGAAAACTTACTCACAGCTCAATAACGATAACGTCGTGTCAGCCGTCAGCCCCTTGGGCAGTTCGTGTTCGTCCGTTAGCCAGGAGCTGCAGGACATGCCGTTGATCGACGTGCTCCCCACATCAAGAACGCATTATAATCGGCATGTCTTGACAGGCGGCGTTCCCCTGACATGTTCCTGGTCTTCCTAGTAGCAAGCGACCAGTCGGCATCGTTTCAGCACCATCTGAGACGGGCTAGTTTTGTCGAACAGCTGGGGGGAGAAAAGGCAACAGCTCACAGATTTTGCTTATGGAACATGCGGCCAACAGGGATGCCTCGAGAGCCACGGCCATTTGCAGACCGATCGTCTAAAGTAGAAGGGCTTTAAACTTAGGCTTTGGGGGGGGGTATCGGCTCTGGGTGTTGATCACCCCGCCACGGACACGGACACGTCGATAATTCCAAGTTGTGGCTCTAGTCGTTACCAGAAGCGTGATAGATATTTCATCCACGCATGGCCATGGAGAGATCAACGGCCATGGGCAATGTGAGCGATGAGAGCTCTAGGCCGGTCTCGAAAACACACGACTGCGCCTCGCGGCGGCTTCAAAACAGCCACCCCAGTCCCCGGCCCCCGGGCCCCCATTTCTTTTCCCACGTGGATTAATCGCGATTCTGGCACTTTCTTTTCCTGTTTCTCCCGTTAAGCAGGATCCCGTGTCAGGTCTTTCTGCAGTCTCGCGTGCTCAAGAGGCTTGTTCCAAGCCGGCGTTCCTTCTTTCACTAGCCATGCGCCATGCCTGCGACCATTTGGATGTGCCCCTGGGGTCGCACAACGTGCAGCATTCCATTTCACGGGTTCCCATATCCAGTCATCTCGTCGGTACAAGGCCCTGTCTGTCGACCCCGAGCAGGCCATCAGTTTGTCGCGAAGACAAGACATGCAGTCACCTCGACCGACTTGTCAATGACCGCCCACCACATCGGCCACAGTGCGGCGGGCAGAGACAGGGGACCGACCGCCTTCAAAACGCCGGGAGTGTACTAACAAGGCCCAGGCCAGTTCGGTCGCAAGGCTCACGAAACTGCGCTGCGGGCTGCATAGGTATACAGTACTTGACGGAGACGAGCCTTGTGAGAGAGCATGGGGTTAGAAGTCATCGACCCCTAACCCGGCCTGGCTCGGTCTCAGCGGTGGGGACCGCCACGTGGTTAGGCAAGCCACGAGCGAAGGTTCACATACGACGTCCAGGTGGAAATGTTCAGAAGGCCAGGGCCAGGCTGACACGTTGGCACATGGCTGCTGACTGGGCTGTTGGGAAGGCGAAAGCTAGCGCCGGCTTGGTACTGTATACGCGACCATCCGATGGCATTGATGCCCTTTTTTTGTTCTTTCTTTTCTTCTCTCTCATGCTGGCGACAGCAGCTGCCATAACCCTAGGTAGTCTCCCACCGTCATCAGCGGCGTGCGGTCACCAAGCCCAAAACGGAAACAAGAGCACGCGTCGCGGACGCCGCCACGAGTTCCGCTCTTCTAAATGCAACGCCCTTCCCAATGATTACTACCTATGAAGTGTGCGTCGTCCAGGCGCGGGCTGTGGGATCATGGGATCGTGGGCGAAGTCGGCAATGCCACATGGCAAAACACCGGGACTGGCTGCATACGTACAGTGTAGCGTAGGGAGTGGGCTGCATATGCCTGTGGCTGAACTGGGCTACCTATTCGCTTGGCACGCCAAACAAACGATGACGGTCCTCTCACAGTTCCGAAGCGTGTGTTTTTGGGCATTACTATGGTATACAATACAATACAATACAATACAATACACACGCAGAAGCAGGGCGCATGGCGGCGACACAGCTGCAGGATACTCCATAGCGCTACTCGAGACGTGCGCATCGCATGCTCTTGAGATTGGCCGTCCATGGCACACAACCACCACGCACAGAGGCACAGTTTATGTCGGTGTCCTAAGGGAGTGGACGGAACTTCAGGAGCTCGACCGGTGCGGCTCGATAGCCAACGATGCACTCCAAACAGACGCACCGCATAAGAAGTCTGCTCTCCGGACCAACTCAAAGCTACAGAATCCACCACGTACGGCTGTACGTGTGCAATACGGAGAGCCCACCGATCCAATGGTTTCGTCCAAGTCTCGCCCAAAGCAAAACGGGCTTGCTTGCCTGTCTTGCCGCCCGACACTTGGGACGAGACCTGCCCAACCGCAACAATGTACAGTACCTATGTAGATACTACCTACCTACTACCTACCCACACATACGTACCGGTATCTGTGGTACGATGGTACCAGGCCAAAGTTAAATGCCCCTATTAGGTAACCAATGTTCACCCCCCTACTACGGGACTTCACTTTTGATGAATATTCCCCATCTATTCTGATGTCAGCCATGGGGGGTAACATCATACTACTAGGGGTAATTAACTTACTCCTGCCACCCTGTATGTATGACTTTTTTTCTGGGTCCATCAACACCGCTCCTTCTCGTCTCCGCTATGGCTCGGCACAATATCACGTGGCACCTCTTGTTGACGTCGGATGCATAACCGCGAAACCCCGGGTCGCATGACTACAACGAATCCTTGGGGCCCGGGGTACAGTCAGTATACGTTACACAGGACAGGGCACCGCCATTCAGTACGCGGCACCTTTGTTCTCGAGAAAGGGCGCCATTCCCGGCTCGTACGGTACGGTGCGACGAGGTACATAGACTATGCTCACGTAGTGTACACTATACGCCGCTATTCCATGCTCAACACGTGGATCCATTCTCCAGAGTGCCCGTCCTTGGACGAGATGGGTATTCCGGTTTCATTCGAGATGCTCGCCCCTTGGGTCACAAGGACCACACGGCTACTAGCGTCCAAAAAGTCACCCTACCCTCTCCCATAGGACACCAAGCATGTGTCGATAAAACCATCATTTGAGATTCTCGGGAAGGGCTTGCTTATACAATGCCCTTGAAAAATGGGTTTCGTTCGCCATGTACGGATGGTGCAAGAGTCTTCTTGTTTCACTTCTCCGGCTGTCGGTACACGACTGTAACGTACGGTAGATCACTCCTGGGGGATGGTTTTTTCTTTTCTTTTCTTCTTCTAGACTTTTTCTTTTTTCTTTCTTTTCCTTTCGGGGTTTTGCTGTCCTTGGGATGCAAGTAGCCAGCCCTATGCGGCACTGTCATTCGATCAAAGACACAACGGCAAAGTGTATCGCTATCCAGTCTACGGTAATATCTGTGTCAACAAGCGACGCAGTCTCGTATTAGGTGCCTTGGTTTGCGGCCTTCGCAAATGCTGCTGCGCAAACTCAACCTTCCTTCAAGGTGCCGGGTCGGCTTCCCGACTCAAGCAAGTCCTTTGGTCATGTTCCGCCGCTATGGGCTAATGAGGCGTGACGATACATAGAAGAGGGGGAAGGGGAGCAGGCGGCTCTAGTTGCATCGCCCAAGAGACCGCAGGTCGCTACAGTTGTCTTATATCGGAGCGTCATTGGCCTTTGACGCTGGGGAACGTGGGCGGGCGGTCGTTCGACCTGTTTCACGTGGCGTAGAGCCTCCTCGCACGACAACAGGCAGTATCACCGTCTCTAGCTCGACCAATGGACGGGAGTTCCCTCCCCGGTTCCGGAGCAGGCACATGGCATGCACACGATGGAATCCCGGCCTTGGCTGGGGGCCAACAGAAAGCTGAGTCTCGCAACCGGACTAGCCTTGGCAGGCTCACGGCCGTTACAAGCCCAGTCGTAAAGTCGTACACGTGCCATGCGCTAACGGCTCGCGCTGTAGGGCGTGGGCTTCACGTGGGACTACGCCCGTTCCTTTTGCTTATCTTCTTCGGGCGGAAGATGTGCTGTCACGACGACCCACCAGTCGGTCTTGTCTATCCTGACCTACCTACCTACCAGATCCGTGTCATGGAAGCGCTCCTTTCCCGGCTTGGGGGATCGTAGCACCCGTTGAGCCCACACTGACTGGGCAGCAATGAGCGCCGGCACCGGGTCCCGGTCCAGACCAGCCGCCGCACACACACCCTTGCACCTGTCAACGACGTCTAGTCCCAGAGATTACCTGCATAGTACTTCACCCCCCGCAGACGGCTGGAGGATGCGTGGCTAGCCGTCTAATCTGGTATCAGGCCGGACGGATGGCCTGATTGCGGGAGCCCTCTGTCATCGCACAGACATGGCTGGAATGCGAGCGACGATTGCTGATCTGATTGGGGACACGGACACGAAGCATTGGAGCTCTCTCAGTGCTATCTACCCAGCAGGGTCGAGAAGGATCATCATTGGCACGGTTCGCCTACTATCGACGCAAGACCGAACGATGCGGGCGCGGAACCGACACCGGGCAGCCCGCGGCTTGGCTTGATCAGGCACGATCATCAAGGTCTAGGCAGGGTGAGCAAACGCCCGGGGACCACGAGCGATGTGACAATAACCGCAGCTCGCGCCCAGTCTGTGTTTGTTCAGGGTTCGCATGTCCGTATCGGCAATTTCCAAACGGCTAAGAACGTGCGGCGGGTTGCGAATCAGCTGAGAACATTTACTGTCGCTTCTTAGAGTCTGATCTGCCGGCTGTATTTCAGAGGCATGACCAGACGGGTACGCCGCGAGTTGGAACCTGTTGCCGCGCGCGCGGCGCGATACTGGAATTGCTGCAGCGTGCCATGGGCATCCCAATCCATTGCGGTGTGATTTTTGTCAAACACTGAGCAAAAGGCAGTCTGGCATTGAACACCGGCCGCGGCGGACGGATCGGACCTTGCCCCAGTCAATCGCCGAAGGCCGCGTCTATCACCATGGTCTAGGGGGGGAAGAGAAAAAAAAGAGTCACCCCGGCAACTTGAGTTATCCAGAGTTCCGACGATGACATGTCCCACTAGCGGCCCCCTTTTTTTATTCTCCTTGTTTGGCCCGGCACGACTGACTCGAAGAAGTGGCAAAGATGACCACGGGCTTCGGCGTATTGCTCAACCGACCTTGGTTGACCCTGCCTCCCCCGAAACCGACGGGACGCGATGACCTGGGACCTTCGCCCGGCCGTTCATCGTCGGCATCACACCGCATCGCCCGGCCGCGGTTTCTCCAGAGCCCGGCCGCGGCAACACCGCCACTCATGGGCTGGGAGGGGTCATGTTGCACACGAGACGACGGCGTGTGCACGAAACATCGGTTTGCCGGTCAGCAAAGCAACACCGCCTCCCATCGCCCGCGGGACATGTAGCTTGTCCGTCCAAGTTTCGTCTGCGGCAAGTAATCGTCGGTCACCGTTCGACGACTGGTTTAGACGCAGGCCAAAACTTTGAATGGCGTTGCGCTGGATGCGCGCTACAAGAGACCACAAGGAAGATAATCCTGTATCAGACCCCGGCGGGTCATACATAGTACATAGGTCATGAGCTGCAAAGACGAAGCTTCAGCCCAAGCCCTCCCTCCAAAGTCAATGTAGGTTACGTTCGTAGACTGGATGAAATGCCCCGTGCACTGCCGCTCCGCGCGCTGGCAGTAGTACCTAAGGCTCAGCCGGGACTGTGCCCAAAGACGAGCGTTTCTCTGTCTCGAACCCGGGGGTCCATCATCCGTTTTGATCAGGCGGTCGTTCGGATTTCTGTCTGCAGCGGTCTGTCAGCGGCGGCGTCGATTCACAGCATCTGGATCCCAATCGCCAGGCCAAGCGCGAGTTTGGTTGTGCCCGTTCGGCCAGCGAGGCCGCAAGTGATCTCATCATGTCTGCCCTGAGCGTCATACTGGATGCTCAGTAGGTAGGGGTCTCCCGTCAGTTTGACACAGGTCGCCCCCTCCTTTCTCGAGGTTGCTTGGCCACACTCTTGCGGCCCAACCTACCCGCCCGAGAAAGAGGGCTGCGCCGACGCAAGTCTGGCGAACTTCCCTCTGGCGAACCTCCTTTCCCCGCTACCCCCTCTCAACACCATGGCACGTCCGGAACTGCCGCTGCACGAACTACAGGTCTTGCAGAAGCGGCACATACAACAGATGCAGGATGGACCGCAACGGTCCGAAGAAGGCGGCCTCGTGGCGTGGGAAGAGGCGGAGCAAGCGCCCAACCCCGGCGGCGAGCGCGGGCTGCGGGACTTCAACTACAACGGCCGCGTCCGCAACGGCGAGCGAGCCAGCGAGAGGGCCAGCTCGGGCGTCCTCGGCCAACACCACCCCCATCGCAACTCGGCCTCCATCTACTCCAACTACTCCTCTTATTCCCCCTCGCTGGATGGAGGCGGAGACCATGGACAAAAGGGAGGAGAGGTTGAAGATAGTGATTTTAGCGGCGGCGGCGGCGGCGGCGATGGCGGTAATAGCAGCGGCTTCAGACGAGGAGTCCCGCCGTCGCGGCCGCCGCGGTCGCCGCCGGCGCCGCTCCCGCACATCGACCAGCCGAGACGGCAGCCCTTGATGGAAGTGCCGCCGGCGCCCGGCACAGCGGACACGACGAACACGATGGCCACCGAAGCCACCACTGCGGTCGCCGGCACCGAGTCGGTGCAGAAGGCGCGGCAGCCGCCGCCGCCGACGTATGTGCCGTCCCAGGACCATTATAGCCGCGTGCGGTTCGTCGACGAGGAGCATGGCCGCCAGGAGGAAGGGGAGGGAGCGGATCGGGGGCGCTCGACGCCACCCATCGACAAGACCCAGACCAAGGGCGGTCCCAAAACGTGCGCCCTCTGCGTGTTTGCCTGCTGTGCCTTCTTCTGTTACCGGTGTTTCATGGACGAGGACTTCTGAAGGCCTTGTCGACGGCCTCGTTCCCCGGTCGTAACGCACACACACTCTCTCTCTCTCTCTTTCTTGTTCGTTTCTACATTATCTGTGAGCCTCGTCGTGATCAGCATAGCAGGCGGGGAATCCTCTCACTTACCCTTTCCGACGTACCCGGCTGGCCGTCGATGCCAGTCGCAGAGGCTTTGACGACGGGACAACGGGACAACGGTTGAAGGAATAAACAAACGAATGCAAATACGGCAACAGAGCATACACAGTACCCCGAGTGCACGGAATGACGTGTTTTGGATCGATTTCCTAGGGAAGGTCCGGGGCGTACACAGGTTGCGGGGAGTTTTATGGATGGGGTTGCTGGGGGTTTTTTTTTTGGGGGGGGGGGGGGGGGGAGATTATGGCATCTGCTTTTGTATTATAGATAGGCCGTGTAATAAGAAGCCCCCTTTATCGTGTTGCGGAATGCAACAAATGACCAACATGCCGGACCCATGGGAGGGGGGGGGGCCGTCGATGAGCATCTGATATCGGCCGGCTGCTATGATGTTATACCCGTCATCATCCATGTCTGGGTTCGTCCCAGTAGAAAAGAAAAGGGATGGAAAGGGGGGGGGGGGGGGGAGGCATAAACCGAAATCACAATTCCAGGGACTCCCCCCCTCCTCCTCTCTCTTGCGTGACAAAGTACACATATACAGCCATGCCTACCAGGCATATACGAAAGAGTCTAGAGCGGCCGATAGGCACCACTCGGCTCGGCACAGCGCCCGTATGGCCCTTCCCCTCCCTTCTACCGGTACCTCTCTCTCTCTTTCTCTTTCTTTTCCCGTTAGGAAGAAATGCTCCGAGATTCCATGACCGGGGGAAAAAATAGGGTTATGTCAAGGCCGTGAGGGGTGGATGGTGCGGGCTAGAGAACGGAGGGCATCGACGGACGATGCCCCCCTCCTTCCCGGTTACTTACACGGTCCGCATTCATCATGGAAGATTCTTGAGACGCTTGATGTTCATGCGGGAAGGAACTGCCGGGCATGATATGACAGGAGGGCTTGGTCGTCGGGTCTGATTTGTGACATTCTTACCGAACCTGTCGTTTCTGTTATTTTTTCATTTTCAATTTTCAATTTTTTTTCGAATTTTTTTTTTTTTTGACACGTACAATGTCGGTAGGCATTCGCTTGGGGACTTTTTAATGGGGGGGGGGGTTCCATCGGTCTCCCTCCCCGGACAAGCTCCGCCTGATTTGCGTCCCGTCTCCGTTGGGGGTGTGGGGGTGGCGGTTCCCACAGACCCGGGGCAGGTTCAACGTCAAAAAAAAAAAAAAAAAAAAAAAAAAAAACCAGAGAGAGAGGAACCTAAACGGTTCGACACGCTCGGAATGTACTTGTTTAGGAGCTCGCGACTTTGTCAGCCGGAGGGGAGTGCTTGCTTTCTCGCTCGCTTGCTTCTCGTTGGCGTTGTCGTTTCTGATGCAGTTGTTTTGTGCCTCCCGCGGTCGTCTTGGCCCGCGGAGCTGATCCTCCAGGGCTGGGAGGCCACGAACTTTGAATCGACAATGTTTTTTAGTATGCCGGAGCGATGCTCCGGCGACCTGGCGACGAACGATAGCGCGCGGGGGAGGGACGCGGGAGGGAGGTTGCTCACTATCGGATGGAAATCTAGAAAGGTCCTCGTCACCCCGGGCGGAAGTGGCCGCAACGCCCCAAAGTATACGAAATCTGATGGTTACTGAGTTTTAGTTTTTTTTTTCCCCAGGACCTTCAGCGCGTACTATCACACCATGGCACTCGGGGAGTGCCGGTTTGGGTCTCGGAAAGGCGTCTTTTGGTTGCACGCTTTTCCTTGTCGTGAACAGGAATTGGGTGCACCACTGGAAGACCGGAGCCGAATCTTGGAGCGGATCGGGGCCTCCTCATCGCGAAACTTTGACGCGTCACAAGTTTACTATTCTCTTGACAGGGTAACAAAAATAGCCCACTGTGTCTCAAATCGTAACCCTCCCCTGGCACAGCGAGTCTGTATGGAGAGTAGGTGGCCGCCGAAGTACACGGTACAGTGGTTTAGTACATCTAGGCTTCCATGTAGACGGGCCACTGACTATTTGGACTCCTACTCTGACAATGATCTGTCTCGGGGCCTTATTTTTGGAAACAGGAATATGTGGAAAAAAAAAAAAAAAGACGCACTAGAAGAGAGAGTCTCGCACCTTGGTGTCGCAGACACCGGCAGTCATGGACCGTATCCGGAACTGAAGGCTTACTGTCGCCCTGGGCACTCTAGAATACACGTTTTACTTACACGATGGTCCAAACCAACCCAGACCCGATAACTCTACTCGCGGGAAGGTTGCATCTTGGCATTTCAAACTTCCACCACACAGACGCGAGCTGAAGCAGCCGAGTAACCCCACCCATCTAGCTTGTTCGGAAGACGTCTAGTGCTTGTTCCGGTACATAGAGAGACGGCTCTCTGAATTCTGTGCCCCCGCACTTTATTCTGCGGCGCAGAGCCCCAGAGGAACTTGTTTCTAGCTCATTGGACTAAGCAATATCTAGAGTGCGACCCCTCAGGATACATTTGGGGTTGACAGAGTGTGAACTTGTCCAAAAGAACCCCTGGCGAATTGACCAACTATAGGTGTTGGAGCAAGGGCCCATGTCATTCCTCTTTTCCACACCCACATCGTTGCATTCTTGGAAAGCCGGTGACTCCTTGGTTGAGCATATGCTCCAAGACTGGAGAAAAGGGGTTGGACGACAGAAACGATACAGTCCGAGGTTGATATCATGGTTGTCTGCATAGTGTTATGATGAAGTACGGTAAAGGGCAGCCTGTTTTGACCGCTGTGAGGCGATATGCTGAAAGATAGCCCGGGCCGGTTCCATAAATTTTAAACGTTCTCGGCGGTCGACGTAGAATAACAGGATGAAAAGCAAGTGCCTCTGAACCCACCTTAGACATGTGAACTCTTGCATCAGATCACGCTGTTGATTCGGACCACCTTTGTGAGTAAACACTCTGGAGCTGCTGATGCAGCCCGTAGGAAAGGTTAATATGAGGCGAAATACTTGAATGATGATTATAATCTGATAGTGACAATACAATCTCGCATGATTGGTCAAGTTGGATACCGCTTCGTGTAGGAATACTAAGTAAGGGTTATCCAACGGCATTCAAAGACGGAGAGATCACAACCCAAACACTTCACCTTCCCCCCTCGGTCCACCCCTAGCAGAATCTCCTTACCCGAATCATCCACCGCCTCAAAAGTGTCAACGCGAAAGGTCAGGATGGCAAATCCATCAATGGCCCCTCCAGCAACGAGTCCGACCAAAGGAACCACGTTTGATTCCAAAACGCTTACAAGATCAACAAAGTTGCCAGACGAGTGGAGACTGCCGAAGCCTGACCAGGTATCGTTCACCCAAATTGGTCTCGGGGACGAGTTGGATCATCAACACCACTGCTACATCTGCTAGTGCAATCGGCTTACCATCCGTAGTATTAATCAACCAGTATCTCTAACACCAGCATAATGCTTTGCAACCCCCCCCGCAGAGTCCGATCCGGGTGCTTGTTCCTTATGAAGCAATGCCGGTGTGCTATTGAGCTCTTCGGGCTTTTCTTCGGCTTTCAACGGTATGCCGTGAGGCAGACTCTCACAAGAAAACAGCATTGAGCACCTTCATGAGACCTTGTCCTTCCCGAAATGAAAGGATCTGCCGGGTAAGAAGCGCTCTGAAGTATTCATTGAGAATGGAGATGTAGTCCCATGCGAGGTTCTCTCTATGGAGCCCACCACAAGTCCCGTTGGATCGTGGCAATAGCATGGCAGGCAGAGTTATAGTATACCCCGAGGGATAAGTAGAATTTGATTGTTGGTAGACAGTCAATGCTCTGATTTTGCCAAGCGCGACTGTTTCCAATATCAGACGTCCAAGAGTGGCTACCCTTCCTTTAGATTTCATTTACACTCTAGAGTCGGTTGGATGTTTGACATCCAGCAGATGGCAAATGCAAAACGCGTTCTGACTATCCAAAGCCTGGGTTCCTTAGGAATTGCCACCCATAGCTCCTCGGAATTGATCAAATATCACTGCTTCTGGCTCCAATAGTCACCAGATGATGTTTAACATATCCATAGCAGTTGAAATGGAAAAGTGTGCCCATGACGATACATTGACAAGGAAAGAAATGTGGAGGCAAACACAGTGCAAAACTACCGATGTGTTCTTTCGATACTGTACGATCCTCATTGCCTAAATACCCACACTTCCTAAACCTCACTCACTCATTCGGACAGCGCTCCATCATCGGTTGGAAGACCGCCGACTCTCAGCCCGGAAAGACAGCATCTCATACTCAGCGATCCGCCTGGCCTCAGAACTACGAGTGTTGTACAGAATCATCATAAAGGGAACTCCCTGGCCCGCCCCATCGAAGCCGGCCCCTCGCCGACTCACCCTACGCCTCACTCCTGCTCATCCCCTCATGGACATGTAATGACACTGCTCCTCACCAAGCTAAACCGCCAGCCCTGCCGCCATGGACGCCCAAGAAGATGACAGCGACATCAAGCTGCAGAGGGTCTCGTCCGATCTCATTGCGGACTTCTCCCGCTCCCTGCCCCTCTTCCTTCGGAAGCCTGACGGCAAGACCCTCCGCACCCGTGTCCGCATATCTGAGACGGCACGCCTGACTTCGAGTGTAAAATACCCACCACCCGCCCTCGCCCGTTCTCGTCCCCCCTCAAATTCGCAAGTCCATGATTCTGACCGTCATCGCAGCTCCTCGACCCGTTCCAGGAACTCCCGCAACTCCTGGACCCCCACCTGCCCACCTGGCTGCCCCTCCTCGCATCCACCTACCTCGCCCAACTCAACGCCCGCACCCGCGCCCGAACCCGGGCGTCGGCTCCGTCCACGCCGGCCCCGTCCTCAACCCGCTCGCAGCTACTCGAGCCCCTGGGCCTTGCCATCGCCAAGCTCATATACACCTTCACCAAGATCCGCGGCGAAAAGGTCATCGTCCGCTTCCTCAACGTCGAGTCCCGCCACATCGAGCCCCTCCTCTCGGCCCTCGAGTCCGCCGAGCGCGCCGGCACCACCCCCGGCACCACCGCCGGTTCCGCTGTATCCTCCGCATCACCCGCCAGATCGCCCAACGAGTCGCCGCCGCCGCCGGCGAACTCGGCGCAATGGTCCTGGGAAGAGCGCTATCTCGTCCTCCTCTGGCTCTCCCACCTCCTCCTCGCCCCCTTCGACCTCTCCAGCATCTCCTCCGCCTCCGCCGACCCGGACCTCACCCTCCCCGAGATCCCCGGCTTTGAATGGCCCGAGAACCTCCCCGGCATCACCGTCCGCATCCTCCCCCTCGCCATCAAGTATCTCGCCTCGTCCGGCAAAGAGCGCGACGGCGCCCGCGCCCTGCTCGTCCGCGTCGCCATGCGCCGCGACATGCAGTCCCTAGGCGTCCTCTCCGCCTTGGTGCGCTGGTCCCTCGCCTCCCTGACCCCTGACCGGTCCGCCCCGCCGCAGCCGCCGTATTTCTACATCGGCATCCTCTCCTTCCTCGCCGGCGTCCTCCGTTCCTCCATAAACACCTCCGACATGGACGCCTACCTCTCGCCCATCTTCCTCGCCGCACACTCGGTCGCGTCCGCCGAGGCCGCCGCCGCGGGAGGGGGAAACGTCATCGTTGCGGCCTCCGTCCGCTCCTCCGCCGTCGCCCGCAAGATGCTCATCAAGGTCATCCGCTCCGTCACCGTCCTCCTCCTCCGCAAAACCCCGCCCGACCCGCACAGCACCGAGCTCATCGAGACCTCCATCGGCCACCTCCTCGAGTGCCTCGCCGACAACGACACCCCGGTCCGTCTCGCCGCCTCCAAGGCCCTCAGCATCGTCACCCTGAAGCTCGACCCGGACATGGCCTCCCAGGTCGTCGACGCCGTCCTCGACTCCCTCAACCGCAACGTCCTCTGGACCCGCGACCCCGGCACCAAGACCTCCACCCGCGACCTCGCCGCCGTCGATCCCCTCGAGTGGCACGGCTTGATGCTCACCCTCTCCCACCTCCTCTACCGCCGCTCTCCGCCCGCATCGCAGCTCCCGGACATCGTCCACGGGCTCCTCCTCGGCCTCTCCTTCGAGAAGCGCAGCACCTCGGGCGGCTCCGTCGGCACCAACGTCCGCGACGCCGCCTGCTTCGGCATCTGGGCCCTCGCCCGGCGCTACACTACCGCCGAGCTGCTCCGGGTCCCCACCGCCGCCGTCGTCGCCGCCCGCGTGCATGACGCGGGCGTCTCCATCCTCCAGGTCCTCGCCACCGAGCTCGTCGTCGCCGCGGCCCTCGACTCCGCCGGCAACATCCGCCGCGGCTCCTCCGCCGCCCTGCAGGAGCTCATCGGCCGGCACCCGGACACCGTGGAGAAGGGCATCTGGGTGGTGCAGGCCGTCGACTACCACACCGTCGCCTTGCGGTCCCGCGCCGTCCACGAGGTGGCCCTCAGCGCCACAAAGCTCTCCTCGCAGTACGGCGCCGCGCTGCTGGATGGGCTGCTGGGCTGGCGGGGCATAGGTGGCGCCGACGCCGGCGCGAGACGTGACACCGGCGCATCTTTTGGCACGCTTACGATGGAGCTTTCAAGGCAAGACCCGTCCGGGGGTGTGGAGCAGTTCGCGGCCTCCATTGACAGAGTCCTCGCTCGCCTACGTACGCTCCAGAACCGCCAGGTCGACGAGAGGCACGGGCTTCTCCTCTGCCTCGCCGCCGTGCTGGACAAGTTTCCGGAGCTGGTCGCGGGCAGGCAGCCCGTCGACAGCGTCACCCATCTCACGCAGCGCATCATCCGCGAACTGGAGACGATATTCAAGGACTTCCGGACGACGACATATCGCAAACCGGAACTGGTCGCCGAGGCGGCCAGCCGGCTGATTACTTCGTCCTTGCCTATCCTACAAGTGGCGACGACACCTGATAGCGCCTACACGTACTTACAACCAGGTTTCAAGGTCGTGTCGACCGAAAGCATCAGCGACCTGCTCGCAGCCATGAAGGCGGTCGACGCCCTCGACAAGATCCCCGATAACTTGGCTACTCTAGTATCGACTTTCAACTACGTAGTCGACGCAGGCCTCGCCCGTCCAGAAAAGGAAGCCATCGCCGCGTCCTCCGAGGCCTCCCTCGTACTCCTCATATTTTCCCGCGCCGAGGAGCGCAGGCGCATCATCGAGGGGTGGGCGAGCGCCGTCCGACAGCGACCGACGTCGCGCACGGCAAACGACACCGGCGTCCTCTTCGCCCTGACGATGGCCTACCCCGTCACCACCACCTTTGGCGCCCCTCAGGCAGAAGGGCAGGGCCTGGTCTGCGACACCATCCTCACGAGGTGGGCCAGCGACAACGACATCGAAACGCGCGTGGCGATTCTGCAGAGCCTGTCGCAGAGCGGCATGCTTCACGACCGGGCCTTGGTGTTTCTGGATCTGCTGGCGGAGGGCCTGAACGACTATACCACCAACGCGAGGGGAGACGTGGGCTCCCACGTCAGGCTCGAGGCGCTCCGGGCCACAAAATCGCTGTGGAAGGCCGCCTTTGTGGAGGTCAGTTCCGGTGGTGGTGGCGACGGCGATGCGGCTTCCGACAGGGTCGACGCGTGGTTGCCCTTGGCAGTCTCAATGCTGTTCCTCAGAACCCTGCGGCTGGCTGCCGAGAAGCTGGATCGCGTCCGCACCGAGGCGCATGCGGTCCTTGCTTTAAACCTAGAATCAAGGTAAGGTCCCTTTTGCAGAGTCGCGCGACTCAGTGCCAAGGACGGTGAAAAAGTTTCACTGACAAGAAACCTTCAGTTTCGCATCGGGTTTTGCCAAGCTCACTTACTCGTCAAAGGAGTACTTCCGGACGCTGCTCGACTTATACTCGTCGGATGCGGGCCTGCACCCTCGAATCTCAAAGCCGGCCAAGGCCGACGCGGGCGCATGGATGGCCGAGCTGCTCGCGGGCTACGTCACCTCCGCCGACACTGGCAATGAAGACCTGGTGATCGCGTCCCGCGCGGCACTGGCCGACTTCTGCGCTGTGTCGCCGCAAAACCTGACCGCCGTCTGCACCGCGCTGGTGAGCAACGTCAAGACCAGGCAGGGGCAGGGGCAGGACCGCGTCGTAGTGCCGACGCTAGAGATCGTGGCGTTCCTTTGCCACGTCGGGCTTTTCCAGAAGTGTCCGTACGTCGACGTGCGGCACTTGTGCCTGCAGGTCCAGAAGGCGGGGTACAAGACGGGCAGCGTGAGGAAGCTGGAGGCCTGCATCAAGGTCTACGGTTGCGTGGCTGGGCTCGCAGAGGAGAGCGAGGAGGCTGGTCCGGACCCTGTAACGGTAGCGCTGGGAGATAGGAGACGCGCCGGCATCCTGGAGGCCAGGAAGAGGCTGGCTGCTTTGATGTTTCACCCCTGGCCCAGGGTAAGAAGCCTTGTTGTCGACGAACTGTGGAAACTATTCGGTGAGAGCGGTCGTGCGGACTCCTTGAAGAGCGTCGACTGGAGCAAAGCCGACAAAGCGTCCCTTACCCTCGTTGTGGACCAGCTTGGTCTAAGACAGGCAGGATAAGTACGTCCATAGAAGCAGGAGAAAGCCAAAGGCTTTCTGGAACGTAACGAAAGATTACGTAGTTGTTGGCATATTTGCTGAAACTTCCACTTGGAAATGCTGCAACACTCGGAATGGCTTTCGCCGCCTTCGGCCCATATCTGAATCAATATACCGGGTGGCAAACGTGAGTGGGACGATTAAGTCGGGGCGAAACTCAAAGTAGAAGCTGCTAAAAAAGCATTTGGACACCATCTGATTTGCGACAGAATGAGGCCAGACCGGGATGACGGACATCTGCGAAGGCCGTGGTGCCCGACAAGGAGGGTGGCTTTGAGAGGCTTTTAGACAGGCAGACACATGCTTCCAGAGCCAACTTTCACGCCGATGCTGCAGAATGACACGGTGCAAGGGGTCGTGGACGTCTACTGTAGGGCCAAGTTTGATACTGGACGTACTCGGGTAATTGTGATATGGCCCATCAAGCGTTTCCAACGTCATGGTAGACCCGCACCAAACAGATGGACGTGCTCGGGTTCGACAATGTTTCACCACCGGAAGCTGCGCACAAACCAGCCGCAGGTCTATGGCAAACAGGGATTGGCAATTTTCAAGGATGATCCCAAGGAGTATGGACGGATATCTGCGACACGTTCTGCAATGGTCTTGGCGATCGATTTTCTAATCTGTAACTCGGGTGGATGGATGTTGTAGGTGTACTGGTCCGAAACGACACGGCCAAAGATTGAATAATGCTAAGCCTCGAAGGACGTTTGCAACCGATCCCAGAGACGTTGCGCCGACCACACCCGAACCAAACCTGGTTTCGCAGTCCAGATTGAGTTGTTCTTTTGAAATAGACATAGTAGGCGGTACTGGGGCGGGAGACGAGATTACGTTCATTTAAATCCAAGATAGCAAGTGTCAGGGCGGATTATCTCGGTTCGATTTGACGAGCTCGAAATTAATGCTTAACGGCTCCCGACCAAGGATTTGAACCAAGGAGGCGCAAAACAAACCGGGTCCAACATTGGCTTGACATCCGATAGCCGTCGCCGTTGCCGTTACCGTTACCGTTGCCGTCGTTGAATGTCTCCGTTGCGCAAGGTCAAGTCGCCGTACCCACGGACGTCGGAACCTTTTGTTCATCGGACGATGTCATGTCAAAGGCCGCTTGGCATGCTGTGAGCTTCCGACGGACAACGTCAGTTACACATCGCTCTGTAACCCAGTAGTAGCAGTCTGGTGCCTTTTGCTGTCCGGGCGTTTTCCACCCGACATTACTTGGGAGTAAATAAAGTTCGGCGGGAGATCGTAGTGGACTGTGCGGCGCATGATTGCAACCCAGAAACGTTCGAAGCTTGCGGCCGAGCTCAAGGAGGCTGGCTCATTCAAATGCTGAGATGCAACTGCGTTTGTACTATCAATAGGGGTTTCGACGAGCCCCATGCTGAGGTGTCTTTGTGGCCCACGTAGGCTTGACCGGGGTATTGCTCGCTTGCCGATTATGGGCCACTCTTCCTGCACGTGGAGTTGAGACAATAAAGCCCGGAGGACAATCAGCATCGAAAAGAGACGCAAAGTGATGGATGATATAGACCTCTGGCTAGGCTGGTGAACGAACAAGCCTGAAGTAGAAATGGCTATCGGAGGCAGGTGGCCCAATCTGGCGAGTGGTAATTAGTCCGGAGACGAAGCATGGCGGACGGATGGAGTGCGGGCATCGATCGACCTGGCCGTTGATAAATCACCTTGGATGGCTGAATGTCGAAAGGCTGGGATTGGTCAATTGGCTCGCATCATGTTAGCGCCCACCCCCAAAGTGACTGGTATCATCGGAAAGGACCTACGCAGTCGGGCAAGCTGGCAGGCATGCAGTGAAACTCTTCAACAGGCCGTGGAGCCGAGTATTGTCCCCTGGTCGGCATCATGAGCGAGAGAAACGGCGTGCCCCTGGCCCTCAAGAGCGTGTAGATTGTGTCCGGTCGCCAGCCACATCAAAAGAGTCGGCGATGAGCTCCCCTCGGGGAGTTAGGTTTTTCATGATTCGGCGTGCTGTATTGTATTCCCATCCCAGTCAGACGTTCGCTGCTTCGATGTCTGTTGGTTGTGTGGGTACCCTGCACGAACACAAGGACTGACATTGGCTCGTTGGCTCGGATCAAGGCTTGGAACGGTGCCGCGTGAGCAGCGGTGTGATGAGGCAAACAGACACAGCTGCGGCATTCCGTCAGTCAGCCTTTGAGGCATCCTGTCGAATTTCCCAAGGGCTTTGGCGCCAATGACAGATAGACCAGAGAAGCCATCAATCTGGCTTGAAATAGCTTCAAAGTCAAGCCGTGTACGGCCTGGGGACAGACGATATCAGGCCGTCTAAGACAAGTAAGTGGCTGGAGGCAGTTTCGGCTGGCAGAGCCTCGATTGAAAAATGGCGGGGAGGGGGGGGTGGACATGACGGAAAAGGGATGGGGGCGGCCGACAGAAGGCAGCAGTATCGGCGTCTGGGATGGCTGACAGTGCCGAGCGTGACCGTGGGATCTTGATGGACAACGGGTTGCATTCGGATCGTTGATCGTGGTGGGCCATGTTTCGGTAAGCCAGTCCTTGCGGGCCTGCGGGATTCTTGGGTTGAGAAGAACGGTGGGGGGGCAGCGGCAGCATCGAAGAGGCGAAGAGGTCATTTCGCCTTATCTCTGAGTACCTCTGGTTGTCCATCCGTTCATAATAATGGTTGTTGCGAGGTAATGACAGAACGGTATGATGAGGTAAGGTGGGGTGGCACTGGCCTCGCAAGGATCGTTGGGAAAAGAGTCAGAGTATCGCATACATACCTATGTACCTACGTACCTACGTACCTTATATAGTACCTAGGTGGGCAGGTAGGTAGGTACCTTAGATAGATACTACGGTTTGTCGCTGCGGCTGGGACCGTAACCGAGCCGCGAGTGCGTGAGACGGAAAGAGATGAAGGGGGGCATGGCATCCTGCCCAACTACTAGTAATACACGTACCTAGGGGTATTTGCATTGCGATGCATCACTAGGTACTGTGCGTGTAGGTATGGCTCCTTGCTCTTGTGCGACCAGCTGACATGCTTATTACCATTCAAGAGACCCTTCGAACCGCCCACCACCTCCCCCGTGGTCCATGACGACTGTCACGACTGGGTAGTGAGTAGGTTAGGTAGACGTATGTAGGTAGATACATAGCATGTAGTTAGTACGGAGTACAGGCCGTCGATCCCGTCAAGTGTTCCCGATGACTGGGAAACGGGAGAGGGGGGGATCATAAGCTACCCAGGCACCTTAAGCGGTGGCCCATGCTTCCCCTGATGCTCGCTGTCTTGTCTTGCCGGTGCCTTGTTTGCTTCCCCAGCTGCGGTGGCTGTGTCACCCACTTTGCTGCTTTGCCTCGACCAACAGATGACGAGATGGTCTCTCCCGCATTGCCCACTGTTGGGTGGATAGGCACAAGGCCACATGCAGGGAAGCAGTGCAGTGCAGTGCAGTGCAGCGCAGGGCGACAAGGCAAGACATGGCGGGCCTCTTTGGACGCGACATGCAATTGCATCCGAAGGGAGAGTAAGTAGGTACCGGTCGCGTGCGGATGCCTATCGGAAGGTACCTACCTATGATAGGCATTGCCGGACTGAATTAGTATATGCCACATACTATCGTGTGTGATTGGTCAGTCGAGGGAGTGAGTCAAGGACCTCTCTGACTGTACACACATAAGCCCTGTGCAATATGATATGCAACGGGGATCTTTGGCCCCCTTGTGGCTAGGTAGGCCAGTCCCCAAGTCAGACCTATCATCCTTCGTCAGGGAACCGAGACCGATTGAGTGAGGCGATAGATACGTGTATCCGTAGGGTGACCTAGGTAAGATGAAGCCAGCCTCCAAAGATTTTAGGTCACAGCATTGCGGAAGCAGAAAACAGGAAAGAGCGAAAATAAGCCCGGAGGAAGATAATCGAGTGTCAAAGAAGAGCGATGCTGGCCCACTCACCGTGCTTTCCTTGCCGTCCTTGCCTTGCCGTCGTTGCCTTACCCCCCCCACGCCCTAGCTACACTCTCTTCCTCCATCCATCGCCCTCAGGTCTGGCCCTCCGCGATCTGTCTCCAACTCGTCCCCCATCACCACCTTACATGGTAGGTACCTTATCCTCTTCTCATTTGGGTGTCCAACTCTGAGCTGACATTGATTGAACTCAAAATCGGATGCAATGCTAAACTAATTAGTTACCTCTTCGGAAATCACTTCGCTCTAAAACAGGAACGTCTCGAGCTGATTGCAACCACAACGTTCCCTCAGCTCCCCTCTCCCTTCAAGACGTCGGCATTCCGTCGTCATGTTGATTCCGCGGAACGCCGCCAGTGCCGCCTGCCTGGTCTTACCTCACCTAAAGCGCGTCCCACGTGCGACATACCGCAGCCAATGTCTCGTCCACGCCACCGTTAATTGACCAAACAGCTCCACGCTTGCTCACCGAGGCCGTGCATCATGTCCCAAGAGATATCCAGCAAGGGCGACGATGACGACCGTAACTTTGTTTCCCTAAGCTGCTCGGTATACTGGGCACCTTGGCACGTGGTCAGCCGCTATCTCCAGATTTCGATTGCGTCCTATAGGCACTGTCTTTATCTCGCTCGCGCGCCCTCCCTTGGCCGAATGCACGCATCCTCGGCACCGCTGTGTGGTTTGCCATGAGCGAGCTCGGCGTCAGCTCAATTATCGCCTTGGCTCGAGTTCCTTCCCGCGCGCCATATCAACGCTAGTACATATTAGAGCTAGAGATACGATGTATACTGCTGAATATCGGGGAGCACACGAGGCGATGCAGCTGTCCGTTTTTGGAGCCCTACCGAAACGCGACTTAATCCAACCATTCTCCAGCCCAGTCGACCGGGCCAGGCCACTAGGCATCAATCCCCCCACGATACTGCACATACCAAGACCCAACACAACGAGCTTTCCGTCCATCTGAGCAGTCTTGCTGTGCCGTTAAAAACGCCAGGGAAAGTTTAATGCCCTGACGACGCATGGACGTTGTCGACCCATGTCTCCCAGCTCGATTTGTGGCATGAGCCCAATAACGCCAAACGCGGTTATCTCTGTTCCTTCCTTCCAAGGCCCCCCAAATCTCATCCGTTCATTACCATCAGGCCATATCTGCAGTCGAATGCATCGAGACAACACATGCCACTCTGCTGCCTGCAGCAAGATGAATCCTGTCTGCCCTTAGCTCTCTGATAATATAAAGCTTACCAATGCGCTGGACCTTGCCGCCAACCTTCAATCAGCAAGGGCAGAGCACCTGTTGACACACACGGACACTACCTAGATCTGTCACTCAGCAGCCGTTCCTTGGTGGCTCGGCTGCCTATTTTGGCAGTTGCCCGCGCGGACGTGCCCCCGGTAAAGAAAAAGGGCAAGGGCCAAATCGCCTCCGCATTGTCTCCGCGCATGCGGATGGAGCACCATACCTGTACGTTTGACTGTGGTACCGACGATTGAGTAGGAGGGGCGGGGCAGGGAGATGGTTGGTGCTGGTTTGATGAGCCAAGGTACGGATACTGACTTCGCAACTTTTTTCGGCCATGCCATGTCGGCCATGTCGGCCATATCGGCCAAGGGGGCGTGCGCACAAAGCAACGGCCTTTAAACGGCCGGCCCACTACGAACACGAATCGGCCTCTCGTCTGCCACCGCCTTATCTAAGTGGAGAGAGGCGCACGCAACTGGGAAATAACGATTGAGACGGCCTCGCAGGCAGTCAAGACAAGACGAGACACGCAGGGAGAGCTTTCGTTGGCTATTCGCGCCAGCACACGATAACGAAACACATGCCAATGCAGCCAGAAGCTCCTGGTCAACTTCAGCTCCTGGAACCAGTGGTACGCGCTGCTTCTCGCCGTGATTAGACAACGCCAGTGGCATGTTGAAAGCGGTCAGTCATGGCGACGCAGCCAAGCCCATGGCAGAGTGCACGGTCGGTTCGCTCCGTTGAGGAGCATACCGGTAGTATTTGCACGTCGTGCCGTCGCTGTCGCAGTGGTTGAAGAGTACCAACGAGTCACGACTAGGATTGAACGGATTGAGCGAGATCACCCGTTTGTCGGCAGCTGCTCACGTTTGGCAAGGAGGCGCGCAGCTTGAGCGTATGCTGCAAGACCGCCAGCGACGACGTTTAGATGCCGGGTTTTTGCTTTTAGTCTCGACCATTGTCCAGCCGCAGCAATCAGTGTGGCGAGGACGACGAGTCACCCAATGACGGAACGACGTCAAGCTCTTCTCACGCTACCTAGCTTTTGGGTCCAACATTCGATTGGAGTGAGACATTGCCTCTGGATCAAGATACCTGCTCTCGAAGCGAGCGACTCGACCAGCAAGCTATGCACATTAACTATCAGTGTAGCTCAGAGCTCTGCAGCCAGCGGCGAATCCCCTTACCATGAGCGAATCGTTCACGCTTGGGATCAGAGATCAGCGTCATACCAGCGAGCAAACCAACGGTTGGCAGCTACCTCAGCTGGCCGCTGTGTTTGTATCTGCACAAAGGTCCAACGCAGTACGAACTACGTATACGGACGGGTACGTGGTGCCGGAGGAGGAGGCGCTGTAAGGCGTGAGAGTTGTCCGTTTGAGGACGGGCAACCGACGGCTCAGCCTTGAAATGGTCCCCCCTGTGCTTTCTGGTCGAGTCGAACCCACCGCCAATCCAACCTCGTCGCAACCTCCGAACTTTGGTCCTTCAACCGACGGGATTGGGATTGGCCAAGAAAAGCTGCTGATGCACACCATCAAGTTCCTGAACCATACACCCTCACCCGGCCCCTTGTCACCATGTCCCACGCCCCCATCTTCCCATTCCTCCAAGGGCTTGAATCCCCCCCATCCATCCATCCATCCATCCCTAGCGTGCAAAGGGACCATCACCAGGTATCCTTGATTACCCCCAACTCGGCCATCCCAGACCAGCCTATCCCATCACCCACCTTCGTACGGCTACTGGGAGCCACACTAATATAGAAGAGCAGAGGTATGCTCACAGAGACCTGTCGCTATCTGCGCCCTGCTCGGTGCAACCAAATTATTACTTCCATCCGCTCCTCCGCAGCATCGGTGCCAGGCTTCATGTTCTCCTTCCACCACGCTTGACCTATTCCTGCGATTTCCTCTGCTATTTTGTCGGTGCAGAAAGACAGGAACCCGTAGCGTTCTTTCTCGTCGTTGTCGAGACGGTTATACGCCCGACTTCGTCCTCGGTTTCTGTCTCGTCCGGACCCGGCCTGCTTCATGTCGTATCGTTCGTCCCTTCGCAACCGCAGAGTCCATGCATCAGACGCAACAGTCGCTACGATACGCCTACCAACCACCCTAACAGCCTTTTGCTCGTCTTCCGCCAACCGACGAATCCCATTAGCTCAAAATCATCGCCAATATCAGCCGTTGTGCCATCCACACGAACCGATCCCCCCCGAAAGTGGACGCGCACGCTGAACAGCTAACTCCTCGAACTTCGACGTCGCAGCCACCTCCTCGCTCGTCGTGCCCTCTGCGGAGGTCGACGGGCGTGGATTGTCCGAATCCACCATGAATATTTACACCGAGCCGCCCGAGTTGCGCAAGTTCTCGCAGGACAAGCCCTCTCTGCTTGTTTGCTGGTGGATCACGTCGTTCTGCACTGTCATCATCCTGTTGCGGGTCGCCGGCCGCTTCATCCGCACCGAGAAACTGTTCCAAGAGGACAAAGTCGCTGCACTCGCTCTGATACCGCTATGGCTTCGAATGGTTTGCGTGCATTTCGTCCTGCTCTATGGAACCAACAATGCCCAATTCGACAGTATCACCCTGTCCAGCGAAGAGGTGCGTAGGAAGACAATCGCAAGCTGTCTCGTGCTTGTTAGCCGCATCTTTTACGCAGCGACGTAAGTTACCGAACCCCCAGCCACGTCCGTTCATTCCGCCCACAGCGGGTTCGCAAAGTCCCGCATTCGTCAAGACGATAGAATGGGTTTCTAACACTCTGTCTGTGCAGATTGTGGATTTTAAAGAACACTATTTTAGAGTTCTTTAAGCGTCTGACTGGCGTCACTTGGGCACGTTCTTACGAACAGACGCTCGTTTTCATCAGATGTACCTTGGTCGCAACGTTTATCGCCATCATTATTAGCGACCTGGTGGAATGCCAGCCATTTAACCATTACTGGCAGGTCACCCCCGACCCGGGAGGCCAGTGCCGCCAAGGTTTTGCGCAACTCATTACTATGGCGGCCTGCAACATCCTCACCGATTTACTCCTCGTCTTTTTCCCGATTCCGATCATCTTGCGCAGCCAGATGAACATCAAGAGAAAAGTCCAACTCACGTTGCTCTTCTCTCTCAGCTTAGCCGTGATCGGCGTCACGATCTACCGCGTTCCTCACGTCATCGAGGAGCACGGCAAGCAACAACTGCGATCGGTGTTGGCATCAGTCGAGCTTTTGTTTGCGACCACGGCGGCCAACGCGCTGGTTCTTGGTTCGTTCGTACGAGACCGAGGCCTCAAGAAGCAGAAATTCAAATACGGCTCCGTCGGTGCAGACTCTGTGGATCGAGGTTCCGTATTCCGCCGGCCGACGCTTCACCGACACTGGGGAAGTGACGAGGATCTTGTGCGTGACGTTGGTCTAGGGGTCGACGCCGATCTACGAGAAGGGGCCGGGGAAGACGATCCTGATGTTGAACAGCTTCATTACACCCCTGCGCCAGTTGCCAGGCCATTCGGCGAGGAGCTGAGGCAGTGGCAATTCCCACAGCGGCAAAGGAGCAACGCCGAACGTAGCGATGCGTCGCTTATACTCCACGACCTCTCTTCTTCGAGAAGCAATTCCACCACGACGCCGCGGAAGGTCTCCTTCTTCGATGTGGGGGGCCTGCTATCGGAAGACCAAGCCGGAGTAGGAACAGCTTTCCGCAGGGACAGCATTGTCTCGAGCGTGGATCCGATGTCGGTCGATGGCCACAGCATACCCTCGCCGACGATGCCCGCTCCATCCAACGGCTTACGGCGCGGCTCGACAGCGCTCCTCCAAGACCTTGGTGGTCTCTTGGGCCCTCTCAACACGAGAAGTCCATATCCGAGATCCAGGACAGGCACCGAGCTACAACCGATCCCGCAGTCGCAGTACGACGATCATCCTTCGTACAACCCTCGACCCGGCGAGCCTACTCTGAGTGACCCGGGCGGCCTCTTGAAGTAGCTATAAAATAACTATAGGGTGCGTTTCCGAGCAAGTTGCCATGCTCTCGCCACCAGGTTCAACTTGCCGCACCCATAAATCGGCAACCACATATTACGAGATATCATGTGTCTGTGTATAACGACGGTTTTCAACAGGCATGTTGGAACAAACTTTTATTATCATGAAGGAATGAGGAGTTATAAAGGTCTAGAGCCGTCAACCGGCGTTTGTTTTCAGGTAGAATCAAAGGAGGAGTTGGGTATATTCAATCGCAGTGTCCTGCATTTCGAGGAGGGACGGTTCATGACCAAGGGAGTTTTGGAGCGCTGGGAGAAGATGCGATCTGACGTACGAAGGCCTCTCTGATGTGCGCCTGCGGGGCGTTACGATGATATCGCGAGCTGCTGGCATTTTTTGTCGTTTAACATATACCCGGCGAGATCCGCCATCATGTTTGTATTTTCAAGCCTGTTGCAGTAGTGTTACCATTCGACAATTTCTGCGCTAAATGGAATGGTACATGGAGTATATTTGCAGCGTGCTTCGTTGTAATTCAAAATTTCCCAATCGCACACCATAATGCCAGCCCCCGAAGTCTGCTACCTATACAGCCTGGTCCCTGTAGGATCTGATCGGTTGGGGCCCTGTTCCTGAACCAACGGCAACAACGACTGACTTTATCCCGGCTGCCCGGGTCCCGGCGGCGGTGCCGGTAGCACCTCCCCTCCATCTAATTTCCCCTCCAAGTAAGTCATTACGTTCTGGGCTCTCTCTAGGCTTCGATTTCTTTCGATTTCTTGAACCTAATCCGATTTGATTTTTTCCCCCCGAGTCGACTTGGCCCAAAAGAACAGACCTCCATGCCTCCAACTTCCCCCCCTTGCCCCATCTTCTTTTTTTCCCCGCCCCAGTATATGTTCCTTTGGCGCAAACTCCTTCCGTCCAATGTGCAGGGGTACGTCTTCTGGTGGTGCCCCTGCCGGCGCCGAACTCCGAACGGGCACGGATGTTGTAGGGGGGAGAAACGGCGAAACCAGCCGTGGACCACCGTTCCGCGGTTTCCGACCTTCCGAGGGGTTTTTTGTTTTATTTTAGGGTGTTCCTTTTTTCCCTTTTCGTACCACCCACGAGGCCTTTATGGGTCGGTACCGAGCCCTGCGCAGCATGAATGAAATAAGGAGAGAAAGGAGAATTAGAGAATAACAGTCAGTCTGGGTTCGGGGGGTCCGTTCGCAACGGTTGATATTGAGGCTATGTGTTGTTTCGTGTTGTGTTGTGTTGTGGCTTCCATTAAGAAAGAGTTCGTCCGGTGCCTATCCACGATCCTGCCGGGACTCCCCCTCTCCCCTGGGGACTTTGGGAGGAACACTTATTGCCGATGTGAGGTGCTATTATTGACGCAGAAAGTGGGGAGGGTGCCTTGGCGCTCAGAGCCAAAGAAGGAGAGGAAAAAGAACTGTTATAGGGGGGCTTTTGGTTCTATTCTCATGGATGCCCGCCGCGCATTGCGTTATAAACATCTCCATGGGTAGGGTGGGAGAGAGGGGGGGATATACCTGCGGAAAGGACGAGAGGGAATGCATAGGAGAACAAGATAAGATGAAATGAAATACAAAAGAGCAGTGACCATGCGCGCGCACGCGGCGCCAGTTGCCGTGTTGCAGATCTTCTGGTGTGGGGGGGTTCCAGAGAGTGATTCTCTCCTTTGATGCGAGTTTTGGAGCCGCCGGGAGGGATCCTCGTCGACGGATCGTTCGTGGGTGCAGCCAGCTGCTGCCCACGCCGCAAATGCCGAACGACAAGACAAGATTGCCCACCCCCCCTGGTTTCTTTTTCTCCGGAAAGATGGAGGCTTTCTACATAGTCGGGAGATGCATTGCTGCGATGGAAGACTGGCGGTCGGATGTACGGCTCTTATTGACCCTCTCCACTTTCCCAGACTCATCGGCTGCGAGTGTCACGACTCGAGCAGTGGGGGCGAGAAAACCAGTCGTCGTTTGTCTCGGCCCCTTTTTTTGACTTCGGCCTTCTCCGACTTTGCTGCATTCATACACACAAGGCCCCATCGAGACCACTACGCTCGTGGTCCCTGTCCTGGCCCCGACGTGGGACGACGACGGCACGCCTAGGGCTCGTCACATATCGAGGCAGAGTATCCCACTATGCCGATGTTTCCGTTCATTCGAGGCCTAGAGGAGACCTCTGACGCCTTCCCGAGATATCACCAGTCAACCCAAGCGGAGCGTTATGACGAAAACGATGTAAATAGTAAGTTAGGTAACCTTATGTTGTCCTTCTAGAAGAACCCCTCTTTTTTCTTTTCTTGTCATACACAAAACAGCAGACCATAGCCGTTCCCTCAACGCCAGACTCAAGAGTGATGCAAAGAGTATAGTTAAACTCCCTCCCCCATCCGCCGGGCGTCAGTCATCCTGTCAAAAAAAAAAAGGGGGGGGGACCCAATCCCAGCCCGTGCGACTCCCCTATTCCGTCTTGTCTTCTCCTTCTTCTATGTCGTCCCTTTTCTCAGCCCCCGTGGCCAGGGGCGAGGCGCAACGCGAAGCTTATACGCACAATCTGTAGCTGGCGTATCGACCGGCCGTCTCCGAAGTACGGATAATCTTGACGACCTGCCCACGCTTGAGTCCGAGGTACTTGGCGACGGGGTCCTTTTGCAGGATGCGCGGAAGCTGGGTCTCCTTGAGGCGGTAGCGCTTGAGCAGGGCGATCTTCTCCTCGCGGCTGAGCAGGATGTGCTTGGGTACGAGCTCATGCTTAGTGATGTTGACGAGCAGATCCTCCTCGAGGAAGCACTCAACCTTGGCGAAGGACTCGATGGTGATAAGCATCTTGCGGGCCGCCGGGGAGAGGGCCACGTGGGTGATCATGATACCGGACGAGTACTTGTTGCTGATGAGGTGGTGGATGAACTTCTTGATCTCCTTAATACCAAAGGTCGTGTCGGCAAGGAACTCGACCCAGAGAGTGCCGCATTCGGGCGCCGGGTTCGGGTTCTGGGGTGTCGCAGGAGGTGTGAACTTGCGGATCATGTCGGCCGAGGGGTTCGCGGAGAACTGGAGCTTGCTGCGGCTGTTGGAACGAGCGAGTTGTCAGTTGCAGTTGCCATGGACCAGCCAAGGGTTCAAGCGAGGGGCGCGTACTTTACGCTGCCGTCAGCACTGGTGTACTCCATCTTGAAGCGGTCGAGCGAAATCGTGAGTTCATCCTCGGCAAGTTCATAGCCCTGTCATCCGTCGTCAGTGCCAATGCCGCCAAGCCGTAAGTCTCTCGTCCGTTCCAAGTAGCGAAAGAGCCCAATCGTGCTCTCCAGCTCCTCAAAATGGATGGTTCATAGGGCGTCGTACGCGATCCGCAGCCATCTCGTGGGCCGTCCGCCAAGCGCGCCACAGCCTGGTAACCTCCTTGTTCACATCCTTCTGGTCCGACATCGTTGCGATGGGTGCGTATTAATCGACGAGGGGGGGCTTTCTCGTCGTGTGGCGCCCGAGGAAGAAGAAGAATTCGCCGTCGAAGGAAAAATACGGGCTTGTCGGGATGGAAGGCGTGGGCGGTGGATGGGTATCACTACGACGGGAAGTTCAAGATCGAAAAAAAGACTGGCGTCGCGAAACGGATAAGCCAAAAAAGTTCTGGCGGCGGGTTCAGCCTTGCAGCCAGAGCAAAAGTTTGAGTGGGGCTCCCGGTTGCTGTTGCTCAGTCCTGGTCGGGATTGGACGGGATTCTGGAATAATCGACGGTAAAGGTTAATCCGAGACAGGCAGAGCCGGAAGAACCCCCAACGTGTATTGGGCTTTGGGAGGGCGAAGGTACGTACCTAGATGATGGACAGATGCAATCAAGGGTCCAGAGTCACAGTGCATGCACGTGCCACCCGTCGGATTTGAACCCCACAGTTGAATCCAGAATGGCAGGTGGCCTTTCCCCCTGGAGAAAGTACCTGCCACGGAATCCAAGGGTGAATTTCAACAAAATTGGGGGAGCTTTTTACGGAAAAAAGTTCACCTTTTGCGCAGTGCATCCCGATTCCCCATCTCTCCTTCTCCTCTGCATCACCACCCTTGCCGCCCGCTCCCACCCACGGCAGTGCGCGCCATCTTCTGCTTTGTCCAATTGACAGTTCGTTCTTTTGCACCGGTAGACAAGCACCGTCAACCTTCACAATGGCCGACACCAAGCAAGCACCCGCTGCGGCGGCTGAGGCCAAGACCGAGACGAAGACCCGTCCAACCATGCCGGACGAGGCCGAATACCAGAAGAAGCTGAAGATTGCCGAGAAGGAGCACAAGGAAGCGCTTGACCAGCTGGTAAGTCGGATCATCATGCCGATTGGCGGCCTGTTGTACACTCTCTTGGGTGGCCGTAACCGCGGAGGCGCCCTGTGATGGGATACAACGCATGCCATTCGAATCGCAAACTGCTTACACCGAGCTCCTTCTAGAACGCCATCAAGGCCAAGATCGATATCGCCATGCCCAACAAGAACAAGGACCAGCAATCACCAACGCAGAAGCGCCGCAGCGAGCTCATTGCTCAGGCTAATGAGATCCGCCAGAAGCAGGGCGCCGGCAAGAACGCCCGCACCTCCAAGCTCGACCAGATCAAGCGCCTCGACGAGCAGCTGCGCTCGCGCATCACCGAGCAGAAGACTGCCCGCTCCAAGGTCAACTTCAAGAGCGTCGAGGAGGTCGACCGACAGATCGAGAAGCTCGAGTCTCAGGTCAACTCGGGCAGCATGAAGATCGTCGATGAGAAGAAGGCCCTCGCCGAGATTTCTTCCCTGCGCAAACTGAAGAAGAACTTCTCCCAGTTTGACGACTCGCAGAAGCAGATCGACGACCTCAAGGCCAAGATCAAGGAGATCAAAGACTCGATGGAGGACCCCGAGGCCAAGGCCATGTCGGAGCAGTACAACAAGATCCAGGCCGAGTTGGACGCCATCAAGGCCGAGGGCGACGAGGCCTACAAGAACCTCTCTTCGCTCCGCGATGAGCGGTCCAGACTCCACAATCTTCAAAACGAAAAGTACCAAGCCGTCAAGACCATTAAGGACGAGTACTGGCAGCAGCGCAAGGCCGCCCAAGCCTACGAGCGTGAGGCCCGCGACAAGGCTCGTGAGAGAAGAAAGGCCGAGCAGGAGCGCTACCAGAAAGAGCGGAAGAAGGCCGAAGCCGAGAAGATCCTCGCCGAGGCTAGCGACCCCGCTTACCTCGAGGAGATCCGCCGCGCCAACAGCCTGCTCCAATTCCTCGACCCCACCCACAAGGTCGAGAAGGCCCCTCTCCAGGCCGACAGCGGCCTCAGCGCTCAGGCTTCTCGTACCGTCGACGACTCCGGCCTCAAGGGCGTCAAGATCCTCTCCAAGAAGGACCGCGACGAAGAGCTTTTCCCCGCCGCCAAGAAGGGTAAGAAGGGCAAGAAGACGGGTGCCTCGGAGGAGAAGGCTGGCAAGTACAGCTGCCCGCCCTCCGTTGTCGAGGACTGCGCTTTCATGGGAATCGACCCTCCCATGAGCCAGGCCGATGTTCCCGCCGTCGTCGAGAAGGTCAAGGCCAAGCTTGAGCACTGGAAGTCGGACCAGGAGGCCCAGACGCAGCGCGTAAGTTCTCGCTCGTCCAAGAGTGTTTCGAGTTTTGGTGTTCATCCGATGCTGACTGATCTTTCCAGAACATTGAGAAGGCCAAGAAGCAACTTGAGAAGCTCGACGCCGACGAGGCCAACGGCGTCACTAGCAACGGCGATGCGGTCGAGGAGGTCACCAAGAACCTCGAGGAGACCTCCGTCGAGGACAAGGCATAGTCAATCGACATGACGATCCACCATATTAGTTGACTAAACCCTCGTCTCCATCTATGCCGCCTTTTTTTCTTTTTCTTTTTCTGGTCCTGGTTTCCTCTCCCGTCTCATACGTGATGGTGGTAGTATTGATGGCGATGATGAACCACGCGAAAAAAGGTCCCCAGGCAGAGATGGCTGACTCGATATACGCACACACGAAACCAAAACACTTGCATTAAATAACCAAGAAAAGCTTCGGATCACGGGGGGAACGCGAAAATCTTTTTCTTGTTCCTATATATAAAAAAGAAAACTCTCTGGCTTGTTTTTGCGTCGTTTTCTACAGCCCGGATCCCTCGAGGCGGCTTTCTTGTACTTAGCACCATCCCTCCCCGTTACCTCCAAAACCTACTAGTTCCTGCCAGAAATTGAGAGAGGGTAAAAGCGAGAAAACAAAGGGCTTCTCCGATTTCTTCAACAAGACAATGCCACAGAACCTACCCCGCTGCCCGCCAATGAACATGGTCTCTGGGTTTGGGGAAGGGCACCTGACGCACCCACCCGGGAATGCGCATCGTCGAGTGATTTCTTCTTCCTCTATTTTTTCGTGTTGTTGTTGCAGCACTGGGCTAGCGTGCAAGGACCGAACCTAACATTCTAACATCAGAAACCCTCTCACCCCCTGTCTTGTTCTTCTTGTTGGCTTGCTCACCTAGCCCTCTCGGGCAGGGGTTGAGTTTGGCTGAGCAACCGCCTCAAGGCCGCGGCCTGGTATCTGAGATTCTACCTCCTCGGTCAACCAGAGTCAGAGCGATGTTTGCTTATGGCGAAGTGTGGGGACGTCGGATATTCGACCGATCGATCATACTCGGCCGATATTGTCTGACAAGGATTTGCCAGACATACAAAGACCACAGGGTCGCTGGTTTGTCAGTGGTTCTTGTTTAACGCTTCTCATGTTAACTACCCCCTACCCTGCTTATGCACCACTCCCACTTTTACACCACCACCAGACTGGGGGCTTATTGGACATCGGCTTCACTGGCAGCTTCTGCATCATCGAGCTCAAGGCTGAACACGGCAACAAAGCACTCGAGTGGAACGTGTACCAGGAAAAGAACAAGAACAATTCTTCCCTTCCTTGGTGTGAGGAAACCAGCTCGGCCATCGCCGAGGTAAGAGTCCTTCTGTTCTCTCGTTTTCCCCTTCTCAGGACAACATCAATGCAGGACAGCATCAAGCGTAGCATCACTTGCTACTATGAATTCTGAGACAGCGTTGGGTTTTCATCTTACGATGCCAATAGACTAGAATGGCCTACTCAGAGAAAGACCGTTGCGAACAGAAGGGAGAATGTGAGTCGCGCAGTCTTACTATAGCTCCATGGATGCCTCTTTGAGATGCACTGCATAACACGAAGCATCTCTCGACAGGTTCTGCGCAAGGGAGACGTCCACTGTATGACATGACTTGCTTCGTGTTTCTATGTTTGTGAATGTAATTTCTACCCATTAGATGCATGCATGCTGCCCTCGTACCGGGTTCTTTCCTCCAGTTTGATGCTTTGAAGCTTACACGCCGAACTCATCGATTACACTCCTTGGCTCTGTGTACTCTCCAACTCCGACAAAGGGCATATCCAAACCAAACGCCCTCGGCCCCCCAACCAGCATTCCCTCCTCCGTACACCAGAGAGGGTGGGCTGGCAGGGCGATAACATCAACACGCAGACCGTAACGAAGATCCTGGGAGCCGATGGCTTCCCCATCCTGCCCAAGAATTGAGATGAGATCCGGAACCGTGCAAATAACCTCTCCACTGCTCTCTGAGCCTTCCGCATCGGTGAGTGAGGCATAAAGATACTCGTTTTGGAAGGGGACGAGCATGTGCTTGTCGGATATAGTGGCATTTTGGGCCTTTGAGTCTCGGTCTTCGTTGGCGAGGGGGGCGATGAGGACACCGCCCATTGTGTAACCGCCACCCACGTATCGCCTCACATCAATGATTTTGCCAGTGAAAAGGAGCTTGCCAGCACAGACGTCGAACTTGGAAAGTGTTAGAAGGTGTCCCTATTGTATCAATCATTCCTCGATGAGGTGAAGGGAGGCAATTCAAATAAAGGTATGGATAGGGGTAGGCCCGCATTTGGAACAAGGTCGTGTCCAAGGCGCAATACTCACAATGGCATCGACATAACTCGACTTCTTCCTCCTTGCCATGTGGACAGCGCGTCCGAGGTGCCAAGCTTGAGATAGCGTGTTGGGCACGCCGTGGGACTTGATAGCTGAACCAGACAGTGGCCTGGCGCAGACGGCACATCCCAGGCCCAGTTCGATGGCTGCTGTGCGCAAGAAGCGCTCCAGACGAACAGGAGTGTCGGAGTTCTGAGGCACTCATATCAGTACAATGCAGAGGAGATCTTGAGAAGAGAACACCTCTACCATGACAACGGAAACGTTGCCCCTGGCATCTGACAGAGCGCAAGGAGTCAGAGGGTGACCATATACACTCAGCGTGGCTGGTTCAGGTTCGAGTCAATATTCAAACCTCGTCGAGCTCGGGTGCACATTTCGACATTGCTTACCTTGGTACATAGTCGGATACGCTCTGCCCATGGCATCCCCGTCCACGACTGGAATATCGTAATGGACTCCCGTTGGGAACGCGCTCAGACCATTTCCACCACCGCTGTTCACTGTCAGCTCGTTCTCAAGAAGTTACGACACGGCTCCACTTACATCTCGTCGATGAATACCCCGTCGATAGGTGTGTTCCCCAGAATCTTGGTTACAGCGTCGATGCCGTCGGGGATCTCGCTGCCTCCCGCAATTCTCTCATTGATGACGCTCGGCGTGCCGTACCACGAACCGAAACACACAGTATCCGTATCCTTCAATGCCTTCGGGGAAATGATTCTCATCTTGCCAGACTCGCTCGTCCGTAGAGCGTGGAGACTCTTAAGAAACTCGTGGTGGGTGGGACCTCCGCCACCGGTGCCGAGCACACCACACCCAGTCGAAATGAGCTCGAGATCAACCCCAGAGACGAACCATACACCGCCCCTGACTTCCGGACGGTAGCTCCCGAGGTCGACGTGGAGTGAAGGCTTTGCGGTTGGCTCAAGGGCGTTCGGTACGCTCTCCTTGGGTGCCTCATCCTGTTGCTCATCCTCTTCCACAACAAGGGTGCTTTCTGGCGAAAATTCGGGGTTTTCAGGTACGCTGAGTTTACCGACCGCCCTGATCTGTATCCTCATGGCTCCGTTGTCAACGTATTGAAGCGGCATCTTGTTCACCTCCACAACACGGACGTCCTCGGCCGCTGCGCCCTTCTGGATAGCCAGGTCAACTGCCTTCTGGCAAGTAGCTGCGACCACTGCTTTTTCGTCACGGCCCTCCAGAATCTCCATCACATCAACCTCGCCAGAGATTCTGCCAATCGCCGCGCCAACAGCATTCGCAGCTCCATGGTGGATTGGCTGCGTACACTTCTCAACGCCGTCCAAGTCCTCTGTGAAGAGGAGGGCGCCGCCGCCCACAAGAAGCACGTGGACCGGGGCAGCGGAGACCTTCATCTGCTCTACAACACCCTCGAGCATCTGCTTGATCTTCCGACGAGCGATTCCGACCGTTGAGCTAGGTACATCCTTGATGAGGCTCGGGTCTCCTAGCTGGGCTTTGCCAGAGGCGACGGCGATATCGGTCGCTGTCAGCGTGGGGCCACCAAAGACCCGCGCCTGTTCAGTCAGAAAGTGCCCAACCGACGCGGGCCCGACCGTGACTTCGCCAAACTCCGAAGCCGCTTCCACCTTGCTACCGCCACCAAGGCCAATGGACACGACCTCAGGCATGGAAAATGCCGTCCTCACGCCGCCGACCTCAACGAAGCCAGGAGCCTGGCGAGGAAAACCTGACGGTAGCAAAGCACAGACGTCAGTTGTCGTGCCACCGATATCCATGACAAGCACTTGCGGTTCCGCCGTGTCAGTCGAGGGCTCTGCCGGGTCCGCTTTCATGGCCTTCACTTGACCCAGGCCAGCGAGGAATGCGGCACCGGTCATGCTGTTTGTTGGGCCGCTAGCGAAGGTCTTGATCGGGTACTCGGCAGCCGTGTCGGCGTCGATGAGAGTGCCGTCGTTCTGGGAGAGATAGAGAGGGCAGAATAGTCCGAGACGTGCCGTCGCCGTTTTGAAGCCTCGCGTGGCCTTTCGTGCCGTCTTGAGGATCGCCGCGTTGAGGACGGTGGCGTTTTCACGCTCCAAGAGGCCCGGAGGGCCGATGTCGTGGGAACAAACGACGTCGAGCTCGGGCGCTTCTTCCAGGATAATCTTCTTGCATGTTTCTTCGTGAACCCCAGCGTGGTCCAGCGGCGCGAAGACTCCGACAAGAGCGACAGATTGCACACCAGAGGCCACGATGCCCCGCGCTGCTTGCCTGATTTGCGCATGGTTGAGGGGTGCAATCTCCCGACCGTCGATTTCCAAGCCCCCGTCGAGATAATAGACGCCCCCATCAAGGATCCTATGCAGCCCAGAGGGAAAATCCGAGAACGGAGGGATCTGCCTTGTGAAGGGGCCGCAAAGACGAACCACAGCGACGCGGCTGAGTCTCCGCGTATCGGCCTCCACCAACGCGTTGATGAAGTGAGTTGTGCCTATGGTGACGCTGAGGACCCTTCTCTGTTCGACCGCGGAGCTCGCAAGGACGGCACGGATGGCTGCCTCAATGCCGCTGGTGATGTCAGGGGTCGTTGAAGCTTTGTGAGAGGCGAGGACGCCACGTCCAGGGGCGTCCGCGGCTGTGATGTCCAAGATGGCCGCGTCGGTGTTGGTGCCGCCCACGTCGACGCCGATCCGGTATAGTGCCATGATGCCCGACAAGAATTGAAAGAGCAACGATGAACAAATGGAATGATGCTCAAAAAATTCCTCTCGATGGGCGCTTTCCTTCGGCCAATGGCTGGGCGCAAGCACGTTCTCCTCGACAGGTCGAGGTGGTTAATCTTGGCCTATGGCTCGTCTTCAACTTCCGATAAGAAGTTAGTAAACCAGAAGATCCGTTCTTCAAGATAGTAAGGACGACGAGATCGGTAAACAACGAGGTCCCACGTGAGTGGCGTGACTTGATCGTCCGCCAGTCCAAGTTGATGTCTTCAGTATTGATTTCGTAAATCATATCTACCAGGGGTCTTCAAGTAAGCGAATCAGACCCGCCTTGGTCGGCCGACCTCCAGCTGGACGAGGGCTACCCCACGCTGCTGTGTAACGTAACAGACTGTACCCGGCTTGTTGTTGAGATAGCAGTGTCGTGGAAATGATAGGTGGTCGGTCTACTCACTTGAAGCGCCTACGAGAACGGACTCCGGACTTGAATGACTCTGCCTCGACCGCATTTCTTCGACGAGCGGATAAATGCGCTCTCCTGTCGGTCATCGCTACCTTCACACAACAACACTATCCGCCGTCTCTGTACTGGTGAATTTTACCATGGGTCTTCAGGCGCTCGTGCGGCGCGTGGAACTCCCGTTCGTTTCCCGATGGATCGTATGTCGAGCCGACCCTCAGCTGCTCCGCCATGCCGATGCGTTGGCTAATACCATCGCTGTCATGACAGAACGACGACATTCGGCCGATTGAGTCCCAGAGGCGCACCTGGGGCTTCTTGATGTTTCATAACTTCTGTCAGGGCGGTGAAAGACCGGGTGGGAGCCACACCATGCTGACCAGGCTCTAGGGCTACTGGTGAATTGCAACATCACGACATACCTGACCGGCAGCGCCCTCATTCCCCTCGGCCTTACTTGGTGGCAGGCTTTCATATGTAAGGCTTGACAGGACGTCGTCACTGCAGTCTATCACCTAACATGCGACACAGGCATCGCTATCGGAAACCTCATCGCTACGGTGGTTGTCATAATCAACTCGCTCCCAGGAAGTCATTATCATCGTACGGCCCATGCCGAAAGCCTTCCTGCTCCATGGTTCTGCCACTAAAACATCCTTAGTTGGATTCCCTGTCGTTAGTCGAGTAGTCTGGGGCATGTGGGGGTCCCAATTCGTCGTCTGGAACCGCATCTTCCTGTCACTTGGTGAGTGTTTAGCAACACCCTCGCGAATTGGGCTTCTGGGTCTGACAACTCTACCTTGGAACAGTCTGGTTGGCACTTGGATGGTCCTTGGGAATCTGTTTTTGGTCAATTTTTAACCTCTTGTTTAGGTACGGCTTCACGGCCTGGGTTGGAGGAGAATGTGTTTACGTCATCCTCCTTTCCTGGGACCCTAGACTCGAATCCCAAGTTCCGAACACGATGCCTGCAGACACCGGTATGACGACGGCGCAATTCGTGTCTTACATTATATTCTCCGTCATCTCTCTCCCCGTCCTCTGGATCCGGCCTCATCGCCTCGAAAACTTCTTCCGCTTTGCCTGCTCCATCACCCTCGCCTTCTTCCTCGTGCTCCTCATATGGTCTCTTGCAACCATGGGGCCGTCTGGTTTCGGCGATACAATAACCTCCGGGTCGAGTCTCTCCGGCACCAATAGATCGCATAGTGTGGCTTGGCTGATGGTTTACGGGATTGTATCGACGATCGGGTCTATCGCGGCAGGTATTCTCAACCAGAACGATTATTCCCGTTTCGCCACGCAGCCTAAGCACGCGATATGGGGCCAAGCTGTCTCATTCCCGTTTTATGGAATCCTCAGCTCGCTCATCGGCATCCTTGTCACGGCAGCTACGCAGCACCGCTTTGGCGGCGAGGCGATTTGGAACCCGCCGTCGCTTTTCGCCCAGCTGCTTGCCCGCGATGAATCCGCAAGGACACGTGCGGCGTGCTTCTTCGCAGGTCTGTGTCTTGTAATCTCTCAAATCGGCGTCAACGTCCCTGGTAACGCTCTTGCCGGCGGCTTCGACCTGGCTGCCACTTTTCCGAAGTATCTCAACATCCGCCGCGGTGCATGCATCACGGCAATCTTCAGCATCGTGGTCAACCCATGGCGACTCGTCAATACCGCAACGACTTTTCTGACGGCGCTTTCGAGCTACAGCGTATTCCTTGCCCCGATGACAGGCCTGATGATTTCGAGTTACTTGATCGTCAATAAGAGGAAGATCAACGTCGATGACCTGTACCGAGACGGCTCAGAGAGCATCTACTGGTTCTCTTACGGATGCAACTGGCGGGCGCCTGTGGCAGTAAGTGGAGGCCGTTCTTCCGACAGTATATTTGCTTCTTCATTGACTGACATATTGTAGTGGCTCGTAGGTGTTGTTCCTTGCATGCCTGGATTTGTTGCTGCTGTCGACGCGTCAGTAGCTGTGAGCGAAGGGGCCACCGAGCTGTACTACATGTCCTACATGTGCGGCCTTCTGTCAAGTGGTCTGGTATATGCTCTGCTACACAAGGTGTTTCCCGCCAAGGCGCTCGATTCTTTTGTGAAAAACTCTCCCTCTGCCCGGGAGCTCCAGCACTTGCACCAAGGCAAGTGGGATGTTACTCTGGCCGAGACTGCTGGCGTTCTTGAGTCGAATTTGAGACGTAGAGAAGAGAACAGGAGTGTAGTGGCAGCGAGGAAGGAGGAAGATGTCTGATTGTTGTCGTCGTTGTGGAGCAGATACCACCCGCTCTCCTTGACTTGATCAGGGTGGCTTTTGCTCACCCCGGCTCCTCCATTTGATGATTGAACAGAGATGCAATCGCACTCTTCCTAGATAGCAAGCCCAATGTAACTTCGAATAGCATGGCCATGTTAAGCCACGTGGACAGCCCTAAAGAGACGTTAAAGCAGAGTAGTGCAAAAAAGCCTCAAGTAATGGGTAGTTGTCCTAGTGTCGAAGCCTCAGAAACGGCCCTCCCGTTTCCCCGTTTCGATCATTCTCCTGTGCTTCCAGACTTCTCTCGCTTGAGGAGTTTCGGCCATCAATGGGAGATGGAGGAGGATGGCCGGATGGAAAAGGGGTAGACGGGAACTTCGTCTACCAGCTGTGGCCCCTTGGTGGCCCCGCCGCGAGGTTCACTGACAGATGTGTAAATGTAACCACCCTACTCGTACACCACCCCCCCACTGTTCCACCATCATCACCACCACCACCATCACCATCTATTTCTTCAGGCTTGCCGCCCACCCATATGCATCTTTCGGCTTCACTGGATAATTTGGATGCTCTGGATCAGTCTGAACTATCCCTATCGTCGATGGGTAACTTTTGCGCCCGCTGGATATGTGATATCGTTGCGAATGTGCTGTTGGGCGATATAGGGACCTTGTTCCTCTTGAGTTGCCGCCGGTTGTCTAGATGGCTCTGCAGATGGTGGACTTGCTGCTTTATAAGGGACATTCTAGATGCCTGGTTATCCCAGCCTTTTTGCACCTTTCTAGATAGGTGACGAATATTGCGGGTATCCAGCTTATCCTTGCCTAGGTAGCTGACAATACGGCAGGCTTTAAGCCCATGCATGTCAGTCATCTGGTCTGTTACTAACATACTAAATCACGCTTGTGTCAAGGTAAAAACCGTTTAGAGATTCCATTCCTATATTCACTGGAACATAGCGAGTGCATCAACACTTCGTGTTGCTCGAATCAGCCCATACTTTACATAAGCTTGAGGTCAATTGCAGGGGGACCAATGCCCCGATCTGGCTTAGAGCCAAAGTGCTGATCTGCCGGTGTTACAAAGAAGGGTGCAGGGGGGGGGGGGAACCGATGCCCCAATCCGGCTGAGGGTCCAGGTGTTGATATGTCTGTCTGGGCTCGATGGTGTACTTGTTAGTTATGGGTTGGTGATATTGTATGAACCATTTATTCGATGGAGGAGATGTCGTATCTTACGTTAGGCCTTGATTTGTCAGTCAGATTAGTGAAGAATGAGGCAGGAGGTGGATCTAACTGGGATTGTTCGCGTGATCGTGAATGTTATAAACATGAGGATTCGTCGCCTGTCCGAGTCAATCTGGCTGTCGAAAACCAACAACCGATCTCATACATGCTTGCTTCCCCATTCATCGCCACATCATCCAAAATGTCGACCGACAGACTCTCTCTAGCTAACAAGGCGGCCATCGTTACCGGTTCTGGCCGGGAAAACGGTATCGACGCGGCCATTGCCCTAGCGCTGGCCAGACCTTGCGCTGGCGTCCGCCGATGTAGAGTTACCTACTGCGGGCCCGGTCCCATGCGGCAAGCCCACGCATTTCTGCGAATCACGGAGCCCAACCGCCGCAGCCATTGGCCTCTTCCCCCCCCGTCGTCTTGGGCCGCCGTGGTCGGGCAGGTGTGCTTGTGCAGGGAGTTCCGTCTTTGTTGAGCACGCCCCGGTCGCCCGTCGGCTGCGCGGTATGACGCGCCGATCCGTCTGGAGCCACTGCATAGGAACGACTTGTCGTGTTGTCTTCTCTGTCAACGTCTCGCCTATGTTGCGCGTCAACCTGAGTGTGCACTCGGCTCGCAAGTCATGTCGCGTTGCGTATCATCACATCAACATCGGAGCATTTCGAAGACGTTTACATCTTGTGTGGATTGTTGCCTAGCAGCCCGTCTCTTCCAGGATTATTTGCTGGCGGGATGGCAGGTACGAAGAAGAAAAACAGTGTCCGGCCTGCGCCGTCGTAAATGCTAACCATGATGCCCTCTTTCCGTGAACCATACTCCAGTGCCGACTGCCAGAAACATAGAAGAGATATCGGACGTACAAAACAGGCAGAGAAGAAGCGCAAATTCATGGTGTCTCTAACATATCAAAGCGAAAAAAAAGGCAGGGAAAAACGAACAAAGATGGGGGTTATCCCAAGACGCCTCTCCGCTCTGCAATGCAAGGGCGTCTGATGAATATCGTGTCAATACGCCGGGCAAATTGCTCATCCAGTTCGTGGGCCTCATAAAAACATGACATCAACACACTGATGCGCCGTATTTTTCGGTATCAAGGAGTCTTCGAGCTTCGGGAGGGATCCACCTTGTGGAACGTTTATTGGCGACACGGGGCGCCTTCAAGCGCCCCATGGATAGTATCCTGGAGGTGCCTGAGGTGGTGGTCGTCCATAAGGACCCGGGGGTGGACCTGGGTGTCCCATGGGCGGCATGGATCTCCTGTCTCTGCCTCCCAAGCCCGGAGTTCTCCTGTCCAACCTGCCAGGCGGCTCCATGGTGGGCGGCGTTCTCCTTGCAAATGGATCTCTTTCGTGTCCAATAGAAGCAGTAATGGCTGGTGGTCTAGCCGGTGGCTGTGGTACGCCGCCTGCGAGCCTTCTTCCAGTTTGTTTTCTTGAGCCACTAAGGGCGCTCAGGGGAGGGTCCTTGACAATGGGGTCATCGTCGGGAGGCACCGTAAGATCCACTAGACTGAAGAAATATTCCAAGACCTCGGGGTATCGTTGGACGCTGGACTGCCAGTCCTCATCAATACCACGTTTTAGGTCCGCTTGTGCCTGGGCGAGTTCGCTGGGGTGGGGGGCAGCATGGTAGTAGTGGTACGCGGTGGCGTTGATACGATCGATATTGGCGGCGTGGGCTACCTTCCGGCGCTCTGTGAGAAGGCGGAAATACTCCAAGATGTAGTCTTGGGCGTGAGCGCGGACCCAGCTCCTGGTCAGGCAGTCAGCACAAATGGCAGTCAGAACAATTAGTATCTGGCTTACCGAATATCGTTGTATATCGACTGCATCATACGCTGCTCAGCCTGCTTAATGGCGACGTCCAGCCCTTTGGCCTCGCAGTCGCATGCCACAGAGGCAGGAGCATGGCATATGGCGCAGTCAGGGTCCATTCTAACTGTGGTCTTGCGCGTTCGCGGAGTGCGCGGCGTGCGCGGCCTATAGTCTCTGGTATACATCTTAGCAGATTGTTTCCCGGACGGGACACTGACAACCTGTCTTTTGTGGGTGAGGGGAAGAGGCTCGATGTGGAAGTATATTGTACAATGAGGTCAAGATGGATCATCTACTACTAGTACAAATGACATTATTCCTCTCGAGACCCAGGAACGGGGTCTCATGGAGGGACGCTGGTGGGTTGGGGGAAAGAGGCTCGTGGAGTGAGATGGAGGGGGTGGAAGAAGAGAGGAAACCGGCGATGGACTGACCTGACTTAAGTTATTATTAAGAGGGGAACTGGTTACGGTGCGGAAGTGCGTCGGCAGTATGGACGAGAGTTGGCAATAAACAAAACTAGGACGAATAAAGCGAGTTGCTGCCGTCGGCCAGTGCTATGTATCCTGCAGCATCGAAGCATGAAACAACAACGCAGGCAGGCAGTGAGAAACGCTTCGAAGGCGTACGATGGAGAAGGCCGAGTTGACAGCAACGGAGACGGCGGTAGTCCAACGACGGACTCTCATTCAGCGGAGAGCAGAAGCAGACGATGCGGGAGGAGGCGTGGGGAGAAGATAGTCTGATCCACGAGGACGCAGGTAGGTGAAGGAGAAGATCGAATGGGGACGGGGGTTTGACTGCAGCGAGTGTCGTGGCTCGAATGCCAGCGTCCTCCAATATGCAAGCCTTGGGGGTGAGTGGCCCAATGGAGGGAAGGGAGGGGGGTCAAGCGAGGAGAATAGCGAGTTCGTCTGCCCGACCAAGTCCCAATGGGTTCTTTTGACAGGCGACCAGTAAGATTGGGCGTCACTTGGTCAGCCAGAAGGGGGTGAGAGGAGAGAGGGTGGAAGATGGGGGAAAATGTTGAAAACTGCAGCCAGTCAGTCTGCAGACGGAGAGCAGAGGGCAGAGAGCAGCAAGCAGGTCAAGGAGTGGAGGAGCAGATTATGTGTGCGTTGTCGCCGCCCCTCGCTTTCTTTGCCTTTTGGGCTTCAAGGCGGTCAAGGACTAGCTAGGTAAGCAGGGGCCGGGGGGGCAAGGACGGGCAAGAGAGGGATGGATGGATGTATGTATGCGAGAGAGCTGCAGTCAGAATCGGCCGTGGAGCGGTTTGCAGTGAAGCGGGGCGGGGGGAGATGGGGTTGGGAGGTTGGGCGAGAAACCGAGAAGCGGCACTAGACTGAGGAGCGAGAAGTACCGCTCACGATGCGTTGGTGGGCCCCGCTGGTCCAACGGGAGACACCGACGAGGAGAGAAAGCGGAGAGGGGCACGAGATTCCAGAGGCCGAGACGACCGGCGGGGTGGGGTGGCTGGACTTCTCTTCCCCCTCCTTCCCTAAGGCCCCAGACCAGCCAGACCAGGCCAGACCAGACACTTACCTTGGCTACTTAGATACGATGGAGAACAAAGTAAAATAAAATACGATGCAGAAGCTACTAGAGAGACCAGACCAAACGAGACAAGCTGTGAGGCCGGGACAGCAGTAACTAGGTAGGTGGGTAAGGTAGGTAGGTAGGGAACTGATCAGCTGGGGAGCCACCAACCACTCACTAGGTTCCCGCCGATGCGACATCGAGGGGCCCGCCCCCATTGACAAACGAACGCCTGGCGAACGATTCCCCAGGCCCAGCTTAGCGAACATGTCCCGGACCGTGATGGACTACTTAGTCTGCCATCGCTCCCACCATGGCGCCTTCCGTCAGGCTCTGAAAGCTATGTCTGCGATACTGCACTACCCGACGGAGAGAGGTATTCTCTGGTCGAGATTCCAGGCTCTCTCACCGCATGTTCCCATTTGGCCGGCCTCTCCATGAGGGCCGGCTGCATCTACATGTATAAATTGATCAATCATATTCTGGACTCACATAGAAGCTGTGGCAACCCGTCATTGGTAAGCTCTAGCAACGCGCTCTGGGTCACCCGAGCTTGCCGCACCGTAGCCGGCGAAAAGAGCCGCATATCACGACATGACGACATGACGACATGACGTTGAAGAGGCTGAAAAGACAAGCGAGACCCATCTTCGTTCCTCTCGCCTTCCTCGGGCAGTTCGAGGGGAGCTTGTGAGGGAAGCGGTGCACTCCGGTTACTTCCTTCCCAGTGATTTGGGCACTGGTCCGATTTGACAACAGCGTTTGGGTGATTGATCCCAGTCTCACAGCGGCTGCTCCCGCCCCTGCTCGATTATGTAACCAATGGCCTTATCTTATCGCTATAGCATGGCGGAAAGTCCCAAAATTTCCATAGCTTCGATTCATCCGAAGGAGTCTCAATTACTCGACGACGACAACCACTTCGAACCGGCGCGGACGAGGAACAAAGATGGCTTCTAGGTGCTCCGCCGGGCATACGATTTTCCTTCCATTCCTTTACCCGTCGTTATTCGTTTCCAGAAGCACCGCGGCACCTCGACTTGCGACACGAGCAGTCGCATGTCGTCGCCATAGTTCGACCCACGTCGCCCGTGAACCAAAGACCAGCCGATTGAACCCAGCTCCCGACGATTATTCTTCGCCCATCTTCGCTGACAAGGCGTCTGTAACTCTCTATGCTGGCCCCGGTGGCCATGGCTGCATCTCCTTCTTCCGCGACGCATACCTTCCCGACGGCCCCCCAAATGGTGGCGACGGCGGCCACGGAGGCAACATTTACATACAAGCAGTGCACGGCGAGACTTCTTTGCACAAGCTAGCCAGGCGTCGTTTTATTCGGGCCGGGAAAGGGAAATCCGGGCAGGGCAGCTCGAAAGGTGGCCAGCGGGGCGACGATGTCATCATCACGGTGCCAGTCGGTACGGTGGTGCGCGAGCTGAGCAGAGAAGACCCAGTTGCCGAGGATGCGATGCTGCAGCGTACTCTGAAGGCGCAGAAGAAGGCTGAAAAGCGGATGAAAATGGCACGCGAGGCGGAAATGGCGAGGCGAGAGCTAGAGGAAGGGCCGAAAGACGTCGATGAAGAGATGGCGGAAGAGGAGAACAGTGCCACAAAGCAGGTCATCGACGATGGTTTTGATGAACCCGATGATCCCGATCGGAACAAGTTCCTTCTATATCCTGGTCTTTCAAAGTCTGACCTGAAGACGATATCTCTTCCCCGAGCTCCGACCCGTACGCGTCTCTACCACCAACCGCCTGGCCCGATCCAGCTCGATCTGTCGCGGCCTTCGCCCCAGCCCATTCTGCTCGCCGTCGGCGGTATTGGCGGCCTTGGCAATCCTCACTTTGTATCGCGAGAATACCCACGACCCATCTTCGCCACAAAGGGTGAGCGTGCTGTGACCATGGAAATTGAGCTGGAGCTTAAGTTGCTTGCCGACGTCGGTCTTGTTGGGTTGCCCAACGCTGGCAAGAGTACGCTTCTTCGTGCGCTTACAAACTCGCGCACGCGCGTCGGCAACTGGGCTTTCACGACTTTGCAGCCCAATATCGGAACAGTTGTCCTGGACAGCTACAAGGGGCGGCCTGTCATCAAGAGTTACAAGCGCTACCCGGCCACCGATGGCGGCTCAGGCGAGGAGGAGGTCCTCGTCGAGCAACGAACTCGCTTTACGGTTGCCGATATTCCGGGTCTCATCGAGGGTGCTCACCTGGATCGGGGTCTTGGCATCGCTTTCCTGCGTCATGTTGAACGTGCTGGCGTGCTCGCTTTCGTCGTTGACCTCTCTGCGGGTCCGGCCGTTAAGGCCCTCAAGGCGCTGTGGAACGAAGTCGGTCTTTACGCTCAGATGCGCGAGGAGGAAGAGCGCGCCCGTGAGATCGACTCCCGTGTCGATTGGGACCTCACCTCCGGTGCTAGCGGACGCGTACCGTCGGAGGGTACTATGATGGTTGCGGACGCTCCTCCGGCGCCCAAGCGGGAGGACGGCTTGCATATCGCGGCCAAGCCCTGGTTTGTGGTCGCCACCAAGGCCGATCTCCCCGAGACCCAGGAGAACTTCAGGGAGCTGGAGCAGTACCTGCATGATATCAACCAAGGAACAACTCCTCATCCAAGCGGGATTGAGAATGCTTGGACGGAGAAGTGTGCCGCGATTCCCGTGAGCGCCATCAACGGCCAGGGAGTGGACCGGATTGTCTACTGGACTGTGGGGTTGCTTGACGAATAGATGTATCGTAGTTTGTGTACTATCATTGTGTAATACCACCCCACTGATGAGGAAATCATGGGCTATTTGCTCCCATCATTGCATCTCGGACAATCACATGCATGGGCGCAAATAACAAATCGTACAATCGTCGATAGGTGTTGGTCACCATCTTGATGCATTAATCGTTAAAGCCATCATTGCCAATCCCGGTGTGAGGGGAGTGGACCAAAAAAAGTAACATGAATCTACATCTTATACTCAATTCCCGATTCGTGCTCCATCATGTCAAAAGCCGGCTTTCCCGAGAACCAGCCCGCGATCTCCGTCCCGATCGACTTGAACGTGAACTCGGCGTCCTCCCGGTCGACCTTGACCGTCTCGTGGCCCCGCCCGCCCGCGGCGGCGTCGGCGAGGAGCTGCTGGTGACAGCAGCGCTCGAGGCTCAGGAACCAGTAGACGCAGCTCTCGACGGACTTGCCGCAGGTGACGAGGCCGTGGTTCTGGAGGATGGCGGCCTTCTTGTCGCCGAGGGCGGCGGCGATGCGCAGCCCCTCCTCCTTGCCGAGGACGATGCCGCCAAAGGAGTTGTAGAGGACGATGTCGTTGTAGAAGGCGCAGGTGTCCTGGCTGATGATGTCGAGGTTGCGGCCGAGGGTTGAGAAGGCCTGGCCGTAGAGGGAGTGGGAGTGGGCGACGCACATAATGTCCGGGCGGGCCTCGTGGATTGCGTGGTGGATCATGTAGGCTGAGGGTAAGCTTTCGTGTCAGTTTGCCAGGCGGGGAAAGGGAGGCGGTGCCGGGGAGGAGACACAAGAGCAAGAGAAACATTTGTCAAGGCGGGAGGGGCGTGAACGAACCGGCCGTGTTGAGGAGCTTCACGGGGCCGCCGTCGACGACCTTGCCCTCGGCGTTCACGCGAATGAGGTCAGAGGCTTTGAGGAGCGGCCACGCAACGCCAAAAGGGTTCAGCCAGAACGTATCCGGCTCCACGGGGTCCTACGCAGATAACGTCAGTCGTCGTTTTTTCAACATTGAATTTCTCCCTTTTCGCGACACCATTTTGAAGCAAGGGGCACATACGCGGACCGTGATGTGGCCTGCCACGCCGGCGTCGAAGCCATTCTTGGCGAAGATGCGGAATCCCAGGGCCAGCCGCTCCTTGAGATGCTGCCGCTGTTTGTACGGGTCGTCGAACTTTTGAGGCATGGGGAAGTCCGACGGCTTCAGAATAGTCTCCTCGTCATGCTTGGTAGCCGGCTTTGAGACGTGGGAAGTGCCGTTGCCGTTGCCGTTGCTGTGGCTGACATCCGAGGCATCTTTCTGGGGTGGGTGGTTGACGGAGGTGGAGGGAGCCATGGCTTGATCTCTGTACGTGAGTCACTTGTCCTATATGTTGAGCCGAGCGTAGCTTGTATTGAGCGATGGATAGTCAGGAGAATCTGGTTGGAGTTGGTTGAGAGAGAGAGAAAGCTATGATATCCAAAGAAGGCTGCCAACCAGCTAAAAGTAGTGAGTGGCCATAGCGCACTTGCCGATCCCAAGCCCGAAAGCCGCGGATGTCGCTCCGCGACCTTTAGACTTCTAGGTTTCTGGCGTACAGGATACCGGCCCTAGGTTGATGGCATGCCGATCCAATTGGTTGGAAAGCTAAATTAGTATTGCCAGACGGGGACACCATCTGCATAGGCGAAGAAGGGGAATCGTAGTACTCGGGGGGGCAGAGTCACCAGATACCGGTCGCCGCGGAACCCCGCACCGCGAGCTATCCTTGAAGTCGTTATGCCTCGGCGCCGACCTCAGCGTTCACGCCAAGGATGAGAACCCAGTCGGTTTCCAGGCATGAGTGGGGAGAGGAATACCCCACGCAACGGATGGTGCGAGGCGGGCGTGGAGAGTCCAGCTCATCTCAGTGACCATGACCTACGCTGTCGTGGCCCGTTGCGGACAGAACGGAGGCCGAAGATTTCCAGGACCTTGTAAACCTAGAGAGAGCTATGAAGTATTCAATCCGGCAAATGCCTTGCGTTAATTCAGAGCTACAGAACATTACTCGAGGGCATTCCATGTTGTCTCGAATGATGAGAAGTACACGCACCTAGGTAAGACGTGACGGATGGAGCTCCTTGAAAGCGGCAGGCCAGGGCGGACCCTGAGGGGCAAGGGGGTTTGATGCGGGGTGATAAGATAGTGGACAATACGGGCATCTGATTGACCAATCAAGCCCCACCCCAAATCGAGGGGCTCGCCATAGGCTGGCGCATTCCAACTCCGAACCTCCAAGTCATTATTTTTATTTTTTATTTTTCTGGGGTGACGGCAAAATTTCACACCGCGCGATTCGACGGCCGACAAGACTGGGCTCGTCTTCGAATCCCTTCCTGCCTCCTCCAAACTAGACAACGCGCACACACACACACACACACACGTGCGCAATCCACCAACCCCACGCACGTCGAAACAATCCTGCATAATGGGTCGCAAATTCAGAGTGAGTCTTTCCACGATGCTGTTTACACTGTTGTTTTGCGCTGACTCCAATTGTGTCAGGGTGGAAAGAAGGGTAAGGGCCGTGGCGGCGGCAACGGGGGCGGTGATCGCGGTCGCCAGCCTCGTAGCGAGTCGTGGCAGTCCTACCCCGCCGTCAAGAAGGAGAACGAGAGGCTCCAGCGCTACTACAACACCATCATCGGCCTCTCTGAGGAGGAGCAGGGCCCCTTCTGGGATGCCCTGCGCAGAGACCTCCCCAACAGCTTCCGCTTCTGCGGTTCCAAAGGGTGAGTTGCATCGACTCGACCGGTGCTTCTATCCGTACAACTATACTGATCACTTCTCCGCAGTCACGCCTTGGCCGTCAAGAAGCTCCTACAAAGCCGATACATGCCCGAGATCGAAAAGATCGAACACGCTGACGGAAGCACCGTCGAGCCCCCCAAGCCCCTCTCCTGGTACCCCAACGAACTTGCTTGGTGGATGACCACCCCGAAGAACGTCATTCGCAAATACCCCCCCTTCGCCGCTTTCCAGAAGTTCCTCGTTTCCGAGACGACCATCGGCAACATCAGCAGACAGGAGGTTGTCAGCATGATCCCCCCTCTGCTGATGGACGTCCGCCCCGGCATGACCGTGTTGGACATGTGCGCTGCGCCGGGCAGCAAGGCTGGCCAACTCCTCGAGATGATCCATCAGGGCGAGGAGGCTAGGGTCAGAAAGGTTCTGCGCGCGTTTGCAAAGGAGGACGGCCTCGACCTCGGCGAGGAGACCGAAGAGGAGCGCCAGGTCGACCTCGACGCCGACCCGACGGATGCTGGACGCACCACCGGTCTCCTGATCGCCAACGACGCCGATTACAAGCGCGGCCATATGCTTGTTCACCAGCTCAAGCGTCTTGGATCCCCCAACCTGCTCGTCACGAACCACGATGCCACCCAGTATCCATCCATCAAGCTCCCATCCGATCCGGCGACTCCCAACAGGCCCCAGTACCTCAAGTTCGACCGGATTCTCGCCGACGTGCCGTGCTCGGGTGACGGCACGCTGAGAAAGAACATGAACCTGTGGAAGGACTGGCAGCCTGGCAACGCGCTGGGCCTCCACGTCACCCAGGTCAGAATCCTCCTGCGCGCCCTCGCCATGCTCAAGGTGGGTGGCCGCGTCGTCTACTCCACGTGCAGCATGAACCCCGTCGAGAACGAGTCTGTTGTCGCGGCCGCCATCGACCGCGCTGGTGGTCCCGACAAGGTCGAGATCGTCGACTGCAGCAGCGAGCTGCAGGGTCTTGTCCGTGCCCCCGGCATGCGCAAGTGGCAAATCATGGACAAGTCCGGCAGGCTCTGGAGCTCGCAGGCCGAGGTCGACGAATACACCAAGAGCAGCACTGACGGCATCGCGCCCGGCAGAATCGTCGACACCATGTTCCCGCCTGTGGAAGGCAGCGTGTGCGCCGACCTCCCCCTCGAGCGCTGCATGAGAGTCTACGCTCACCAGCAGGATACCGGTGGCTTCTTCATCACCGTTCTGCAAAAGAAGGCCGAGGTCAAGATCCGCCCCGAGGATCAGAAGGTCGACGACCCGGCCAAGTCAAATGGAACCACCGCGGCGGCCACCCCCGCAGCTGAGAACGACACGGAGACGAAGTCTGAGGAACAGACCGAAGAGAAGAAGACCGAGGCAGCTCCCGCTGCCACCGATGAGGCCGCCGAGGCCAAGCCTGAGGAAAAAAGTGAGGAAAAGGCCGCCGCGGCCGAGGCCGAAGTGCCCGAACAGGATGCTACGAACGGCGTGAAGCGAGCGCGAGAGGACGAGACCGCTGACGGTGAGACCCAAGAGACCAAGAAGCCCAAGCTGGAGGCGTCACAAGAGAAGCCCAAGAGGTCCAACCGCAACATCCACGGTCAGGTCGAGGAGCCCTTCAAGTACCTCAACCCGGCGCACGAGGTCATCAAGAACATCCAAAACTTCTACCACATCTCATCGCGCTTCCCCGACGACCGCTTCATGGTGCGCAACGCGGCCGGCGAGCCCGCCAAGGCTATCTACTACACCTCGGCGCTCGCGCGTGACATCCTCGTCGAGAACGAGGGCCGCGGCATTAAGGTCATCCACGGCGGCGTCAAGATGTTCATGAAGCAGGATGCCCCTTCGGCCGAGATCTGCCGCTGGCGCATCCAGTCCGAGGGCATGCCGATCCTGCAGGGCTACGTCGGCGAGCAGCGCGTCATCCGCCTCACAAGCAAGGAGACGCTGCGCCGCCTCCTGATCGAGATGTTCCCGCGCATCGCCGACGGCGAGTGGGAGAAGATGGGCGAGATCGGCGCGCGCGTCCGTGACATCGGCATGGGCTGCTGCGTGCTCCGCGTCGAGCCCGACGGCTCGGACCCGGCCTTCAGCGAGCGTATGGCGCTGCCGTTGTGGAAGAGCATCCATTCGCTCAACCTCATGCTGCCCAAGGAGGACCGCACGGCCATGCTGCTGCGCATCTTCAACGATACGACGCCGCTCATCAACAACAGCCTGCAGAAGCAGCGGCAGATTGATGAGGCCGCCAAGGCCAAGGCGGCGGGCGCCTCCGTCGAAGAGAAGGAGGCGGTGGAGGAGGAGGAGGAGGCCATCGATATGGAGGACGCCCCCACCCCCGAGGAGATGGACGCCGACGTGTCCGTGCCCGCTGCTGCAGCCGCCGCGACTGCTGAGGACCCTTAGAAGACTTGGATCGGTCCCTGCTGGATCTTGTCGACCAGGGCGATGCACGAGCTGGCCTCAATGAGTCCAATGTGACGGAGTACCTTTTCAAACACGTCATGTGAGACTTATGAGCCTCTCCCCCGCTTGTTATTTTTGGATAACGCCGCCGATTGAGCGCCCTCCCCATTTTCCGTTCACGTAGCATCGGCCACACCGGCCCGAACATGAGTGCTCTAATGAGAGCGATAGACTTATGAGATGGGGAGGAAGACGCCGAAAAAAGGAGGGGCAAAATGTATGAATACATGGGAACCGCCGAGATGGGCGTTTTTTTTTATCTAGAAAAAGGAATTAAAACCTAGAGAAATACAAGAAGGAATCATGGCATGGGACAGCCCCTGGTGTTGCGTGTGAGTTGTGGTTGATTGGCTCTTTTGTGTTTTTTCCCACAAACCCCCTCCCCCCCCCTTTTTCTTTCTTTTCTTATGCGCTCGGCATGGTAAAACTAGTATTTTTTTTTCGTCACCACCAGAGACGGCATGTTTGGTCTAGTTTACCAAGACGGTCTAGTGTTTTGGACGAATGGACTGGATGTTGAAGCAGGGCACACACAGCACTCTCTGTATATCATCTCCCTCTCCGTCCACGGCTACTCGTCCAAACCACACCGCAGGATCCCCCTCCCGCTGCATTAGGATATCAAAGAACGGCGGCGCGGGGATCGGTCAGAGTGTTTTGTTTGTATTTCTTTTATTTAAAAAATTACAAAGAGAAGGCGCTTCAATCGCGGACGGGAATTGAGCCCGACGTGGCTGGTATCGAGTTAGTGACAATGTCCAGACGTTCGTTTGTAGACGAACTCTGACAGGGCGTGCGCTTACGGGTCGAACCCACAACCTTGAGATTAAGAGTCTCACGCTCTACCGATTGAGCTAGCCGGGCAGGCTTTTTTGTTGTCTGGTTGGTGACGATGCGCGCGCGGATGAGGGTCTATGGAGAGCTTGCGGGTCGCGCGAGCCTGGGCGAAGGGGCGAGGGAGGTAGCACGGGGTGAGAGAGTTGCGGGTTTCCTGTTGGTAGCTTTGAATTCCTCATACAATCATCGGTCAACGCAGTCTCTCTACGTTATGGTCCTCTACAGCATGCTGCGACATGACGAATGCAGAAAAGCGCCGTATCACCAGGCATTGGGCATCTCTTCTTCTCGCGATGCATCTCGTACTCGAAACACGATACCGATCCAGCATGCACCGTCCATTTTGTTTGCTCCTTCACATGTATCCGCGGATGCCCCGAATCATTCCGGACTTCTTGCCCTTTTCGTCTTTTCGTCGGTTTTGAACTCCGCCTGAATGAAGAAAAGAAACCAAGGCTCTTGGTTAGTTGATCCACCAAAAGCCATCACTGAACCGAATTCGTGCTGTTGCTGACTCACCTCTACCGTGATATTTCGCTTCTGCCGTCGCCAATGATGGGCTGGCCGATGCGCCATCGTCCAAATCCAGCGGGCTGGACG